TGCGAATTGCAACCCTACAAGGTCCTGTAGCCAAATGTTGAAAGATTTGCGCAACGGAACTCGACGTGCTGATCATCGCCAACTATGAGTGTCCTTTGTGATAGCAGCAATATATTAAACGCGAAAGCCTCTGTTCGTTAGTAACATCTGAACGAATTTGATTAAAATATGGAACGGGGCAGCTATACTGCGATAAGTTTTATTTTAATTCATACTTAATATTATAAATGCGAAAGTAACTCCGTCTGTCTGTCTCGCTTTCACTCAAAAACTACTGAACCGATTTAAATGAAATTTGGTACACAGATAGTCTAGAGCCTGAGAAAGGACGTAGGTTATTATTTCATTGGAAAAAAGTGTTGTAAAGGGTTGAAACATATTTATTTAAGGGCTTCAACGTGAGCGAAGACGCGGGCGAAAAGATAGTAATATATATTTGTTTTAAGAGCGCATAGACATCGTAAGTCGCGGGCAACCGGTGGATGCAAATGGCAAAGTGTCATTCGTTGTGGCTTCATGCGGCTGATAATTATGATGATGATTTATTTTAAATATTATATTTTTGACCTACTTAAGTTAACTATTGAAGCCTCGAGTTTATAGTCAAGGATTATTTATATAAACATTGATGTTTAAAAGATATAACAAAGACTGAATCCACTTCGAATTGAAGACTCTGCGTACATTGACGCAAATTAAAAAAAAATCATAAATCGACAACATTATATATGTTGAATTAGTGTCAATTATTAATCAGTATTAAAATTATCCGTCTCTTATTCAATTATCGGTATAAAAATACGAAAATACGAAATATGTACAGTCAGCCTAATAAAAATATAATGACGTGGTCTGTCCTAAAATCCCCTACTCTCATCTAAAACGGGTTCCACAACGAGTGATTTTAAAACTCGAGGGAGAGGGTTCTTCCAGGGGCGATTGTTGGTAACAACAAAGTATGCCGTTTGCTGACCCTATTTGTATTTTATGGAAGGGGTTGGTTAGTAACCCCAACGACCAGTGCGACCTAGAAAGTTATATTGTATGCTTCCCTTCGAACATTGCCCCCTTACTGTAAAATAGCATTATCCTGAGCTGTAAGGACGTTTAACATACATAAATTTCACGTGGACAAACTCCCAGATCCGAAACAATTATCTGTGGGTCACACATGTAGTTGTATCCTGTGGAAATCGAACCCACGAGCCCCGGCGCCTTGGCAACTGCGCCACGGAGACCTATTGCTGACCGTATGTTAAATCTTAGGACTTCAGTTACAAGCCGTTGCCACTACAATAGATAAACAAACACGCTATCAGTATCGTATTTAGTAGTTTGCATTAACACACTGTATCTTGTTTTTGTAATTATAAACGTTACCGGGCAAATTAACGTTCGGTAATAATAATAATAACATAATAACAAATTATAAGAGTCATATTGGACCTGAATATGTTAGGATAAAACGGCACAAAATAAATCCAGACAATCTTGTAGCCTTCACACTAGATGTAATCTTGGCCGTGAAAGTTATTAGGTATTAGGGCAAAGCATAGACCGCCACGCGACTCCACTACGGCTAACTTCACATATCTTCGAAATATATGTATTCTTTTATAAATTTTTTGAATATGTGATGTTTTCCTTTACTGCTGAGCATGTGATAAATCAATAGTTAAACTGCAAGGCATCTGGATTTAAACACAGGATGCTCGAGTATATTTTGAAATAAAGGCGAGCGCATGCTATCGCAGAGACACAGTAGACTCAATTAAATTATTTCAAATAAAGTTAACAGTACTGTGTGATGAGAAATGTAAAGAGCTTAGGAGTAAATGGGGCTACAAGTTTTTATAGGTCCTACTAACTGTTAATTTGTTCTCCTTCCATACTTTTCGTACTTTTTTTATGTGAGGAAGTGGCAAACGAGCTGGTGGTTCACCTGATGTTAAGTGATAACCGCCGCCCATGAAGAGTTGCAACAGCCGTAGGGTTGCAGATGCGTTGCCACCTCCTAATAATGTGGGCTTTAGAAGATTGTTCCGAGGAAGAATCAATAAATAACGGTCTAGGGTATATTACAGAACGATCAATCTTTCTAAAGCAAAGAAACAAGATAGATGTAATCCGGTACTCTCGAATAAGTACGGCAGGGAAAACTGACCTCACGAAGAAAAGCTTAAAGCATTTCCAATCACTGTATAGTTTGTATAACCATTGCTCTAAAAATATGGATTTAAATCGAAGTGCCTACATTCCCGTTATCGTGTTCGGAGTTGTTATTCCCCTCCCCCCCCTGCTTCTCTACTATAATAGTCAGACATTTTGTCCCTGGTCCCGACACGACGGCCTGGCGAGCGATCTACCTACGACCCGGCCGGGAGCCGACCCTTGAAAGACCGCAAATTTTACCGGGCAAATGGGAGGGTCCATTAAATGGGATAGCAGGACGGCCTTTTAGGGGGTGGGGGGGTGGAGGGAGCAGGGAGGGTTACGTGAGCTGCCACTTCGTCCCTTCGCCCCCTTTGATCTTTATTTTTTGTATACCTGGAAGGCCGGGGGTCGTTTGTAAACCGTTACAGTTTTAGAGAATGCTAGTTACTTAAAATATAAATTTTTATATGATGAATGTGAAGTTTTCGGTATTGCGGGATTCGAACCCGCCTCTTCCGGTATCGCGCCCAGACTCTTTACTAACTAAGCTAAACGGCCGATGACCTGACAGCAGCAAAATTTCGATAAGTACGAGTATCTACGTTCTCTTATTTTCCTATGGTAGATCACATTTTACTTCTATGAGTGCAGAGTGCTAGAAGTAAATATAAAAGTGAATCATAATATATTGGAGTTACATTATAACGGATTTTGCAGTATATATAACAGGTGTTTTAAAGTTAAGATGCTAACGCCCGGTTTCTGAAACACCGATCATCGTAAATGTCAACTAATCATTAATTAACTATCTAATGTTAAATAATCATCAACTAATCCATCTATTTTAGAGCCCTGTGGCATTTTACGCGACGATGGTAAGAGACCCGACAGTTTAACTTTGATCCCTTGGGAGAGAGGCAAAGCCCTTGTTTGGGACGCCACTTGTGTAGACACTTTGCTGCCCCTCATCTAAGAGGTACTTCGGTCAGGGCCGGGTCGGCATCGGAGGCAGCTGAAGTAAATGGCGCAAACATGAGTATTTATGTTTAGATTATGTATTTGTGCCATTTGCTGTTGAAACTTTAGATCCGTGGGGTCTCCGCACATCAAAATTTTTAAAAAGTTTATGTCCTAGGCTTAACGCCGCGGCTGTTGACAAGAGAGCCGGTTCTTTTCTCGCTCAAAGGTTAAGCCTAACTATTCAGCGAGGAAATACAGCTAGCGTTTTTGGAACCGTGCCGCGTGGATTAGGTTTATTAGATAATATGTAATTTTAGATAGATTTAATCTTGTAAATATTACACTAATCAACCGTTAAATGGTTTTTACAACTTTCATTTTAATTGCCAAAAGGATTTCTTGTTAAACTCTAGTGACCAGAATTATCTTCTTTTTGACCAGAATGATCAATTCAAAGCGTTTAAACATCCTTTTGGCAACGACACACGACATTTGAAAAACCATTTGAAAGCTGATTCGTTGATATCTACGATGATCAATGTTTCAGAAACCGGGCGTAAGACTAATGATAAGATGGAGCGTAGAAAATAAATGCATTTCAAAAGTTTAGATTTATTAATGTACGAAGTACGAGTCCTTTATATAGTATGTTCGCGCCAAAGCTTGTGTTTAAAGTGAAAAAATAAAAATAAAATGTTGTCTTTAACCTCCTCGCAAAAGATAAGAAGTGCGACCTAGTGTCTATTTCATTCCCAAAATGCATTTACAGTGTCGGCGTTTTAAGGCAACGACAAAGGATTTGATCATCAGATCTAAGAAGAGGGTTAAACAAAAATCTAAGCAATCCCAAAACTAAACCAATTGGTCACAGCTGTTCAGGTAAAATGCACTACGCAATCGTATGAGGTACTAACGAGATAGGACTAGAGGCCAATTGAAACCACACATGTTAATTACGAACACGGCGACCGACAATATTCCCCATCTCGTGCTGAATCCGCCTCAAACCCTTTTCGTGCAGTCACCCCCCCCTCTCCCCCACAAATCCCGTCCGATCCCTCCCACATACACCCTCGTCTATTTACTCCGGTTGTACATATCTGCCACATAACCCATTCCTTACATTGCCCAGAGCTCGCAAGGGGTAAGACAATTTGCACAAGCGACGTAGCTCTCTCCATGATGTCGGTAATAATAATTTATCTTTGATATAATCGTAACATCAGCTCACTACGGTGTTGTAAATAAATTGTTAGTAAAACATAGACAGGGTAGGACTCTCTAATGAGCAATACTTGAGGTACAAACCTACCAAGCCAATCAACTCTGAATATTTTGTTTTACTCTGTACTTTATTACTTTCTCAACCTGATAGTAATTAACTACGATGTAGTCTTTATGTGGTGAAGGCATTTGCTCAGTAAAAAATTTTTAACTTTTTTTTTATGGAAAAAGGAGGCAAACGAGCAAGCGGAACACCTGATGGTAAGCGATCACCGCTGCCAACCTTTAAGGTAAAGTAGGCTCTCTTTTTGAAGTCTATTCAAGTCTTCCTTGAAGACATTACACATTATAAGACACGAGAAAACTGTCGTTGGCAGATAGTTCCACTCTTTCGCTCTATGCAGTACCAACCAAAGAGGAGCCAAATCCTTTTCGTTTAAACGTGAGGAGCGTTTAGGGTGCCACCACTAAAAGTCTCACAAGGGGGGAGGGGGTGTAGTAAGATATCACGTGATTTTTCGTCAAAAATGATGGATAGGGGAGAGTACAATTAAATTGTATAATTCCTGCGTCCATAAGTGGACACATTTTCGTCAATTGGCACGGTACTCTTCACGAGCCCCGTATCGAGAGGCAGACAGGGCGAGGCCCCACCGACTCACCTTTCCCGCACTCGGAGCAGACCTTGTTCTTCTTCAAGTGCGTCAGGCTGTGCACCTTGAGGTGGTCCCTGCGCTTGTATCGCTTGTTGCAGACGGGGCACACGTGCGGCCGCATCTTGCGGTAGACCATGTCCGTGACCACGCCGTCACCCAGGTCCGTATCGGCGTACTCCGGGGAATTCCCCGTCATCTGCGGGAGGGCTTTGGTTACCAACTTTTTTTTTTTTAATGTGAGATAAAAATTAAATCGGACTGAGGGCTTCTGTTACCATCTTTTTTATGTGAGAGGATGACAAGCGAACGATGGTGAACGTCGCCCATTGATGTTTGCAACACCCGGAGGGTTGTGGATGTGTTGCCACCTTTTAAAATGGGCCCCGGCTACCTCACTCACCAGACGAAACGCAGAAGTATAACGGAACTGCCCATTCGTACAACATGGGCTGTTGCACGAATGGGCAGGTCCGTCTGGCAACTGACAATGAAACTTAAATCTACGAGTTAACTAGATAAAAACAAAAATCCCAAAGCAATGGGCACCCAATGGTTGGAAAACTTAACTTCCGAACCATCGAGTTTCCACTATTTGGGCTGAAAGTTGCAAAAGTAATTTGAAGTATACGTTCACACCAATGACATAAAACGATGAAATTAATTTTTTCCGTTTTATTCTTGGTAATAATTTGATAATCATTAAATTAACGAGTTTTTATTATACATTTGCCATCTATACTCTATACGGATAAATAAAATTGGAGTGTCTGTTTGTAATATTAAAATAACCGCTTTTTACTAAATGCATATGGATGTATACACGGTAGATATACCAAAATATTTTTTTTTTTACAATTCTTGTCTGTCTGTCTGTTTGTTGCGGCTAATATCTGAAACGGCTGGACCGATTTTGACGGGACTTTCACTGACAGATAGCTGATGTAATAAGTAGTAACTTAGGCTACTTTTCTTTTAGATTTTTTTTTAATTTTAAATTCCATGCGGACGAAGTCGCGGGCACAGCTAGTTTATAATATGAAGTGACCACCGCGCCAGCCGCGGGAAAAACATAGTGTAGGTATTTACGTGGTGGGTGGTGAAACGACTTTGACCGGCTTTAGTGTCTGTTGGACGAAGGCGTCGAGCTTAAACCTCTCCCCCCTCCCCACTCAGATGAGTCAGCTATAGAATAACCTTCCCCCTATCTGTTCAACCTTTGCTCTAACTTGAATACCAAACTCGGTAATGGACCTGAAGCAATACGACACAGTGTAACCTTAATATAACGAGCCTCAATATAACGTAATTCTTGATTCAACGATTTTATTCGAAATCCCCTAGAACTTACCATAAGAGCTAATACAAAATATACGTTTTTCATTTTATATTTTATTTTATTTTTTCAAAAAACATTGCCCTTACTTTAGGATAACATTATCCTGCGTTGTAAGGACGTTTTACAAATATTTATTTCACGTGGACAAACACTCAGATTTGTGGGTCACACAAATAGTGGTCCCGTGTGGGAATCGAACCCACGACCCAAGACACCGAAGCCAATACCTTGGCAACTGCACCACGGAGTCATCAAAAAACTTGTCCTGTTATGACCCTGACGTCCTTGACCCACATAACCTTTCTTCGGTATCGTGTAGAGCAATTTCATAATCATTATGTCATTCACATGGAAATTATTAAGAGCATTCTACATTTCGAAAATTTTTAGGATGCCTCACGATGTGTTCAAATCAGTAATTAAAATTGCTATTAACAGTTTAATTGGTGTCGACACCAGGAATTGAACTGGGGTTGCCCGAGTGTATTGATTGATAATTTTTAACGAAAACACCAACTTCAAACAGGAAACTATAAAAATATTGTTAATACGAGTCCGAGAGACATACAACATTTGAGGATTGCCCTCGATTTCTCTGGGATGCCATCACCAGATACGGGTTTCCTTATCATGGTACCCTTGGGATGTCTCCTTTTCAAAAAAAAAGAATCATCAAAATCAACCATAAGGATGCCACCCTATGGTTGTTGCGATTACCGTTTAATAAAGTGGGATCCGGCTACCTCACTCACAAGACGAATCGCAGAAGTATAACACTTCCACTTCACGACGGTATGTTAGGTCTAGTTAATTACACGGACGGACCTGACCATTCGTGCAACAGCGTAGGCTGTTCTGTGGCCCCACCACAGTAAAAACAATGCTATCTTATCCCAAACTTGGTTAAAACCAATCTCACTAGCCTCGAGCATAGGCGCAGTGTAACCAGCCTGTTGGTTTTCTACAGCATTTTAAAGTGTGTCTCAGTTTGTGTTGGAGTTGCGCGATTTGGTTCCTCCCGCCCCTTTCCGTCATCGGACGGCTTTCCACGGGGCCACGCCCTTTTGCTGTCGACCTTACACTGACATACAAGAGCGAAGCGATAGGCTACCCTAGTCATTAATCATCCGTACAGCTAAGGGTTGGAGCAACCTGCCGACGTACGTCTTTCTGTCCGATTAAAACGTAGGCATCTTCAAGGCAAGAGTAGGGAAGAGATAGGCTTTTACTGAGCTAGCGCGCCTAACAGCGGCGGTATCGCCACTCACCATCAGTTGAGATAGCAGTCGAGCGCTGACCAGTTTCGAATTAAAAAAAAAACTAAGAAAGCCTTGTTGTATTGATGCTAGATAACTGATAAACATAATTGAGCACACTTTTATTGAAAATAAATACGTATTATAGATATGTAAACACCCAGACACTAGAAAAACAATATGTTCATTTTTTTTTTGTTTACACAACATTCTCTAGTCCCAAACTAAGCAAAGCTTGTACTATGGGTACTAGAAAACTGATAAACATACTTAAACATACTTTTCTTTTGTAAATAAATACATATTATACATATATAAACACCCAGACACTAGAAAAACACTATGCTCATCACACAATATTTTTCCAGTAGTGGGGATCGAACCCACACCCTCTGGCACAGGAGGCAGTTACACTACCCACTACGCCATTCGGGTCGTCATTACACAATACTTTTTCAAGTAGTGAGGATCGAGCCCACGTCATCTGGCGCAAGATACGGATCGAATGACTGCTTTTTTTCCCCAAAGTAGGCTTTGCTTACTTTGGGACTTGATAACGTTATGTAGAAATAAGTCGTGAAATATTTATTTATCACTTATTCATTTTATTTTTTTTCAAATGTAGGTCACTTAACTCCCAATCTAAAACGAATTTTAACACCACACTTACAAGAAGCAATCCATCAATAGAGTTCATTTTCGTCATCATCCAAACCAAGTCAATATTTTTTTTTGGACTGGATGAGCATCTGTTGGCCATAGGGACCTTCACAGTTCCGACGGGCTTGAGGGCGCTCGGGGCGCCTAGCCTGAACCTCGGCGCATTATGGTGTTATTATTATGCGTTATGGTGACTAAGATCGAGAGCTCCCGAGGGAACCTCGGCTCGGGCCGTCACGCTATTATTATCACCGATTTAGGAGGCCGCCAAGCTCTTAGGGCGCTTTGGCGGGCGCCTCATAGTGATCAGGCTCAAGGGTCCCCGAGAGGGGACCTCGGCTTGGGCTGTCACTCAACACGCGTTTAGCATTCCGATTCGAGGGTGCCCGAGAGGGCCGGACCTCGGCTCGATCGGTAGCTGTTATCTGACTGGACCAAGTCTACAGAGGACGCCCCAACTCTAGGCTACCCCTTGGTGTGGCAAGTTGCCGAGTTATATACGTATTTTTTTTATAATAAAATAAAAAATCACAGTCGCTTACCTCCATCTTGATCTCCGTATCGCCGACGCTCCCGGTGACGCTGGTGATGATCGGATTGAGGTACTCCTCGTCCTCCAGCTCCTGTTTGATGGTGACCGTGTCGCTCTCCTCGAGCTGTTGCAACACCTGGCCGAGGAAGTGCTTGTTGTGTGTGTGCATGTGCTTCTGCAGGTGGTCCTTGCGGTAGAACGCTGTTAAAACGAGGACACCAAATCGAATTAAGAGCATTTTTGCCATTTACCCGACTGCCGGAGGTGGGTAATGTTTTTCGGGCGTATCTATGGTGCACGTGTATCTATTTTTTTTTAACACAGACTAAACCTTTTTATCTGGCGTATGTAAAGATTTAAGAGGTTAAGGATTAGGGACATTAATTCTTATTGCAAGCAAATCGAAATTTATTTGTAGAACAAATATTACCAGCGCGAAATTAACCCTTATTACTATAGTGTAAGGCTAAAAAAATAAAAACATCTTAGGGTTGAACGATTTCTCAATTGGTCCCTTTTTTTACACGTTGTTGGCAAAGTTGGAATGAAAGTCAAGAAATCTATAATAAGGTTAGCGGTGATGCCCTTAGTGGCGGTGATAACACTTTATTTGTATATGTGTGTATTTATAGATAAACATGACGAACGAATTTCACTCAAGACTTATGGGAAGGATAATATTACTAAATCTTAAGGGGTAGTAAGTGCAGTTTTGAAATAAAATACCGGTCTTATAGAAGACCTGCTAAAAGCGGAAGTGTCATACTTCTGAGTTTAGTCTGGTGGGTGAGGTAACCGAAGCCATTTTATTAAAAAGTTGCAACGCATCTGCAACTTTACGCGTGTTGCAAATATCCATTGGCAGCGGCTATTATTTAATATTAGGTGAACTGTCAACTCGCTTGCCATCTTTTGACATTAAAAAAAACCCCTTTTCAGTTCTCTCTTTCTATTTGACAAATCAATTATTGATATTTGCAATGAAAAAAACGTAGTCATACTCAAAAAAACATCAACATTTTGCTTTAATTACTAATAGAAAAAAAAACTTGGGTTCTAAAATTAATACAGTTCAATTAAAATAGTTGATTTTAATAGTTCACAGTTGTATATTCGTTCGCAATGCGTATAGCAAAGGAATGGAATAATTTACCAGCGTCGTTCTTTACGATTACAATGCGAGTTCCTCCTAGGTAAGAGGCTAGGAGGCTAGAATAGGCCTTCACAGAGATACTGCGTTTATCATTTACGACACTGCTCTGATACCATCGAACAAGTTAGTCAAGCACCATTTGTAAACAAAAAAAAATTATTAACAAACTGGCTGGTTACACACACACCATAATACAGGTTTAAAAAATTTATTTCCACCCACTTTTACAAGCCTATCGAGCCGTGATAGCTCAGTGTCCGGGCGCTCGCCTTTAATTCAATATACTCGAGCAACCTGAGTTCGATCCCCGGTGCCGGCACCAATGAAGTTTTTCACTTTAAGTGCTGACTTATCACGTGCTCCGCGGTGAAGGAAAACATCGTGAGGGAACCTGCGTATTTTCGAAATAATAACAAAATAAAAATATTTCGAAGATATGTGAAGTCCGCCAATCCGCAGTGGGGCCGCGTGGTGGACTATGCCCTGATACCCTCTGTATAGAGGAGGCCTTTGCTCAACAGTGGGACATGTATAGGCTGTTACTTTTTTACACTTTTACAAGCCGCATTTTTTCATACGATGGCATAAACGGTTAACGGACAGGATGTAAATTGACAACAGTAGAACAACCTCCACAAGTTTAAGTTATAGCAAATTCAGTGCAGAGACTTCAGGATTGTGCTCGATTGCAATTTGCGTGGGAAACCGTATATATATATATATATATATATAACCGAGCGGTGTCACGATCAAATCTGAGCCTAACTGCTGAACGGTTAAGGAATATGTTCGGATAACTCACTCTTTTCGCAGACGCCGCACTCGAGCGTTTTATCGCCTTTGTGTATGGAGAGGTGAATGTTGAGATGCTCCTTTCGTTTGAAGGCCTTTTCGCAGACGGGGCAGATGTGCGGTCTCACCTCCATGTGCTCTTGGGTGTGCCGCTCCAAATGCTCCTTGCGCTTCAGTCTGTGGCAGAGATCTTTCGTCAGCTGATGGGAATGGCAGCCGCGACGGGCTCAATATCAGTGTTCTCACTGACTCACGAAAACTGTATCGGAGCAGTTAAAGAATGCTCGTACCAGATATTTTCTCCAACTTTCGATGATTTATTGGTTGCGTCCCAGTGTCTTTGTATCTAATATAACGCCTAGCTATGCAAGCGCTTGAGGGAAATATGCCAAAGCTCTCCAATGTAAAGTTGGCCGAGCGTGTCAGTCGACAGATCCAATATGGGTCTGCCTCGAAGTGTCACTCGTTTTTATAATTTTATCTGTACAGTACGGGCTGCGTTTGTTAAAAGAAAAAAAAACGAATTACACCTTAGTTGGTAATTTTGGAGTGTGACCTTTTTCACGGTTGAGGACGTACTTGGACTTACCGCGATATCTCTAAGCTATGCTCACTGGGTTGGTTAAGACAGTATACAATAGATATATAAAAAAATGTCCTTATTGCAGCACGCACGAATGAAACAGTCAAAGCAAATACTATATATAAAAGTGAGGTATAGCTCAACTACAAGTCCTCTGGTATAGCTAATGTCCATGGATGGTGCTGATAATTCACCACCACGTCAACCGCAAGCCCCTTTGCCTCATACTTATTATAAAAAACTTCCTAACGCTTAGCTAGTACGACTGAAAATTAAAAACGCTGAATGCAGTAGCAGATGCTTAAGTATGAGAAGAGCGTTTTATTTGCGCTTAGATGTAGTCCGACACTATGACACATACTTACCACAGCGTTGCCAAACATATGATAATATGATAAGTCCTCATACAAATAGAACGTAGGCTGTTGAAGGAAAAACGTAAGGACTAATACAATCCTTATTATTGCCAACATAAATTGAACGATGTATCACAGACACGCTCACACGTGACTAAATCTCATAAAAACCAGTAGCATATTCCATTCACTTGTAAATTAGCAGAGCGACTGGCCGGTAGCACGTTTGATGGAGAAAAAAAAACTATATACACTATACTGAGAATAGACAATACGTTTATTTCTACATAAAATAGGTAGTGTGCTAACATCAGCTCTTTCGGCGAGCGCGTGAGCCGCGTACCGAACTGAACTGACTGACGCCTTCGATAGACTTGTATGTTGTCGGTTTATCTTTATACATAATTATACATAATTCTTCTGTGCGTGTGTATGTGATTGAACTCTTAAACGATTGGAGTGATTTTGATGTATTTGTGTGAATTGTTTTTTGTGTGTATTCAAATGAATTCGAGAATGGTTTACATTCACAATTCCTCCACTACAAAATGTTTTTTTTTAATTATTTATTTTGTTTATAAGTTGTTAGTTTTAACAGACTGTACAGGATAACGTCTGCGGGACCGCTAGTATTCTAGCTATTATTGAGAGTAATTAAGTTCAGATTGCGACTAAAATCGTGTATAAATATCGCGATTGCCGTTTTAAGGTGTACTTATTTTTTTTTTGGTTGACTCTCCTCATGACTCCGTGGCACAGCTGCCAAGGTGTTGACTAAGGCGCCGGGAATCGTGAGTCCGATTCCCAAACGACACCAATATTTGTGTAATCCACAGATGTTTCCCAAATAGTTTCTGATCTGGGTATTTCTCCAAGTGAAAAATACGTATATTAAACGTCCTTACAAAACAGGATAATGTTTACAGTAAGGGGCAATGTTTTCGAAGTGAAGACTACAATATATCTTCAAGGTCACAGCGGTCGTTGGGACTTACTACCCAATTACTAATACCTACAAAATACTACACACGAAATACAATAAAATACAAATACTCATTTTTACGCCGGTTTTAACGTTTTCAGAAAACGTGGCACATTCGTCCTCTTTCTCGAGTATTTGCTGCCAGTTCTAAAATGTGTTGACATAAACCATAAACAACATAATACTTTTATTTATAAACAATAATTAAAGAACCTTACCCCGTTCCACACATGCTGCACAGATATCTGTACTCGTTTGTGTGCGTGCAAAGGTGCAGCTCCATTTTCTCCTTGTCATCATATTCGGCGGAACACTCGATGCAGGTGTAGCGGGTGACGCCATTTTTGTTTCGACCGATTCGCGCCAATTTGCTGCGCGCCAACAGGTTGCGCCTCAGGATCTCTTCCACGGATCTCATTTCTGCAACAAGTCAACATTGTAAAGAAAATCGATTTTATATTATTTAATCTGTTTTATACTTTCTTGAGGAAATATATTACGCCCGTCAGCTTGGTTGATGAAAATGCGTACGTCATTCCTATTGACATTCTAATATGACAAGAAATTATTTAATGTAAAAAAAATGAAAATAAAAAAATTCAAGGAGTTTCTAGTTCTTATAAGGTCTTTGGTATTTTTGCAATGAAATAACAAAAGTACTTCTCCGAATCCCGTTTGGTGCCGTCCATTAATCACGTGATGTTTTTTTTAGCATTTTTAACCCCCCTCCTCCCCCTTGGTGATACGTGGTGAGGTTTAAGACTATCCCCCACCCTCACCACCCAACATCACGTGTATTTTTACCGACAGACAGTTAAAAGAGACTTTCATTTTTATTACGTTGAACCACCAGGTCGTCCGCATGCCGTTGACATCGAGCTCGGGACTGTTCTGTAGTGTTAGCGGCCCGCTGACGTGCCAGATAAGCAGCGTGTGGTCGGCTTCGATCTTGGGACTGTTCTGATGTCTCGATAGCTCTGTGTGCCGCTTGGCGCACCGCCTGCCCCAGCCTTCTCAGTTCGGCTTGTTGGGACGTCTCGTTATGTCGAGCTATTTTCTTAGCTCTGGCTTTATTGGGGCTTTGTGATATATTGGACTTACGCTTTAGCGGCATTATTGTGAGTACTGTTTAAAGAAATCATGAAATTTTCAAACAACTAAAATAATTACCAATGGCAATTAATAGAAAAACCACGTACTAGAAACCACGGACGCAGTTAAACGGTGGTAGGGCCACGCAGCAGCCTCGGCTGTTGCCTGAATGGGCAGGCTCCTAAGGGGATACTTTCGCGTTTCGTCTGGTGGGTGAGGTGGCCGGTGCCCAATTTTCAAAAGACTGTCAAAGTATCTGCAACCCTCGGGTGTAGCAGATGTTCGTGGGCGGCGGTATTCACTTAACAACAGATGAAACGTCTGCTCGCTTGGCAACTTTTCACATTAAAAAAACCACGCCATGGAATCAGTGTCGCTTCGCAACCTATTTCATGGTGTCGGCTTTATGTCTCTCGCGTCATAAAAATCCACTCTTACAATTTTCCCCAACGTTTACGGTTCACAGTCACACCAGAGCTTAAGATGCATGCTTACTATAGTCACGTAAAATCTCAGGTTAAACTTAAAACAGTTTTAACTACATCGAAAAAGATTCAAAACGAATGTATGTGGCGTTAAAGAAGCGTCGAATCAATCATTTTAATACAGACCTTATTCCGCGAAAATATAACCATTAAAGCATAAAACAAAAAGTGCATGACTTTTTGTGTATCGCACGTTTCTTATTGCTTCTCCGTTTATAATTTAAACTCGTTAATAAACAATAAGCTTTAGCGGGTTTGCTTCGGTAGTTTGCTTTTTAAATTTACATCATAACTTTCATTTTACAGCTTGCTTTCATTGTAACTTTAGAGACAATTTAAGGTGTTAACATCCAACATAAACAATAACGAGCTGTTGTTACTTCAGGGCGCAGTAAAAATATGTTATAAAGTAATTATTCTTAAGCGTTAACACATTATTTTGTTGTTTTAGTTTGGTAAATGAATAGCCCTATAAACAGATTTATCGCGTTAATACATACAGTGTTCGAGTTTTACAGGCAATGGTTTCGCGCCGACTTATAATGATGATATTTTTTGTTAAAAATACAAAAATCAATCTCTGTTAAATTGCATTCTGGATGGATACTGTTCAAATGTTTAATTGCATTCTTCAGTAATAAAAAAAGAAACGCAACTTTAGGAATTACCGAGGTTATTATAAATATTCAAAATCTTTTTTGTTTACGTTTCCCATGTATCATAGCGAAAAATAGATCAGGGTAACTCAAAAAAAATATTAACAAGACTGTCATTCTAATTAAAAAAAAATACTTTAAAATAAAGGTATAGTCACACAGTTGACCACTTAAAAATCTATGCATCTTTGGGTGGGACTTACAAACGCAGGGATTCAAAGCGACCAGTAGCACATTCATTCATTCCCCATTCCTCCTACTTATCTTTGATACATTTGGCAGCAGATCTGCTGAGTGCAGTGAATGAGGCTACATTACATTATGACATTACATTACATACATTACATGGGGTACACATCTCTATGGCGGCTGTACCAATAACATTTTTCATTGTCAGTACTTTCGTTTTTTATCATCCGTGTCCGGTACAAGCCGCAGGCACCCCTCTAGGGACCTTATAATAAAACGTCATATAACTCGCTACCTATGTCTATACTGTTAGGGTTCAATTTCGTAGAAATTGATTCATTTAAATGTTCGTTACAGTGTTCTTACACGCAGAGTTCATTTTATAAATGAAAAAACGAACTAGTCAAGCGTCAAGGGATAAAACATGAATAACGGTGACTTAGGATGCCATTTATTATTGTGGGTCACATTTAAAAAAAAAAACATTTAAGATTATTTGCTCCGATCTTACGGTGACAAAGCGCGAGTTACATTTCGCGATAGTTATTTAAATATCTTTACTTAATTACGTTTCTTATTTTTTATTTAGTTATTTTTATTATGCTTTTTTGCATGCATCGGAAATGAGATCGCTAAGGTGCTACTTTCGGCGGGCTATATTAAAATTGTATTACATAATTAAATTATATTGGTTATTCAAGTAATCTTGTAATATATGTGGTGCAATATATAGCATGCTAAAAACAATTTCACGAATATCAATCGCCTTTGCACAGTTGGAAACAAGATTAAGATACGGACAACAGATCAGATGTCGGTAATTTCGTGAGTTGGGAGTAAACAAAGTTAAATGATAATATACATAGAGAAACAATTACATCTGTTCCGTGAAGGGGCAGGTAGGGATCTCAAATATCCAGGTATCTTCGTACACCCTTATTATGCCATATCATGATATCGGTAAATTTAACCCCACAAAAATTGAATGAGTAACCTCTGAACAGATAAACTACTAGGTGGATCTCTCAAGATAAAAGCAAATACGATTGACTCAGTGGGAATATGGTCCGGAACTCACATTGCCGTATCGTATCAAATGCCTACGAAGAAACATCGGTTTAAGATTCGAATTCATTTCTAACTTTTCCCGCCTATCATTAACTTTACGAACTAGAAATGTTTTTCGTTAGTTCGATGGTTTTCCTGTGGTAGTGTGTTTTAGCCGCGAATATTTTGGAAAACTGTAGTTGTTGTAAAATGATGCTCGAATCAACGTTAGCATTAGTCTATAAAAACTATTTAGGTATCTACAAAATCTATGTAGGTATCAATAAAATCTATAATAATTGTCAAATTTATCGTAATAAAAAAGTACACAACGTACACTATACTGAGTACGTCGTGTAAAATAGTTTACCGTGGCTGGAATTTATTTAAGGTAAAAAAAAAAAATTAAACATAGAAGAGAAACACTGATAATATTTCAAATTACCTTCAAATTTTTTATCCATGTTGAAACACTTTTATCCAAACTTTAAATAAGCAGGCACCTAAAACTCTCACATTGACGCACGCGAAACTAAATTTGAAATAGTTATCCCTTCTCTTATCCACGGTCTCCCAAGGCCTAAGCTCCCCTCCGCAGAGGGGTGACTACCCTTTGTCTACCCTAACATCCCCTACAACAGGGGAGGGGACCCCACTTCGTCCGGTTAGGAGGGTGGGCTCAGTCACTTAACCCCGCATTGATTCAAAATCTTTCTACCTGAATCGTGAATAACCGTTAGAAAAAAATAATAATAACCTAGTAGTCTTTTACTTGCTTGCACTAATGAAAACTTTGTTATTCGCTGGTGTAGTTATGCTGCAAGATGAAAACTTAAAACAAAACTTTTTAAGTTGGTAATTATTTTAGCGTACTTTCAAATTTAATTTATTCTCCCACATACCATATTTATTCTTTAAGTTATGTCACAACAAATTATTCTTTTAACGTTCACAACAAAACAAAACACGACACTAAAGTCACAACAAATCACTCCATTGACCTGAACTGCAACTGACAATGACGTGACGTGAACGAAATGAACGAATAAACCAGCAGCAGCGGTTGGCTGGTGATCAAAAACAGCACGCCGCACGCGTGACGCGACCGACTGACTGATTACTGCAGTGTTACCAACTCTCGAAAATATTTGTCCCTAAAGTTTAAGTCAAAAACCCCTAAAACCCCCTAATTAATAATATGAAAAAAAAAAAAATGTAAATAGCGCAAAGATTTGCGTTACTCCAGGCCCTTTATTTTTAAAATTATTAAAAATTTTGTGAGACATTATTAGAGTAAACTGGTGTATGTACACATCCGCAAGATACGAAAGATGAACGTCAACAATTCGGCGGTGGCAGGGCAGAGCACGCCCTTAACTTCAACGATAAGGTAAAAGTGTTATCTCGTGAAAAGAATTCGCGTCACGGAAGCTCTTTCACGGAAACCATCGAGATCGAACGTTGGGCCAATTTTAGTAAAGACAAGGAATGGACTCTGCCAACTACTTGAAAAACCATGTTGTTGAATGCAACAACGAATAAGAACAATTGTGCTAGCGATAGGGTAGTGGACATAGCGAGTACATTTTGTGCGACACTAAACACCAACAGTGACATTGTATCAACCTCACTGGATTGGTTATCTCATCGCCATCAGCGCAACCCGCGCGCTCCATCCACGTTGTGAGCTCAGGCGCGCAGTGCGAGACTGGGAATCCCACCCACCCTGATGTAGGACCTCGCAGGTTTAACATGATTTCGGCCATCTTATTATAGTGCCTTTATTTTTCTTAATCCAAGGAAATAGCATTCTTGCAATTTTTATATTTTTCCCTACATTTTATTTCTATAAAACGTATGAAAAAATATAAAAATTCAAATATCCCTAATAATAATCCTAAAAATGTAACGCTACTTATAAAAATTCGAACGCGTTTGTTTACCTCCTAAATTTTGGGGGAAAACCCCTAAGTTGGTAACCCTGGATTACTGAATAAAATGGAAGGAAATAAATGAATGAACACTTGAACAGTAACGACGTTCCATTTTCCCTAACTCCCTAAGAGTTTTTGGCTAAGGTTAAGTTAGACAATTTAATAAAAAAAAAGATAACTCAATTAAATTTAAGTTGAGGGTCAAGTTCAGCAATTGAACTTCAAGTATTTTATGTATTAAGTGCAACGGACCATTAGTAACAAATGATAACTTGTTTTCTTAATCTCTGACAATGTGATAATTTGACAAGTGACAGCAGCTAGATCGTATATTTAAATTATCACGTGGGTTTGTTTTTTTTTATTTAAGTTTAACTCTTTTGAGAGGCAAGAGTAACTTTTTATACTTGATTTTCATTACTTAAAGTGTAAAACATACCTCGTAATAATATATTTGTTTTCAATATCAATTGCTACAAGTATTCTCCTTACCATGGACTGTGATAAAAAACTTGAAGAATTGGCTCTCAATTTGTTTAAAATTGATGCCGTAAAGTTTGGTGACTTTACAACCAAAAGTGGCATAAAGACGCCGGTTTACTTCGATTTGAGGGTTATTGTTAGCTATCCAAATGTAATGGTAGGTACGAAAAAATACTTATATGAAAATAATAAATGTAAAATAGGAAGATGAAACTGATAATTTATTTTTCTCATTTCACTTTTTATTTTCAGGAATCAATTTCCAATCTTCTTTATGAAGTAACATTGAAAAATAGTAATTTTGAGCATCTTTGTGGAGTACCATATACAGCCTTGCCAATTGCCACTTTGCTAAGTGTTAAAGCCAAGAAATCTATGTTGATGCGGCGAAAGGAGGCTAAGTCTTATGGCACCAAGAAAGTTATTGAAGGACATTATAAAGCTGGCCAGAAATGTTTTATTGTAGAGGATGTAGTTACATCAGGTTCAAGTGTGCTTGAAACAGTAAGAGATTTAAGGAATGAAGGTTTGATAGCTGATGAAGCTGTTATTATTTTGGATAGAGAACAGGGTGGAAAGCAAAATCTAGAATCAAACAATGTTAAAATGACATCTCTGTTTACCATGTCTAAATTAATTGACATTCTGATTAAGAACAAATGCATAAGTGAGCAGACTGGGACTGAAGTTAATAGCTATTTTAAAAACACCCAAGCACCATCACTTGGTGAGTTCTGACAAATATATTTATATTTATAATACAAATCTGGTAGTAAGTAGAAAACTATGTAATCAACTAATATTCAGGAAGTATTCATTTAATATTTTAAGCATATAAGAAGCATAATATAAAAATTAATATATGTAGTATTGGTTTCTCACTTCAATTACAAAAAAATAACTTGTATACTTTATTCATTACAGTGCCATCAATTGAGAGAATATATCTACCTTTTGAAAAACGAGCTGAACTAACAACAAATTCTATAGCTAAAGATCTGTTTAACATAATGGCTACAAAGAAAACTAATCTCTGCCTCTCCATAGACCTGACAACTTCTACACAGATATTTAATCTTCTAGAAAAAGTTGGGGAGCATGTTTGTCTAGTAAAAACACATGTTGATATAATTGAAGATTTTACTTATGATTTTGTAACACAGCTTAAACAGTTGGCAAAGAAATTTAACTTTCTTATATTAGAAGACAGAAAATATGCTGATATTGGCAACACTGTATCACTTCAGCATTCAAAAGGAGTTTATAAAGTCAAAGAATGGGCTGATTGTGTGACAGTACACTCATTGCCTGGTGAAGGAATATTAAAAGCATTAAATGGATCCACAAACAATGTTAACAGTGGAGTTTTCTTGTTGGCTGAAATGAGTAGTGAGGTTAGTTATTTATTTAAAACTCATCTTATTCATTTTGTTATTGTGTATGTTTGATAAAGTTATTGGTACTTAATAAGAATAATAAACAAAAACAATAAATTTTATGGCTTTCAGGGGAATCTTATCACACCAGAGTATACAGAAGCAACTGTGAAAATGGCTGGAAAATTTCCACACTTGATAACTGGCTTTGTTTGTCAAAAGAAAGAAACATTCAAGGACCCTGGACTCATACAGCTCACTCCAGGAGTTCAGCTTGAGAGTTCCAAAGATGAACTTGGGCAGGTGTACAATACTCCAGAGAAAGTTGTTCTAGATAATGGAGCAGATGTGGTGGTGGTTGGGCGTGGCATTGTTGCCTCCAAAAATCCAGAAGTCCAAGCTGTTATATATAAAGATACTCTCTGGAAATGTTACATGAAGAGAATTTCTGGGAAACTAGAATGATTTTCAAGACATTTTTATGTGTAGACTTAAGAATTACTAATAGCTAAACATGTATGAATAAAAACAACCTTATTATACATTATATTATACATTCCAAGTACAACAGTTGTTAATATAAAGTAAATGTTAAAATATATAACATTTATTTTTATCTCTATTTTGAAGGTTAATACTGTCCAGAGTTTAACATAAAGGAGTTAGTCCATAAACTTTTAAATAAATAATAACTCACTCAAATATGAAACTGAAAAGAGGCCATGAAAATTTGTTAAAGATGTAGAAAAAATTATAGTATTTTATACAAAGTTTTATCCTTATATTGCATTATTTTTTAAATATATGCTTATAGTGTGTAAGAGAGCAGATTTTATATAAACTACTGTCTATTTGTGGTAATAAAAATATTTGGAATACTATGACTTTCTATAATTATATGTATTAGTAATAATGTATTTGTTGTATAATAGTTATGGTTGGTTACAAGGATCTATTTACGGTTGTAATATATTACAAGTTATAAGCAACAAACACCTAAATGGGAAATAAGAATATGAATTACCAATTGAAACATTTAAAAGCTGATTAAAATGAAGTAAATAATTTTATTTATCTAAAATATTGATAAATTTTATTTTTATTTATTTAATCTTTATTGCCAAAAAGTAAAAGTAAGCCTATACATGTCCCACTGCTGGGCAAAGGCCTCCTCTATACAGAGGGTATCAGGGCATAGTCCACCACGCGGCTCCACTGCGGATTGGCGGACTTCACATATCTTCGATTTTTTGCTCGAGTATTATTGAATTAAAGGCGAGCGCCCGGACACTGAGCTATCACGGCTTTATTGCCAACCTTCAATGAAAAAAGGTAACAAAGGGCGGACTTAATGCCCAAAGGCATTCTCTACCAGTCAACCCAGGAAGTGGTGAGAGTTTATGGTAGGTGCAGCAAAAGATGCAAGAATAACTAAACTAAAGAAACACTATCTAATAAATGTAAAAGTGTATAATAAATATTTCTATAATGTATCCTTAATAAATAAAAGTAATATTATAGATTTCAACCTATGTTTACAATCCCCTAAGTTTTACCTGCTCAAGGTGGACGAGGAAGAGAGGAGACAATATTAACGATGATACTGACATTCCTAGAGGAGATTTGCGTTATCTCAATAACCGTGAGAGAATTTCCGAGCTTACACAATCGTTTAGTTTGCTCCCCACGATGGACAAAATTTATAAGCATCATTCTAGCGAGCAGTTCGGCATTAAGACCGGGCACTCGAACGTCCTTAAAGTGCACCGCCTCAAGGAATACTTAGGTACTCTATAATCATCTATTGACGACTCTAATAAGAATAGCTGCAAGGGGTTACCCATGTTCGATGTCGTGTAGCCGTCTGTCTATTGGGCAAGCTAAATAAAAATATTAAAATCATACGAGACTACTTGTCGACATATCTACGTAAAATGATCGCTCATGCTTATTAGAATACAAAAACATTTGCTTTGCGATCGAACATTAAATTATTTACGAAACACAAGATTTTAAGAAAGTAATCAAATCACCAATTCGACTACACGCTCTAGTGTCGTCCGGCCCAGTTTATTCAAATGTAGTCTGTGGTCCAGCCGTCCAGCTTTCGGCTGCATTGCAGCAGTTGGGAAGTTTCAAGTTGCCATCACCATCACCAATTATATGGTATCACTAGATCGATCTGTCATGTGAACAAATGTCAATTATGTCAAAATTACGATACGATTTACATCTGTGTGGTATATTGAGTGTTTTGTAACCTCGCTCGTAAAAAAACAAAACAAAGGATCACAAACATTAGAATATGGATCATATAATAAAGGAATTAGATATAAACGGCAAAAATGTATTCCCCACAAACTCAACAAACCTTTTCGCAGTTATTGTTCATAGCAATTGGTTAAAAAAGTGGTTAAAAAACTTGGAAGTTGATAATTCAGTGAATAACATTGATATTGCATTACAACCAGGTGAAAGTGTTCCTTATCCGTGGCGTAAAATATTTATAAGGGTGTGTATTCCTATCATTCTCTCCTCAATTTATTTAATACCCTTTTTAAATATTTAATTCCCCTTTTTTCTTGTAGGTGATAAATAAAAAATGCTCCAAGGTATTACCATTACCAAGGTATAAACTTAATGAGAGTAATGCAGAACTGCCACTTACATTTTCTCAGTTGCTACATTGTATTTCTCAAACAAATCAAAGGAACTTGTGGAAAGAATCATATAAAAAATACTGTCAGAACAATGAAAACAATAAAGAGACTACATTAGTTAATCTTTTAGAACATGATCAACTGTTATCTGAGGTGATATTAAGATTGTATGGCTGTAATATTATTAGGGTAAGAAATGATTCCAAATTACATGAGTACAAAGACATAATACCCAATAAGAATATTTCTAAATCTTATGAGACCCATGTCAATTTGTTAGCTGCCATGATCACATTGGAAACTGATAATAATTATTTTATTGTGTATAGAGGACATTACGAAAACAATCTGCTAGATTGTCTAAACTTCAGTCCAAATTTAATAGACAAAACATATGCTCGTAGTCTGTTCATTATATACCAATTATTAAATGTATCAAAGGCAATGTGTGATAGAGGTCTAAGCATGGGTCTGCTTAGGCTTCAAGATATTTATTTGTCTGAGAACCTCTGGCTGCAGATAATTCCTTCAATAACAAACAATATTCATTGCTTAGACACTTCCCTCATATATGAATACAATAGAAATAAACAGAACACATCAGCACCAAATCAAATCATGAATTCCAAACCAAACGAGGATGTCAGTTGGCGAAATGAGGCAGTACAGCTGGAAAAATTATGCGCTCTTTGGGTCAGAGGAAGAAATTTCTAATTTGGATTACCTTCTGCATTTAAACTTGTTAGTTGGCAGAGGTTGTAATGATCCTCAAGCACATTTTATGGTTCCTTGGGTCACAGATTTTGCTTCTCGATGTGGTAAGTTAATGAATTATTACTCATATGACATGTAATGAAATGAAAGTTAAACTTTTAAAGTATTATCAACTAGTTTCATTATTAAAATCGTACACTGCTTGAGTTTAGTTTACTCTCCGTTTAACATATGTATTGAGTTTGCTCCTACTGTTTGGATCAAAGATTGTAATATGAAATTTGGCACTAGTACCCAGTATGTAGCTCTTACAATATTTTAAATGAATGAATATTTATTTAGTTTCAACAAATGTTAATAGTTAAATGAATATTTATAAAGAAGGCATGAAACTAAATAGGTATGTGCTCTGCATGATTTACCGATTTTGGGTACATAGCAAAAAAAAATTATGAATTTGTAAACTAAGTTTCTGGAAAACTAAAATTTCTGATTATCATCAAATCCTATTATATATTATAATAGACCTAAATTTAAGAGCAAACTGCAATGTAGTACAATTAACTTATCTAATCTAATTAATATGCACAATGTATTGATGATAACCATTTAAACTTCTTTAACAATTGTTTTACAGGCAGGAATTGGCGGGATCTGAGTAAATCGAAATATAGACTAAACAAAGGAGACCGGCAACTGGACATGACATATGAAGTGACCAGTGCCAATGGTCAGATTCCTCACCATGTTTCAGATGCATTATCTGACATCACATGCTATGTATATTTGGCGCGGAGGTTAGAAAGAATTTTATAATAATTAATTTATGGGAAAGATCTTATGTGTATTAAACAAAGTTCTCACATTTAGTCCTAAGACTATTAATGCTTCATAGATCACCAAACACCCAAGCAAGTGTAAGCATTTTAACATTTTCTATATATCTGTAAAGATATTTGCCAAAAACCTACTGTTTCCATGTAATTTCTTTGTTTATATTTAAGGTACATGCTAAATGTGGAACAATAAATAACTCTTATGTTATCAACTCAGTTCAGTATTGTTGTTAAAGTAAACAATGATAAAGTAACAATGTATTGTAATTTATATCTTTCAATCAATTAGTGGTGGCAAACAAAACATCTATAAATACTTGATATCTAATAATCACTTCTTGAAAAAGTTTTGGAGAGAGCTCAGTTTGTGACACTAGTTCTGTACAAGGCCTTAATAAATTATGCACTTATCTGCTCATAAATTTGATAACATTTATACTCATTTATTTTGTTAATACAATTATTCACTGCCATATTATTTATTTATATAATTGTGCTCTAATAATGTAAGTTATCTTTAACTTACGTAATTAGAACATTCCTTTAAAATTCATCTAGAAGTTTTTTTTTTAGTTTGTTATTGATTCTCCATGAATTATTAAAAAGTTCTTTTGCTATATTCTGAATTGATAAAGAGTGAACTTTTTTATCGTCTTGTATATAAATACTATTCTACGTGATATAGATTTCCGAAGTAACAACAATGTATAAAAAATAAAAAGATTAAATACTCTCGCTAATTTATTCGATTCTGTAACCAGTAGTCCGATAATGTTACTGATTTATTGCGCGTATCTATTCATACTCGTCCATAATAATATATACGTCTATATACGCACGCAAACAAGTTAATTTGTGATAGATATTTCGATGCCCTTACACTTTACCCCTGGCCGTACGATAGCATTTTCCTGTGTGATACAGCCGTTTTACACAGAAAATTTGATACGGACAAACGTTCCGATCGGAACTGATTGTTATACTAATGCAGAACATACACATTATGCGTAGGAATCGAGTCTACGACCCTCGACAATGCCTCAGTAGTTCCGCACATTATACAAATATCAAATCCCTTCTTTGTTAACATTCCACGCACTCGAAACCAATTTCTTCGATTTTTCGTTAATTTTTGAGCGCGGGAATGGAAATTTGAGAATTTGCCCTTTGTCTTTCCGTCCAAATGAGGAGGATTGTATAGGCTTTTACTGAGTTAGAGCTTTTACCATCAACGGCTGCATCACCACTTAACATCAGGTGGGATACGAGACAGTCCCTTATAAAAATAGTAGCGTAAGCTGTTCGTGGCAAATCGCAGAACACCGAAGGAGATCCTGTGCAAACACGTGCGCAACAAATGGGTGCCAGCAGAGTACCCTGCCTCCATTCAGCGAATGCAGGAGTGGACCCCGGACGAGTGCATACCGGAGTTCTACACGGACCCCATCGTGTTCAAGAGCATTCACGAGGACCTTCCGGTAACAGACCCATTACATAAATCCCATCAATACTTAGGTTATATTCATTTTCCAACTTAGACTCACAATGCTTTCGTATGTAGCAGAGATTTATAGCATTTTCTGGAATTAAAACAAACCTGACGCACGAAGCGTTGTATCAGTTAGTTTTATCTGTATTTAATTTGCTCGCTACTAGTCAAATACCGATAAAAAAAAAAAATAGAATTGAATTTTGGAATTGGATCTAATCAAATTTTTGCTAGTAGTAATCGTCAATTGTTGCTAGAGAACTTAACCGCGTAGCTTTTTCTCAGGCGTACACACATCTGGTTTTTCAATGTCCCATGGTGTTGACAGAGCATTTAATGAACTAGCATACGATACTTAATAGCTTTAATGCAGCCGGTTGCAGCCATCATCCTCCTGCCCCTATCCCACCTAGATGGTATTGGCACAACAAAGGTGGCATACCTTAGCCGGCATCCCTGTCGTAAAAGGGTACACGGACTGGCAGCAGTACGAAGTGGTCTCGAGCAACTGCAAGATGGGGAGGGAATTTGGGTAGGTTTATCTTTGTCCGAGGCGTGTTCAGGCGTAGTAGGCGTATCCTTCCCACGCTCCCCCCCCCGATACAAGAAAAAGACGATTGTAAAAGGGTTCCCAGTAAATGGTTTTGAGTACTATTGCTTTTATTGCCGTAGATAAGTAATGTACCCCTAAGAATATCAGAGGTAAGTGTTACGAGGTCAGTTGGTTCCAGGACTTGGGACTGCCCTCGTGGGCCACCTGCGCCGAGGACTTCATAACCAAGCACAGAGAGGCCCTGGAGAGCACCCACGTGTCGGAGAACCTTCACCACTGGATCGACATTACATTCGGCTATAAGTGAGTTCGATCCTCAATTACTGTCGTATAATTTTACATGTTTCGCCCATACAAAGTGTAAAATGTTGCTACATCAATGTTCGTTTCGTCTGTTAGCATTACCCAAAAGATAATTTATAGTCAGTAGGTACTTTTGCGTGCTTGGAGTGAGGCTTTTTATAATTGAAGCTACATATTTATTCAATGGACCCATTTTGATTCTTGCGATTCCTTGTAGTTACTTTTACCGTTGCTAAACTTTACTTATTTTTCGATATTCGGATACAAAAAAACATTTCCTTTCTCCATTCATTCTTTACAATCAACGCGTTACATTTTCAATTTTCCTGTCAACATTCCCGTCCGATTTACTTCCTACTTTTAATATTTTTTACAGGTTACTTACAGTTGATAGCTCAATGTCCGGGCTCTCGCTTTTAATTCCAAATATTCGAGCAACATAATTTCGATCCCGGTGCCGGCACCAATTAAATTATTAATTATTATGTGCTGACTTATTACGTGTTCAGCGCTGAAGGAAGACATCGCGAGGAAACCTGAATATTTTCGAAATAATAAAAAAATATTTCAAAGATATGTGAAGTCCGTCAATCCACAGTGGGGCCGCGTGGTGGACTATGCCCTAATACCCTCTCACGGTGGTAGGGCCACGCAGCAGCCTCGGCTGTTGCACGAATGGGCAGGCTCGTCCGGGTAAGTACCACGACCTCACGGAAGACCGGCGTCAAGTGGAAGTATAATACTTTCTCGCGTTTCGTCTGGTGAGTGAGGTAGCCGGAGCCCAATTTCCAAGAAGGTTGTCAACGCATCTGCAAACCCTCGGGTGTAGCAGATGTCCATGGGCGGCGGTATTCACTTAACATCGCGTGAACTGTCTGCTCGTTTGGCAAATTTTCACATAAAAAAAAAATACCCAGCCCATTGGCCCAGCTGTAGGACACGTATAGGCTGTCTTTGTCTGTCTTTTATTTTACTTTACACGGTAGATACTACATGTAGTCATCTACCTCCAGTATGTTAATCAATGATCTCATGTCTGGCTTACACTTGCATGGTCGTATGTATGTGTGTGTGCGTGTATGTGAATTCGAAATTCGAAACGTGGTGCGCAGGCTGTCCGGGCCGGCGGCGGTGAAGGCGAAGAACGTTTGCTTGTCGCTGGTCGACAGCCACGCGCGCGTGCGTCGCGGTGCCGCGGTGCAGCTCTTCTGCGCGCCCCACCCGCCGAGGAGGGCGCGCGCCCCCCCGCCCGCGCCCCCCCGCCTCAGGTGGACCGCCCCGCGGGACGTCAGTGAGTGGATCGCTCATTCGTCCGGTCGTTCGTTCATTCATTTGATGTCATTCGATTGCTTGCTAATGATTAGAGGTGCGCGGAATTTAGGTTCGAATTCGCATATCCGGCCGAACATTCGCTCCAAAATTTACCGAACCGAAACGAACGTTGCACTGAATGAACCGGTCTACCTTGTTAATATAACTACTACTTTGTCTTTGTGCTTGATACCGATGTGATGCAAATATGTGTTCATTTTGTGAATGAAGTGTAGAATTTTTTAACAATGGCCTTCAGCTCTTAGTAGTGAAACAGTCATATTAATTGTAACGCCGAATATTGGGCCGAAAATTCGGCGCAACTCTACTAATAATGTTTTTTTTATATCATTATTTTTGTGATCTTTAAAAAATCTCGATCTCTGTCAAGAGTATACTGTAAACTGTCCAGAAAATGCTTTATTTATCTTGGCCATCTAGGTTAAGGGTCATATTTTATATAGAATTAGATTGACAAAAAATAACTTAACTTGGCATCATGTGATAAAATAATGAAATCTAATGTTAAAATTATGCACAACCTTAACGCCAAATTTCTTTTCACAGAGAAAATTGTAAAAAACGAGAGCTCGGAAGAGCTGTCCGATGAAGAGGAGGAATCGAACAGTCTTCCCCAACATGTCTCCCGTCTTCTTCTGCCTCCGCAGAGACTCCGTTCGCGGCACAAGAGCAGCAGCAGAGCTCGTTCTCTTTCCAAGACTCAGGAGGTGTCCGCAGAAGATGGCGCGATTGCGGAGAACAGAGCGTCCTCCCACTCCAGACATTACAAAGTCCAACGCTCTGAGCTCGGCAAGGGAGTTATATACCTCCCGAAGGAGTTCAACCCCGCCGCCTCGATACAAGCGATCGAAACCCTGGACAACTTCAGAACGAAATGCTTCTTCAGCATGGCGGAGGACAAAGAGAGATTGGCAGAAAGCGCGGCGAGGATCAACTTCTATCCCGTGCAGAAGGAAACTAAAGAGGACGCGAATGCGGCATCCAAAGAGAACTGCGACGATAACGCGTTCACTAACCACATGTTTCTCGCTTCGTACGACCAAGGCTATCTGAAGAAGTTCAGCCAGGACGCCCATTTGGACAGCGTGCTGAAAGAGAGGAAGAACAGGATGTTCAACACGCGTTACACGACGGACGCGGCGATATTCAAGCAGTTCGTCACAGAAAGCCGACACCAGGACATGTTGGTAATCGGCTGCCTGATCGTGGAGATATTCCTGCACTCCCACATGCGCGCTCTGCGTACCAACGGTGACGATTTCGTACAGCGGTACGACAGCTGTCGGACCGTTTTGAAGTACAATTACGGCTGCTTACCAAGATGCGTCAGCTATCTGGCGTCGTTGCTGCTGAACGTTCAGCCGCTGACGCTCAGCTTCAAGAACGAGCTGACAACGAAAGGAGACGAGGCGAAATGCGAGAGATCGAGGAAGCTGGTCGTGACGGACAAAGGTCTCCCACATCCTACCCCCGCGCAGCTATTGCAGCCGCTTCTGATGCAGCACTTGATACCGTTCCCCCCCACGTTCAGCGTCCTGTACAACCTGCTCAGCACGCTGCACGAATACGAGCTGACCAGCAGCGAGCTCACCCTCCTCTACATGTACGAGTGCGACGGCGTCCAGTGCGAGAAGTACCAGAACGTGGACAAAACCAAACTGTACTTCAACCAGAGGATCGCCGAGGGGAAAATACAAGCTTGCGTGACTCACTTGTCGGTCCTTCTCAGCCAGATAAACGGCGTCAACCAGTTCGACGTCCTGGACATATTCCTCTCCCACTACATCGAGCTCTTGGAGGACAAGAACACGTCCGTCCTAGCCGCGTGGTACCTATTCGACACCGTCAGCAAGGCGTTAGGGCCGGCGGAGACGCGCAAGAAACTGTTGAAGCACATTCTGAACCTGTACGAAGACGACGAATTCCTCTACGACAAGACGGGGCAGCACAAGCCCACGGAGGTGGACTCGTCCGGCGGTGCAGTGACGAGACACAAGTTCGTGAAGCTGTACCACAACATATTCCTGTTGCAGCTGATGGTACGCTTGGGGCTGCAGTGCTTCCTGGACAACTTCACCCAGCACCTGGTCGAGGCGGTCGGCGGCTACAAAGACGCGTGCACCGAGGCCGGCTCGCCGGGCCACTTGTGCCGCAGCCGTTCCGTGGCGAACAAGAAGCCGCGCTACTCGGACGACAACGTGAAGAACGCGCTGACGACCAGCTCGGACATATTCTCGCCGGACACGTCCTACGGCTCGGAGCACGTTGTGACGCCCAACGTCGAGAGGACCATAATCGAGGTCGGCGAGGCCCTAAAGGACAAGGACGTCGACAGCCGGAGCGAGAGCGAGCTGTTCCACTTCGAAACCGACAAGGACAGGCAGCCCAGCCGCAGCAGCAGAAGCAGATCCCCCACGGGCTCTATGGACTCGAACAAAGAGCCGAACACCCTACACACGCCCTCGCCGTCCTCCGAGTACTTCTCGCCGGGCAACTCGAGATTCTTCACGCCGAACATCTCCATCTCGAACCAGTCGAACCAAAAGGAACCCAACGCCAGTTGCTCTAGAGACGAAAGTCGCGAAACGAACGTGGAAACCCCGGCTAAAGCGTCGCCCGCAACGGACGCCCCACAGCGGCCGATGTTCACTAGCTACCTGCACTTCGCTGACGGGGACTCTAAATCGGAGGACGTAGCAATAGACGAAAACTCCCAGCCGGTCGATAGGAACGAGTTCTCAGAAGACGTCGACGGCGAAGGTCCCCAGAGTTCCAAGGTGCACGACGAAACGGCGTCTTGCAGGATATCCGACATGAGCTCCGAGAGTCTGATCTGGCTGGCTCATCGACTGGGGCCCGTGCTGACCTGCAGGTACATAACGAGGAACCTGCTGAAGATGCTCACGCTGTGCTACATTGGCAAGGAGAATTTGGCGCTCTGCGAGTACGAGCCTAGCGATGAGTTCGACGAGATCTCCGTTGTGAACAGCAGGGTAGTGGGCGATAGAAACTCTGCGAAAGTAATAAAGTGCCTCACGTCCATCGTTGGTGAGTACCGCCCTTTGGTATACGCCTCAAACGTAGTGGATTTGATTCTGTGATTTATTGTATGTGAATGTTTTGTTCCGTTGACTTGTTTTTACGCTTGATGACTTTATTCAGTATTAAAGTGAAAACACCGGCCAAGTGCGAGTCGGACTCACGCACGAAGGGTTCCGTACCATCTATAAAAACGGCATAAAAATCATTTCTGTTATATGCGAGCCCCACTTAAATATTTTTTCTGTTTTTTAGTATTTGTTGTTATAGCGGCAACAGAAATACATCAACAGAAATACATACATGTGTAAAAATTTCAGCTGTCTAACTATCACGGTTCATGAGATGCATCCTGCTGACAGACGGACAGACAGACAGACAAAGGAGTGTTATTAGTATGGATCATATTATTATTATGGTTCCGTACCCAACGGGACGATATTAGTGAGACTACGCTGTCCGTCCGTCTGTCACCGGGCTGCATATCATGAACTGTTAGGCCGTTTGTAATATTTCGATCAGTTTTTCATACCTTCATAGTGTCGTCCCGCTTTCAGCGATGTACGGCGAGCAGTTGATAATGTTCCAATACCTGCCGCATATGGGCGAGCTCATCGCGTCCTGCCGCCGCCGCCTCTCCGCGCCGCTAGAGGGCGGCGTGGTGGCCTGTCTGCAGCTGCTGAAGTACCTCATACCCTATATGTCCGACGTCAAGGTCATGGAGCAGCTGCAGGTACTTTTGTGGTTATAGAGTAGGACTAAGGTATCGCCTGCCTGTCGTAAAAGGCCACTAAAAGGGGACACGGATTGGCAGAAGCTCGAAGTGGCCTCGAGCTGCTGCAAGATGGCGAGGGAATCGGGTGGTAAATTATTTTTGATCAGGCAGGTCACCACTGATACTGGCTCGACGGCAAGGTTCCAGACAAGTTAGTAAGAATTATTATATTTGTTGTTTCGGATAAAGTATTAAAATTTGTAGAAAAAACTTATTCATTTATTTATGTTGACACGTTCTATTAAGAACACCGTATATACCATGGATGATATAAAGAAATTGTCATTTCCTATTAAACTTAAACTCTATTAAATAAAATAAGCACCTTGTCGATGCAGGACACTTTCCTGAAGTCCGTGCTGCAGCCGGCCCTGCGCCTGGCGTCCACCACCCGCTGCTCGTACCCCAACGGGGCCGTGGCGAGGGGTTCCTTGGCGCGGAAGCTTCTAGACGCAATGCACGCCCTGGCGTTGCGCGTCGGCCCGGAGATGACGAGGAGGCACCTCTGCGTGCCGGCCCTGCAGAGGTGCGTGCTGGTGCCACTGTTGCTACGCACCATAGGGTGGGAGGGGCAAGAGGGGGGCAAATACAGAGTGTTTCTTTCCTTGCGTTTTGGCAGTTCAATTGAGATTATGATTTGGCAATATAATAAAATTAACAGACCCTCCCCCCCCCCTTTGATAAAATAAATAATACAATACTTTTTAAATGAGTAAAGTTGGTTACGCTATATGTATGCAGAATCTGACGAGTTCCTTTAAAAAGTGTGCTATCGCATGATTAATTATCTAATGTATTATGTTCTAAAAACCTTTAGAACATAAGTTTATGTAAGTACCGCAGTACGTTATGTATAATGCAGTATATAAGTACGTTACTTGTCCCGTTTGGGAATCTTACCCACGACCCCCGGTGCCGAAACCAACCAACCGACTGTACTTCCAAGTAATCAAATTGTTACATTCTAAGAGTGTTATTTGTGTACTGCACAGGTTTTTCTTGGCCTTCGACAAGGCAACTGGCAAGGTGGAAAACTGGCCGAAGCAGGAGGACAGTATCGGCGACAAAGTGAGTTTATCGTCATAAATTTAATATTCAAATCCGTATTAATCCTTACTATAATATTATAAAATAGAAAGTTTGTACGTATGGATGGATGTTTGTTACTCTTTCACGCAAATACTACTGAATGTATTTTAATGAAACTTTACAATAATATAGCTTATACATCAGAATAAAACATAGACTATAATTTATATACGTATTTTATGTATATCTGTCTTTCTGTCTGTATATTACGCCTTGAACCTATTCCACGCAGACGTAGTCGCGGGCAGCAGCTAGTATAATATAATCCAGATTTCTCAAAGTTTATTTGGTCCAAAATTTGACAGGATGATCCTTATTATGCTAATGTACCGCAGAGATTTTTATTTTGAATTCGTAAAACTCGTGGAATTCGATAAACCTTAGTCTTTATATCGCAGGCTACTATGATAGTTTAGCCAAATAAAAAAATAAAAAAGCATGCGTTAGTATTAATGGTTTCATGACATAAAATCTAGGCGTCTATAAGTAAAGGCCCGGTTCGTTGTACTTTTTGCAATGCTTCCAGATACAGCCTTTGAAAAAAGGAGAAATACTTTTTATATTTTTTTTAATTAAATGAGTGCAAAAATATAGACCAGCTTAAAGAACTATCTCTATTATTACGATACGATATTACAAGATTTCAAAAAACTATCGTCACCTTTACATATCGCTCAGTTATATAAGGGTTCCAATGTGATTGTCAGTCACTATTTATATAGAGTTTTATATTGTACTAGGCACCCACCCCGGCTTCGCACGGGTGCAATGTATTTAAGTAATTATACATTATACATATGAACCTTCCTCTTGAATCACTCTATCTGGTAAAAAAAACCCCATCAAGTTCCGTTGCGAAGTTTTAAAATTCTAAGCATACAGAGGGACAGACGGGACAACTTTGTTTTATAATATGTAGTGATCTCTTAGTAAAGTTTTTGCCGCTTGACCAATTTAAATGTAAAATTATAAATCAACTAATGATTAAAGCATATTATACCATTTCGGATTATCTCGACGACGCCAATGTGTGGAGTTAATACTGTTGATACTCACGTAGGCTAGGATAAGACTATTATACATGTATATTATATTGTACCCTGATATTTTTAAAAAGAGCAACTGTTGAGTTTCTTGCCGGTCTCTTCTCAACAGAAACTGCTTTCCGAACCGGTGGTATCTTACGGCACCTATGTACATAATCTTTGATGTAAAATTTGACGATTCATAAGAGCGCGCAAGCGTCTATTTGAATAAATATATTTTTGATTTTGATTTTGATTTTGATTACGCGTGGAAGGGGCTGTGTAATAAGACCTCTGCGACCTATAAAGATCCATTGTAGTCTTTCCTTCGAATATAGTCCCCTTATTGTAGGATAAAATTATCTTGTATTGTAAGGACGTTTTACACACACTTCATGCGGACAAACACCCAAATCCGAAACAATTATCTCACAAAAATACTTGTCTCATGGAAGGATCGAACCCACGGCCCCCGGCGCCAAAGCCATTCCATATGCACTCGAGGGTTCCATATGCATTGACAACCTTTTGGGAAATCGGGCTCCAGCCACCTCACTCACCAGATGAAACGCGAAAGTATTACACTTCCACTTTAGGCCGGTCTTCTGTGAGGTCGTGGTACTTACCCGGACTAGCCTGCCTATTCGTGCAACAGCCGAGGCTGCTGCATGGCCCTATCGCCGTGAATAATATAGGCATTCGGTAGGTCTTCTTCAGCTCTTGCGAGACCCCTGGCTGCTGCTGATTTTATACCTAAATAATTTTGTATAATTGCATCACAATAAAAAGAAAAAGACCGCAGAGTTTCCTGCCGGTTCTTCTCTGTTCAGGTCTAGTTTAGTGAACCGGTGGTAGATTTTTTTGTTGACGTTCAATAAGAGCTTAAGTTAAGCCGTTACTATATTGAGTAGAGTATTTGACTTGGCCTTTGACTTTGACGTGTCAGTAAACCGGTCCCGGTTGTTCTTCATTGGCAGGTTGAGCCGGAGTGTACGGAACCCAAGGAGGGCTTCCTGGAGATCTGCCGCGACGGCAGCACGGCCGAGTGGGCGGTGAAGGACGGCCGGGTGGTGCGCGCCGACCTGCCCGAGCTCGCCTGCTCCCCGCCGGACCTTCCGGAACAGCACGACGCCACCGGTCTCACCGTCAGTGCTGCATTCCACTCACTCTCCTATCTATCTCTTTCCCTGTCTCAAATTTCCCCTCTTACTCTCGCCCTCTTTTATCCACTCGCACCGTGAACGTTGCGTGATCAGCAAATTAGCCGTGATATTTAGTATAACTGGTTGTACAAGCCATTTAGGCTTACAGTATGTGTATATTATATATTTATATTAACACTTACATCGTTAGATTTTAATGTATTTAGTTTTACTAAAATTCGCGACTTCCCTAAAGTGGGGGCCGGATCGGTCTTTCAAAGTTATATGAGATGATGTTCCATTGTTTATTTGGAAGTAAAAATTATTTTTTGACTCTTCAAGAAATTATGGAGTATATCATAAGCGATTATAACCAGGACCGAAATGATACTATTAATCACCGCATTACGCAATCCACTCAGTTGTCCTACAATTAATATTGGATATAGTGTGCTTACAATTGATGAATTTCTTTTTCCTTGCTGGTTTTATAATTTACCTTCAATCGGCGGAAAGGTATTTACTGAACTCAGGACTCTCGCAGGCCCAGGAGGAGTTGCTGGTGGTGTTCGACGAGGAGTTGGCCTATCAGGCTTACACCACGTTCTCCAGATTCGTCGGCACCGAGGCCCTAGACCGTTGCCTGAAGAACAGCGACACGGTGCGGTCCCTCTGTCAGAAGTACAAGCAGATGCACTACATCAGGTATGTTCACAATACGCGAGTTTATTTTGTATTAGGTTGTGCTTATGTTTCAGTTCTTTAATTTGATCTGTTCACAATTTTTTCAAATTGGAAGCGCGTCTGCAATCCCTCGGGAGTTGATCCACGGGCGGTGATATTCACTTAACATCATGTGAACTGCCTTTTTTTTCGTGGGTAAAATCCGTTATGGATTTTCTCTAAATCCCACTGGATCGGGGGAGTGGCAGGGGTATGTGATAGCCCCAGTCATAAACGGGTACCCACTAAAGTCCCACGTTGCACCTGTATCTGTCGCATCGGCCGGGTACACGGGAACTCAAGGTCACGATCAGTAAAAGAAAATGAAAATTCCCTCAGTTCGCCCCTCCACATAAACCGGCAAGAGAGGCGATTCCAGGCGTCGCCAAGCGACGAGCCCATCGGCCGCAAGATGGCCGCCACCCCTACGAGGGGCGATTTGGCCCTGGACCACGTGTCCAACTCGAACAGCTTCGGCTCCAACGTGACCCTCGTGGGCAACAGGATCGACGTGGTGGCAGACGCGGTGGACGCCAACCCCCAGGGGTGCGGCTTCGACGCCGTCGCGTACAGGATGGGCAACGGAGTCAAGAGCGACAGGTGGGTGAGGCCGATTGCGCTGATGGGTTTTGCCAACCCTGTGGAGTGCCACGGATGAGTGTTGCCGAAGACAACACTTTCTTTATACATAACATTTTTAAAATTAAATATTGGCACCACTTTTAGTCTTCTTCCTTTCGATTACCACTCGATATGTTATTCCTAGTTATACGAGATAAAAAAGCAATTACCATAGTGGACAGCCGCGAAGGCTTAAAAATAAATAATTCTTTCATCTAAAATTGGCAGCCACTGCAAATGAAGAACAGTAACGTGGTAACCGTTGCGAAGTACAATAAAACCTCGTTACCATATTAATGAAAAAGAAAACAAAATTAGAAGCAGTTATCTCTCAACCAATTGTCATGTTTCTGATTTTTACCCAATTATAAACTCTCTTATGTTATTTTTTTTAAGTTACTATTTTGTTGTTATTACTATTTTTTTTTAATTTAAACAGTGTTACCAAATGAAATATAATGATGTACAGATGAGGTGTCGGAATCAGTGTCTTATGTCCTATGTATATCGGTATTGCGAGAAACTCTACTTCCACTCGCAGGCATCTCCGCGGCGACTGGCTGATATATTGGGAGCACGAGATCGGCCGCCCCGACAAGGACGCCAGGTTCAATCTGAAGCAGATCAAACTGCAGACCTTCCTCGGGCACACGCACTCGGTGAAGTCCATCCACTGTCTGGACAACGAGAACAGCTTCATGAGCGGTTCCAAGGATAAGACTGTCAAGCTCTGGTCATTGAGGAATCAGGTTGGTGGACTCTTCCCTACTCTTCTTTTAAACGCAACGGGAAACTGTTAACTTCCCTTAATGGTGATTGACGACCCTCCCCCCATGGACATGAGTAACGAGAGTGGGTTTACTGGTGCGTTTCCAAATTCTAAGTGGTTACCGCACTTAACGGACGCAGGAGTAAAAATAACGCCAGTTCCCTTCGACTTTTCTAATTTCGACTATCGAGCCGGCGAATTCATACTGCAACAGCAGTTGTGAAGCTTGGTGGATTGAGAGAAATGAATTGCGTGAGGTATTTTAAAGAGTAACTATGACCGTGTTTTATTCCTTACTTTTATGATAGTCATAACCACTCACGTGCATATTAATTTCTGAGTATACATTATAACCACATTATTAAATCGCAACATGTACAGTATTTCGTACATATGATAAATTGTAAATCATCCGGCTCGAAGGACCAAGAGAAGCCCGTTATTAACCGCTTCAAAATGTTTGAGGTTGTTGATATTTTATTTGTGCACACCAGGGCGATGGAAACGCGAGCACCCAATGCAACTGGACCTACACGGGCCACAAGAAGGGCGTGCTTTCCTTAGCGTTCCTGGAGTCCTTACGGCTGGCCGTGTCGACCGACTCTGTGGTGCACATATGGGACCCTTTTATGGAGAGCGTCGTATCTCAGGTGAGAATTAGTTGTTTAAGTATCAATGAATCATTGATCTTTCAACTGTCGTAGTTGAAGCAGTTATTGCTGGGATTGTGGGAGGTTTACGTAAGGGACACATTGGCACCTGCCACGGATAATATTAATGTTGTTTGTAACACGCCTCAGCCACACTGGAAATTCTTTTTACGTGATAATCAGCGTCACTAGAAATAACTTTACATCATCCATACATTTTGAACTTAAGATTACATCTTACTTACTAAACTTAGTAAGTAAGATTTAAACTAGTAAGTGCTAGTACTAGCAAGTGTTTGAATAATAAAAAAAGAGCTTAACTTTGACTAAGTATTGTTTGTCCATTTGTGTGCTTATAGTTTCAAAACACTGTTCCAAATCACTAGGTGTACATAAAAAGTTAGTTTTTAATAGAAAATTCTTATTAAACTAATTATATATGTACACAATCAATCACAAAGTAGGCGATCACAAAAATAATTATATTTTAAATAAATATGGAAGGCGTTATAAAATATATTTTTTATGGCATATACTAATCTAGAGTTATTGAACCGGCAAATAAATCACAGTAAATATGTCTAGAATGTAAAGGTATCAGTAATACTAATCAATCTCCAATTATTAACTGATAATATAACCATAATTTAATTTATCTGGGTCCCCATATGCTATTTACTTTTTAGTTTTTAAACGTTTATATTTGTTATTTAAAAATTAAGTGCATAGATTAAGGACTAAAAAATAAAAATATCTGTATTTATTTGAAAATACACAATTTTGGTTGTCACACTAATATTTTGCTGTATCTCTTTTTTTTTTAAATTTATTTGTATAAAAAAAATTACAAACTTATTAAAGTGATACAAACATAAACTCATAAGAGTTTTACCGTGTAACAGTATTATCATTCGTGTATACATAGTCCGTCGTGTATACATTTATCCGAGCATTTTTGAAAGTAGCACTTTGTGAAAACAGTGTTAAAGAATAATAAGGACGTTGAATTTGTGTTTTTTTGCGTCTGTTTAGTGAGGTAACCAGGGCCTAAAATGTAGCTCTGGGGCGAACTAGCTTTGCTTGAAAGGTGTTACTTTGTTCCAGTTGGATAGCATAAAGTCCGCAGTGAGCATAGTTCGAACCCTGCCCGGTCCTTCGCCAGTCCTCGTGGCCGCCACCACCGACGCTACTCTGCGCCTGGTCGACGCCAGGGCTGCCAACTGCTCCTACGAGCTTAAGGTGACCTTTATTCGCTAGGGTTGTCAACCATACGTTCTTAATTTGGATGTTGCACACATTAGATAATTTAAAGATAATTCGGCAGAAGTCGTCAATAATTTATTTCTCCGAAATGGTATTACGCTAGGGTTGTCAATTGATTGTACCGACTTGATGATTTGTTGAAAATAATGTCACTCATTGTTTTATTACCGTCAGGGTTGTCACTTGTCCCCCCACTCCCGCTGAATGTTTTCTCGTAACTTACTAATTCAATCATTGAAATAAATCACACTTACAATGTGTCCATTATTATCACTTTCTTATCTATTACTATTTATATCTGTTTATAACATACTCATATTTATATTTACTCGTTTCATAGATACATCAATAATTAGTTTTGAAATTAGACGGGAGGTACAACATACTATCGTACAAAACCTCGACCACAAATTCGATGAAATAAACATTTAAAATAAAAAAAAAGTATTTCACACATATCATCGGACAATCGTAAAGATAATCAGTGTTCTCCGTCGTATCTCAAATTTACGCTCTATCCATTGGCACAGCTGGCGACGGCGGCGACGACGTTCATCCGATGCATGTGCATCTGCGCGTCGGGCGCGTGGGTGGCGTGCGGGCTGGCCGGCGGCCACGTGGCCGTGCTCGACACGCGCAGCGGACGGCCCCTGGCCGCGTGGCGCGCGCACGACGCGGAGGTTGGCACACGCACGCGCACACGCACACGCGCACACGCAGCCTAAGGCACACACGCGTATTGAAGACGCACACTAATCTATGAAACACGCGCCCGCTCTCACGGCAACACAGGTACACGCACACGCACGCACACATGCACACGCGTATTGAAGACGCACACTAATCTATGAAACACGCGCCCGCTCTCACGGCAACACAGGTACACGCAGCTTAACGCAAACACGCGTTTTGAAGACGTACAGTTATCGATTAAGCATGCACTCGTCCTCGCGGCAACACTCGCCCACACGCACACGCCACCAAAAACACACGTGTATTGGAGATGCCCATAAATCCATTAAACACGCGCCCGCACTCACGGAAACACTCGCTCACATGATGCCAAAGACACACATGTATTGAAGACGCACACTAATCGATGAAAAACACTCGCAGCACACACACGTACGTAAGTTGACGTGTGCTTATTCGTAACGTGACGCACCGATGAGCTTTTAAAAGGAATATTGCGCCATCTTTGTGCACTCACCCGTAGTATGCGCATATTGTTCTACCATGACCTAAATATTTTTTTTTGTTTTTTAGGTTTGCTTAACTGAATACAATCCGTGGGGTCCCCGCACATCAATTTTTTTTTAAAGTTTATGTCCTAGGCTTAACGCCGCGGCTGCTGACAAGAGAGCTGGTTCTTTTCTGGCTCAAAGGTTAAGCATAACTATTCAGCGAGGAAATGCAGCTAGCGTTCTTGGCACCATGCCGCGTGGATTATTAGATAATATGTAATTTTAGATAGATTTAATCTTGTAAATATTAGATCAATAAAGATTGTAACATTTAATACAATCTAGCATGTTTAAAAAAGAAATATACACAGAAAAAAAAATGATTGCATTCTATACATAGCAAACACAGCATACACATTGCATACAATTTGGTGGCGTATGCGATATTTCGCGATATACATTTTATGAATTCTCTTGAAATCGTCTACCGACGACCATTTATCACGGAGAAAGAAGGTCTATCGAAAATAATCACATATGCTAGCAACATTTTCGTGTGCTACCAGGTGCTCCGTTTGGCAGCAGTAGACGACCATAGATTGTTGAGCTCGGGCCTGGACCAGGTCACGGCGCTCTGGCGGGTCGACGACGGCGAGCTCATCGCGCATCTCAAGTGAGTAAACCGTTATTTTGTTTAAATTATATTAAACTACCTGCTGCCCACGACTACGTCTGCGTAGACAGATATATATAAAATATGTATATAAATTACAGCCTTATTCTGATGTATAATCTTTATTATTGTAAAGTTTCATTAAAATACATTCAGTAGTATTTGCGCGAAAGAGTTACAAACATCCATCCATACATACAAACCTTCGCGTTTATAATATAAGTTAGTAAGGATTTTTTTCGTTAATCTTTTGTTATATTCATTTTTTATAAGATAACTAGTAGATGATAGTATCGATTTTCGCATTCGTTTCGATACAATTCGAAGGGCAACTCACAGTGGCGTGTGTAATGGTTTTTGTTGAATTGTGATTTTCAAAATATAACATTTCGCTTGTACCGGTCGCCCAATACCGTGTCACATTACACAGTATTTAACATTGAAAGGTATCCTATTTTAAAGAATAACTTTTTTTCATTCTACTTCACTATCTTTCACTTAAACAAATTGTCAATAGATACATTCATAGAATGCATAGTTAACATTGCGTACTAAAGCATTAACTGTATTCTACTTGTCTATTTTTCGTCAATATCGTCGACCATAAGTTGTTGTGGGTGTTGCAAACGTCCATGGGCGGCGGTTATCACTTAACATCATGTGAACCGCCAGCTCGTTTGCCACTTTCACACATTAAAAAAAAGACTGTACGTGCCGCGCAGAGGCAGCACGGAGCCGGTGCACTGCCTCTCCGTGTACTACAACGAGCTGATATCGGGCACTACGAACAACCGCATCGGCGTCCACACCGCCCTGGACCAGGACGCCTCCTTCTCCAGCACGAAGCTCCGCTCGGACACCTTCAGGGGGGTGCTGACCTGCATGTCGGTGCTGCCGCTCAACAGGCTGCTGCTGCTGGGCAGCGACAACGGGACAATCAGCCTGCTCTGCTGATGCCCTTACCCTTACCCACGTCTATTTTCTACCCATGCTCTTGATGCCCTGGTACATTAACGCGCGTCCCCTTTCGACCCAGCCTATTCCTCTGTTGCCCCGGTACCCAAACCGGCGTTCATTTACGGACCATACTGCTCTTTTGATGCCCTGGTACTTTTACCGGCGTCCACCGTCTATCCAGCCTGTTCCGCTGATGTTCTGGTACCCACTCGCGCCCCCTTTCGACGCAGCCTACTCCGCTGATTCCCTGGTATCCTTACCGCTTCAACTTTCGAACCAGCCTATTCCGCCGACACTCTCGTATCTTTGCCGGCGTTCATTTTAAACCATTCTGCTGAAGGCCTGGTATCCTTCCTGCTTCCACTTTCGAACCAGCCTGATCTGCTGCTGCCATGGTGTCTTTACTCGCGTTCACTTTCGTAGCAGCTCCTTTGATGTCCTGGTATCCTTATCCGCGTCCACCTTTAACCCAGTCTGCTCTACTGATGGCCGGGTACTCTAACCCTCGCAAATTTCGACCTTACTGCCTTGCGGTAGAGCATGTTATAGTTTTATCCTTACCCTCGTCCACTTTCAACCTTACTAAGGATGATTACTGCCTTGCGGTAGAGCAGATTTTCGTTTAAACCTCAGGGGTCTGTATGTGAACATGGGCAGGCCACAATCGCTGGTGATAGCGGTGCTAGTACCCGAGGACTCTGAACTCGACCTTATTGTTTGGAGATAGCGCATGTTTTTGCTCGTGTGAAATGCTCGACGCTTCTAGTCCATTGACAACTGAATAAATCAATGTACACTTAGATCGGGTAGGTAATTTCTAGGAAATGATTGTTGATTATATTTTCCTAGTATAGTTATTACTGGCGGCTCTATTCAAATTGCGATCTTACTGAGTAGAGATCGTAGACGTTTATATCTGTATATATATTGCTTGTAAGACAGTTCCTTTTATAGTGTGCATAATAATTTGTGTCATCGTTACAGTCGCCATCAATGAAATTGCGACCGTACGTAGTAGGTATAGCGTAGGTTTTCCTTTGTATGTATATAAGATATTGCTTTACAAGTCTACGGACAGTATATAGACCAAATGTAATTTACTTTATTCCGCAGATTTATGTCATGTAATGCAAAAATACAGAGCTGGCCTCCTTTGTTTTGCACCCCATTTTTTATTTATAATCTGTATTTGATTCATGTCGGCGCTACCAAACTACAGTTAATACAACGCATGAAGTTATAGTTATAAATGCAATATCTGTTACAGAGAATCTGTAACAGATATTGCCCAAAAATGCTCGATTGGGAATTCAACAGGTTTATAACGCAAACAAATCTGTATATTTTTTTTTGTATAATTCTGTATTGTATAAGAACTATTGAAAAATGGTTTTTGATAAACTTGTCGTATATTAATCATGGTACCTGCTTTGAGAAATCACACAATACAATTATATAAAAAAAATAAAAAGACGTATATTATTATAAAGAGTTATTTTCCATCGCTTGATATATTGTGTGATGGAATCTTTGTTATTATTAGTTTTAAGTTGTATGTATCTTATTAACATTTCAGTATTATCTCATATACTTCTTGAATTCAGTCATTTTATTGTTTCGATGTTTTCTTTTTTCCATCCGCCTTTTGTATGTGGTTTCTTATCTCTGGGTGTTGTTAGCGCCCTCTCGGCTTCTATTTAAATGCTGATACTATAGTCTTCGTGTTTTAGCACGGCAAACCAACTCCAACTTCCCTCTTGACCGCTACCATGATACGCTACGTGAAGTAATTTCGGTTGTTGCACACAATAAATAAGTATCGCCAACCCAATTACGTGAGTACAGTGGTAGACAGGGGTAAATGTCCCCTGTGGCTGCTAACCCGCGAAGACTATATTGTTTTCATTCTTGATTGCTAATTTGTGTCCTATCTGATACTAACCTGATCTTCTGACTGAGACATTACCTTCCTCTCTCTATTTTTGAAGGGATTTAAAGGTATTTCAGTATGGCAGCGCCATTTTGAAATATTTTTTAGACTTATTAAAATTGTTTTATAAAAATCTATTTGCAGCTGTCACGAAATTATTAATTGATACAATTTTAGGTACTTATTTATCGGTCCCATTAAAAGACCGATTAAGTTATCATGCTCAAATTTAGGGACGAATCTTCTGGATGATTTCTTTTTGGGTGTTGCTATATACATTATTTTCTTTATCGACAGACCAGGGTTTATGTTATCATTTTTTTTATTGCTGTATCATTCCATTTTTTAGTACGTGTGTGTTATGTATTGTGCATTGCATTTTTTCGCTAATTGTATACAGTTTTAAGCCAATTTTACAGTGCGATGCGTTATACATAATATACTGCAGGATTTATAAGTACAAAGTAATTGTTACCAAAGACATTTTGAGTTCGATATAATAATAACGAGCATAATTTTAATCTCTACGAACAAACAGCATATTCTTAAATTAGTCATCATTGTGATTTGAAACTTCGCCTCTTACACGTATAGCAGTTAAGACTATTTCGTTAATGTAACAAAACGATTCCCAGAACGAGTCTTGCCACAGTGATTGTAGAATGCAATTTTATGCTTTATCTGCACCTTTTACTATAATAATGGTAAATATTTGTTTCGTAATTATCTTTGCTAAGACGGTTTTATGTTTGTTATGGACGTCTTCAACTTCCTGATGCTTTTAAGATAAAATCCGAAGGAGGAGACAGGCGCGTGTGTTTAAATGTTTTGCAAGGTCAATCACAGTTAGTTTAGAAACCCACATTATAATTTTTTTCGCACAGTTTATAATGTTGACATAAAAATTAGCATAGCTGTTTAAAATAATTATAGAAGTGATATCGATATCTTGTATGAACTCAAATTGAAATAACACAAGTATAACAAAATTTATATAAAGATTTCTTGTTTTTATGTGAATATTGTATATTGTTAAATATAACTATTTACGGATTTTATCAGTTTTAGTATTGGCTTTTATGTAATTATGCATAATAGTTCGGGAATTAAAACTAATATTAAACTCAATGAAATCCGTGGGAAAGGTCAATTTGATAAAAATATATAAACTATTTAAAAATATAACTCAGTAATATGTTCAATTTATCTTTAGAATAACATGTCTTATGCAGTAAAGATTGGTTTGAGTTCAAGTTATAAGAACCACAATAATTTCAGTGACTTACATTAGCTGTGCCAAAAAGTATAAAAGATGTCGTGTTTTATGGGATACACCTGTCTTAGTATATATAAGTAGTTCAGTCGTATGAATTAAATGTATGGAACAAACAAATGTAAAGAAAATCACAAACTTTTAAGTTCGAAGTACAATCGCGTGCATCAATCAAATGATTGTACTTGAGATGTAGATAAAAGCGTAGGTATCTGTTAACCAATAATCAATGTCACATTTTGAATCGCCGTCTATAAATTAAGATTTTATTTGTATTAAAAGTATTTACAGCTTTTAAACCATGCGTTGTCTTTCAATACAACCAGTTCCTTTTTATTTCAAGATAAAGTACCAGCCTATAAATGTCTCATTGCTGGGTAAAGGCTTTTCTGTACTGAGGGTATCAGGGCATAGTCCACTATGCGACCCCACTGCGGATTGGACTTCACATATTTTTGAAATTTATTTTTTTTATTATTTCGGTGGTTTCCTCACTATGTTTTCTTTCACCGCTGAGCAAATGACAAGCGAGCGCCCAGACAATGGGCTATCATGGCTTCAAACTTTTATTACAAACATTATTATTTAACACTAATATTATTTTGCGAGGGCAAGGGTCATTAGGAGCATACTTTAGCCGGATACATTTTCATCTGCGGGTCCTTTGTATGAATCTGTTATGGGTAATAAATATAACTAGTTGACTTCGGTGGGTCATCACTGTCAACACACGATGATTGAAGACTTTTCTTCAAACATTGAGGGATATTTGAAATAATAAATCAAGTTTCCTCTTTCTTTATTCGAAATTGGACTGCGCTTGACTGCCACCCAACCTGATGGTGAGTACCATACACACAAATATTCTCATTGTATACAAATGTACTCTGTGATAGGTACCGATGTAGACGTTCTGGTTGACCTGACAGGTCTATTTTTAAATTTAAGTACTGAACAAGACATAAGGATTTTTTTTCGATGTCAAGATATCGCGAAACGGTCCGTTAATGTGTAATGTAAACCCTCTTTACAACATTCGCCTAAAAGACAACTCATAAAAACTGAAAACTCGAATCTTCTGTGTCAATTTCCCAATGTACGTGGGTTCTCATCTGAGCGGAGCCCGCCCAGATATCTGTCACATACTAGAACGCAGTGGAAGTTACACACCTATACCATTTTGGAACTTATGAGCTCTGTGAAATAGCATTAGCTATATCTGTTACCACTTTAGGCTCAAAGATATGCTTATAGTGCACAGGAGAAGGTGGCTTTCTGGATAAAGGAATAGGCAGGTCCATCCGAAGAAGTACCACGACCTCATAGATGACCGGTGAAGTGACAGCTTAACACTTCTGTGTTTCGTCTGGTAAGTGAGGTAAGTAGGGCCCACTTAATTAAAAGGTTGCCGCGCATTTGCAACCCTGATGCAAATGACAGGTGAACCGCAAGCGAACTTGCCACCTTCTCACATAGGGTACCTCAGTTGCGTTGTCAGCTATTTGAAGTGCAAATCAAACTACAAAGAATTCAAATTAAGAAGCCCCGTAACGAACCCATTTGTGCAGCAAATGTGCTGTATTTTCTATATCTTCTAATGCTTCATGTACAAAAGGTATTACTTGACGAATACGTATATTTAACCGAAAAAGAAAAATATAAATTCACTATCCCGTAAAACGTCTTACGCTACGACAGTGTAATAAAGAAACTATAAATAAAAAAGCGATTTAATGTTTTATACAACTGAATTCTTGTTTTCTTTTTTTATATACAAGACAACTACTCTTGCAAACATTGAGAACATTAAAAAGCGTAATGGTCTAATTGACAGCTGACAACAGGTGAAACGTCATAATAATTTGTAAGAATAGTTAATAAGATTCTCATTACGCCTCTATTTATAAAATGCCACACACGAGCCACCATCGCTCCAGCACGTCGCTAGTAGGCATGCGGCGGCAAAGCACCCAGTACAATCTGGAAGTGTCCGAGCTCAGTCTACTGAAGGAGGAAACGCACACGGCGGACCATTTCCTAAGCCCGGCGCAACTGGAGGTCGTATACCGGACAGACATAAAGAACGGTCTCACTGAGAACCTAGCCACAGAGCTCCTGGAGCACTACGGCCCCAACGAACTGAAGGAATTGAAGGGCACGAGCTACTGGAAGATATTCCGTCACAACCTCTTCGGTTGGTTCCAGTGCGTGCTCTGGTGCGGGGCTATACTGAACTTTATCGGTTACTTTTTCTCCGGTGCCGTAGAATCGAACAAAGGCGGCGGTCACAGCAACAACGAGTACCTGTACCTGGGCTGCGTGATAGTGGCAACCGTTGTTGGCACCGGCCTGTTCGGCTTCTACCAGGAGGCGAAGAACATGGCGGTGATGAGCGGCTTCGAGGAGATGGTACCGCCCGACGCGGTCGTGATACGCGACGGAACGAAGAAGAAGATACCGAACCGCGACATAGTGGTCGGCGACATAGTCGAGATGTCGGGCGGCGAGATCGTCCCCGCCGACGTTAGGATCTTGAACTGCACAAATTTCAAGACGGACATGGCTTCCTTGACCGGCGAGTCGAAGCCGATCAAGCATACGCCGGAATGCACGAACAAAAACCCATTGGAGTCGAAAAACATGGCATACTTCAGTTGCCCGATCGTTGAAGGTTCCGCCAAGGGCGTCGTGGTGGCCACCGGTGAGATGACGCAGATAGGGAAGATCGCCGGTCTAGTGACTGGACTGGAAAAGGACGAGACGCCAATTGCAAAGGAAATCACACATTTTATAAAACTCGTGTGCGGTGTCGCCTTCGCATTAGGGCTGATATTTTTTCTTATGGTTTATTTCGTGGAGCGCAAGTGGCTTACGGCCCTACAGTATATGCTTGGAATAATTTTGGCGAACGTGCCTGAAGGTCTAATAGTCACTTTGACCGTCTGTATGACGCTGTCGGCAAAACAGTTAAAGAAGAAGAATTGCCTCGCAAAAACTTTGCAAGCAGTCGAGACATTGGGCTCGACCTCATGCATTTGTTCGGACAAAACGGGCACTTTGACCGAGAATCGAATGAGCGTAGCGCATTTATTCTGCAATTTCACTATTTACGATAAGGACGATCATACGCACGTTTCCGACGTGCCGTACTCCGAGCTAAGCTTGGCCGCGTCGCTTAACCTAAAAGCAGTTTTCTCCCACGACACGATGGGTCAGCCGATCGAAAAGAGGAAGATATTGGGCGACGCTTCGGAGTCGGCGATACTGAGGTACATGGAGCTCAACAGGTCAGCCACTCAAACTCGCGATTTGAACCCGAAAGAAGCGGAAATACCTTTCAGCTCGGAATATAAGTACCAGGTTACAATACATCGGATGCATAATACTCAAAGCTACTACTTAATCATGAAAGGAGCGCCCGAGATTGTTGTCGAGTTTTGCAAAAATGTGTTAACTGACAATGGACTCACCCCTCTCACGGCACAGCTAAAAAAAGAGTTGAAAGCTAATTTTATGAAACTCGCTAACATGGGCGAGCGCGTTATAGGATATTGTGATTACAAATTACCGGTGGAAGTTTATCCGATCGGTTACAAGTTCGACACTCAAGACCGAAATTTTCCGCTGGAGGGCTTGACCTTTGTCGGGGCGATATCCATGATAGATCCGCCTCGGAAGGACATCGACAAGTCAATCGCTCTGTGCAAGCAGGCGGGCATCAGGGTTATGATGGTGACGGGCGACCACCCCGTCACCGCGTTAGCTATATCGCGCCAGTGCGGCACGATCACCCAGGCCACTGCTTTCGACTACGCGTTCGAGCACCACATCGAACTGGCCGACGTGCCGACACACATCAGGAATCAGTTCAAAGCGGCCATCATCACCGGTGACGAGCTCCGCACGATGAGCGTAAACGACTTGAAGGCGGCGGAGAACAAGTACGACGAGATCACGTTCGCAAGGACCAGCCCGCAGCAGAAGCTCTTCATAGTGGAAACGCTTCAGTCCTTGAAGCACGTCGTGGCAGTCACTGGTGACGGGGTCAATGACTCCCCGGCGCTGAAGAAAGCCGACATTGGTATAGCTATGGGCATCACGGGCACAGAGGTGTCCAAGCAAGCCGCTGACATGATCCTATTGGACGACAACTTCGCGTCCATAGTGTTGGGCATAGAGGAGGGCAGGCGCATCTTCGATAATTTAAAGAAAACGATCGCGTACACCCTCACGTCGAACACACCGGAGATGTTACCTTTCGTGCTGTACGCGATCCTGGGTATGCCGCTCCCGATCAGCCTCATACTGATTCTGGTCATCAACGTCGGCACCGACCTGCTGCCCGCAATGAGCTTGGCCTACGAGACACTCCGAGGAGGATATCATGTCGATACCGCCGCGCAAGCCGACCGACCACCTCGTCAACAAAGTGATGATCTTCATGGCCTACTTTCAGATCGGTTTGATCCAGTTCTTCGCCGGGATGTACGCCTACTTCACGGTGTTCGCGTCGAGCGGTTTCTTCCCTTCCAGCTTGATATTCGTACGCGACGACTGGGAGTCCACGTCCACGGTCGTCCACGACACGCTCGGCCGCTCTTGGTACTATTTCGACCGGAAACGCGTTGAGAAGACAGCGCAGACAGCCTACTTCGTCGCGGTGTGCTGGACTCAGGTGTCGGACGTGATCATCTGCAAGACGAGGCGCATCTCGCTGATCAAGAAGGGCATGAAGAATCACGTTCTGAACATGAGCATCTTCGTGGACTTGTTGGCCGCCCTGTTCGTGACATATTTTCCACTGTGCCACGAAATCTTCAATACGGAGCCGCTGCCCTGGCAGTGCTTCTTCTTGGCGGTACCTTTCATGGTGCTGATGATAGTTGGTGATGAGATAAGGCGTTACATCATCAGAAACAATATATCCAAATGGGTGGAGGAAGAGACATACTACTAAATATTTTTTTGTAAGTGTAAAGATGTTTGTTTAATGGTGTTATATTGTTGATATAAGTGAGGTTCACCTTTTATTTTGATTTTACTTGCATCCTTGTAAAGCTTCCCCGACTTTACTATTTGTTACCCATTATTGGCTGCGTTCGACATTGTTCCACATATTTCTGTTGATTAAATTGTTCAAGTAATTATAGCCGGTATATTTTTCATTACAAGGTTGTAATAAATTAGTCCAGGTGTTGATCTTTATATTACTTCGCTACTTTTGTACCTACATTGCAGTTTCAATATGAAATGATATAATTTGAGGTTATTATAATGTGTCATTGCAAAACCCAAGACAATGATATAATTATGTTAAAAATGCTCGTTTAACAAAGGCTTATGAAAAGCAATTTCTTCTAGGCGACCTTTACAGAAGTACAAATTATATCTTATTGTTCAATTTGCCTCAATAGAAAGTAAAGTTAGGAAATTAGTCTAAGCTCAAAGCTCTTTGTAAAATAATGAAGTAGCTTCAGTTTCAGAATTAATATGTTATACCTATGTACTGCTGGTCCTAAAATAGAAAAAATCCTGTAATGACTCGTTGCTCGTGTGAAATAATAACTCGAGATTTAAATGTAGGTCCTTTTGAATAAGAGAACTTCACGATGTGGGTTTCACGTCGTAATATACAGAAACTAGTATTTTGCGACACACGGAGCGTAGGCCTCACATACTGGAACGTTTATCGGTCAAATCTGACATTTTGGAGTTATTTCTAGCAGCCGACTAGTCTTATAACAAATCGTGTATTTCAAGCATTTTATGATTGGTTATCTGACTCAATTGGTTCGAATGTAATGTTACAAAGTTATTTGTTTCAATGTCTATCTGAAACCATAATAGTGGGATAGTACCTACTTATAACTTTACCAGTGATTAAGAATTTTCAAATGTCTTATCCCTTTATTATTTCAAAAGTTTTCAAATGGCTCATGAAAGTATTGTTGCATTTAGCACCTATGGAATTCGTTGTACTGGTGTCGTTTTTTACGTACTAACGAGAAACCAAACATTTTTAATGATCGACCTGAGTTTTTCGTAATTATGGTTGCTGTTCGTATCGCTGGGAACTTAAATTTAAAATTAAACGTGATACCGTAAATATAGTTTAATTTCGAAATATTTCTGTCAATTTAAAGTTATTTATTTCCTAAAAGTGAATGGTCATGCACGCGTGAAATATGGAGTGTTCTATAAATCAATTTATTTGCGTTTTACATACATTTTAGTTTAGGCTCCTCACTAGCTTGGTCTTAAATTAAATATTAAAAAAGAATGTTGAGCTTCAATTGAATAATCAGTAACGTTAATTTTGGGTTCGATTAAGAATTACGTAGAAAAACATTCGTACTCGAATCGTTTATATTCTCCATTTTACGCCCCCCTCTTTGTATTACGTAGAGGACTTTCCAAACTCTACAAATAATAACAATATAACTGTTGGCTTCATTATTTATGAACGTTTATTTCTTAGAAATACATGTAGGTTCGGTTTGATAATATTTACTAGACTTGCTAAATAATCGCTGTTATGTTTTGTAATGTTTGATAAAAGCAAAAAACGGGTCCAATTAGATAAACCGTAAGCGCGTCTGCGGCGGCCCTAAATGGCGCGATCTGATCGAGATATGCGCAGTCACACATGAATGGGCGAGGCCGCTCTATATGAATTGTAAGCAGCCCGCACATGGACACCTAGCCGGTACCTTACCGGAATATAGTTGCTGCATTCGACCCAAATTACGTCGTCTCGGACTAGACCGTGCTCATTATCGGCGCGGCTGCTGGTAGGTCTGACCGTAAATTTGTCCGTCTGTCACTTTACATGCATAAACTAATACTGTTTACTAATAAAGACAATATAAAGGAAAACAATTGTACGCAAGAGTTTGTGGTAGGGCCACGCAGCAGCCCCGGCTGTTGCACGAATGGGCAGGCTCGTCCGGGTGAGTACCACGACCTAACAGAAGACGGGCGTGATGTCGAAGCATAGCATTCGCGTTTTGTCTGGTGATTGAGGTAGCTGGTGCCCAATTTTGAAAAGGTTGCCAAAGCATCTGCAACCCTCAGATTTCCATGTGCGGCGGTATTCACTTAACATCAGGTGAACCGCCTGCTCGCTTGGCAACTTTTTACATAAAAAATAAAAAAGAACAAACAAAAACAAGGACATTGCTCAATACCTAGCGTACTAGCATACGAGTATCTATCGCATAATATCGCAGTATATATGGAATAGAATAATTGGTTATAATTTTATAGCTTCTTATACTTCGCTTCTTTATTTCCATCACATTAACTAAATTCGAAATTAAAGTTAACGAAGTAATACAAATAAAAAACTCTACTTAACTCTCTTTTACTCTCATAATTCTGCTATACCCGCCAAAAGAAGTATAACTTCATAAATCTGCTATAAATTGAAATAAACGTTATCAATGGTATAGTAGTTTTATCATTAATTAAAAAAGTAAATACCTAGTGTAAATAAAAAAAGTTATAACTAGCAATATATGAATAGTTATTGTCTCATATTTAAGCCTCGAGATATGCCAAAGGCTAATCTTTTGATGTTTCACGATCGGCGACTATATTAGTTAGTAGTTGTTATCCACGGCTTCACCCGCGTGGCTAAAGGAACACAATTCACACAATATCTTTATATATCATAACCTATGTGTTATTTTGATGTATAAGCTATAATATAGTAAAGTATCATTAAAATTCGAGTAACAAACATCCATCCATACATACAAACTTTCGCCTTTATAATATTAGTAAGGATTTATTGATTCTCTGCAATTCATTGCTATATTAGTGGTTCTGTAAGGATTTCTTATTAATATAACGAACATGACAACTGTTCAAACATTATTTATCTGTACCCATTTTGGCCTAGATTTAGCGTTCTTTGTAGACTTAACGAGTATTATTACGAGTATTATTGAAAAGGTCGATTCATTTTAAGCTGGCGCTAACGTATAAAGATGAAAATTAATTCACCACGTATCATGATTTATTCGCATTAATATAACCGTATGTATGAAAAATATTTATATGTGTATTACATTGAATTCTACCACGGGATCGGCTTGCTGATGCAATCTGTATGAAACTTTACACAGCAAAACATGATAGTATGGTGATTGAAGGAGACCTGTATTACTTTCGAAGGGTGACATGATGGTGATGATGTTGATTATGACAATATTCTTCGAAATCAATGAGTATTAAAACATATATGATTTTATTTTAATTGAATTTGAGACGACGACCATCATTGCTGGTTCTTTTCTGGTTCAAATAATAAAATTTATTACACTAGCGTCTGATATCTATATAAATAATTTATCATGCCTTTTTTCATCTACTTGCTTACCAGTAAAGGAAAATATCCTTAATAAAAAACCGCTGGGCATACTAAAGTATTAATTATATTTCTAAAAATAGTAAAATGCAATACAAAATATATATAGACATACTAGCGGACGCGGCAAACATTGTCCTGTACACACGACTCAAAGCCGACAAAACTTATAAATAAAAAAAATGTAGTGGATCGAACTGTTAATCCAAACCATTCTCGAATCGACCTGAAGTCACACAAAAAATTTCATTAAAACTGGTCCATCCGTTTAGGAGAAGTCGAGTGACACACACGTAAGGAAAAATTATACATATAAAGATATCTAACAAATGCAATAAAGTTAAATGGACATGCCAAAAAATTGATGTTAAAATTGTGAAACCGAACATGGCCTGCTTTTTCGGATCGAAACGCCCTAGACGTCTACAAGAGGATCGTATGCCATACATGGTCTTCCGGAATGTGCATTACCGTCATCAGAGACACCGCTGGAGCAGCGTGCCCATTGATAGTTCAATATATATGCGACAGTTTCCTAACTGCAACCGATCCAGTACCAGACGACCACTTCGGCGTTACTCAATTAGAAATAGCGATCGACTTTTAATGTGAGTTTGAATTCGCTAGCGATTAGTTGCCGACAAAAGTAACTGGTAAAGTAGCTTGTGATTTAGAAGCCTTGTAGTATAACTCAACGAGAGACAAGTTACCAGATCATGTCTCCTTTTTTCGGTAACAAAGATTTTGTTACGTATTCACTGTCATAAGACGTTCAAAAAGGCGAAGAAAACACCACGAGCAACTGTGCATGTCGGGGAATAAAAAAAACATATGTGTAAACTTATGTACGCACGTAAAACGTTATACTTCTTTAGCATTACAAAAGAAAAATAACTCAAAATTATATCCTGAGTCCTTACTCTTTTTGTGTGCAAATAAGACAACTCCTTCATCATTTGTGGGTCACACAAATACTTATCACGTGTGTGGGAATCGATCACACGACCCCTGGCGCCGAAGCCAATAGGTTAGCTACTGCCACCGAGTAATATGCAAACAATTAATAATGAAAAACCGTTACGAACAAATCAACGATTTATAAAAGTTAAACTGTAATGTGTGTTATATTATAATCTGATCTCTTTTTTTTAAAAAAAAAGATCAACTGTTGACTTTCTTGCCGGTCGGTCTCTTCTCAACAATATTTTCTTCTGAACCGGTGGTAACGTACTTACGAACTTATGTATCAATTATTTATGTAAAATTTGACGTTTCATAATAACGCGCAAGCGTCTATTTGAATAAAGATGATTTGAATTTGACTCAAAAGCTATATAAAATCATGTTTGCGTTAGAGGTGTTCAATGCATTCTATTTTGCAATTTTATATGCATTATAAACAAATATTGAAATGTAGAAATTATTTATTATTCAGTTTATTTAATAATTTTCTGTTAGGCCGTTATCGCTCTTTGGCACCTATTTGATTACCCTAGTGACTCGTGTTATATGTTAATAAGACAAAAAATCCTGCCCTAAAATTGAACGGAACAAGTTGAAACGGACGCTTGTGCCAAATAGTTTGAGCGGACAAGAGAAACGCACTCCTAAACCGTTCAAGGGAATTTCAACGTGCACAAGCTGTGCGGTCTTATGGCGGAATATAAATTGTAAATATTTATATATGTATAAATAAATATATGACATAATTATATGACTTCGCATTTTGATTATTTTTTTATTGTATAAGACATAATTTCAGATTATTTTATTTATTGTATTGCTGTATAAGAACGCATAAATAATAAAAAAAAAGTATATTAAATTTCCTTTAGACTTTTGGTTATTCTCCTTTAAATAAAGAAAAATGTGATTGCGTGAACGCAATATGCGCGGCGCGGGTGTAAGAATTGCAAAATAAAAGCAAAATTGACTGGTAAATGAAATAGTATTAGTAATAGATCTGTTAATCGCTTCTTTCTTGAATTTAATTAAGACAGATGAAGACGACCTGTGCAAATGTGTTGATGTCGATGGATGCAGGTGGCTCAGAATCTAGCTCCAGGCTGAACGCGAAGACAGAAACCAATACATTTTTGTGGATTCCATTACGAATTTATTTCTCATTTTAATCAGTATTGTTTCCCATATCAACTTTTTATTACAATTGAACGAAAATTCTATAAATGATGTATCTAATCTAACACAACTTATCGTAACTAAAGTGAACAACACTTTGTATACTTGCCACACAAAAAAAAGTTCCTTAAATCGATAGTTGGAAAAACTTTGAAATTTGCTCTCATTGCGTAGGTAACCGGTAACGACTGAGTTGGTAATTGACACATAAGCTTTTTTGATTGAGATTAACGAGCACTCATAGTTAGAGCCACCCATTTATTTTTTACGTGAATTATATTACTAGGGGCATTTTGTTACAAGTATATATTTACTACCTAGTATACTATAATGTTTAATAAAGCTTACTAATGAAAAAGCATTTGAAAATTTATATAAAAAAAGAATCATCAAAATTGGTTTACTCAGTCGAAAGTTCTGAGGTAACAAACATAAAAAAACAGTCGAATTGAGAATCCTCATTTCAAAAAAAATATTTCTCAGTGTGACGTGTCCCTACAAAGTAAAAGCAAAGTTCCTGACATAATTAACAGATTGCAACCGCGGTCTAGGCAGTGGTTTTTATGTCACTCTACGACATTACTGTTTTAATACGTTTATTGGTCTGACTCTGAGGTCGAAGATTTGTAATCGAAACAACTCATACATACGGTCGTCGCTTGCCTGATTGATGGTACTCCTTCAAGTATGGGATGTTTATGACACAGTAGTTTGTAACACAGTTGTTATTTGTGTTGATTCGTTTAACTTTATTTACATTTAAGTGAGCAGTGTCCATTAGAAAATTAGCAGTGCCTGGAAAGGGCATCTAAGTTTCTATATACATCTCTATTGTAACACCTATTTATATAATGTAAACTTAGATGGCACGTATATGATTGATTTATTGACGACCGATTTTATGATCGACTAATGAACCTGACCCTTGTGCCAGAGGGTGTATGTTCAATCCCCAATACTGGAAAAATATTGTGTGATGAACATAATGTTTTTCCAGTGTCTGGTGTTTATATATGTATAATCTCGTTATCCTTTAAACGAGCAATTCTATATATATATATATAATTGGAATCTCGGAAAGGGCTCCAGCGATTTTCATGAAATTTAGTATGTGCGTAGATTCGGGGGCGTAAAATCGAACAGACTAGGTTTCATTTTTAGAAAATGTCGTTTTATCCCAGTTTTCAGGGAATGAAAAATATTATTCGAATACGACGGTAAATTTCACCGAAAAAAAAAATTTTATAATACCTCGGTCGGTAATCGGGCGGCCGCTAACAAACAGCCACGAAACAGAAGGCCGTGGTTCGTATCACGATCATTTACACACTTTTTTTTTACACCAGTTCATATTTTCTTATTATTACGTCGGTAACATCGAAACATACTATGCATATTTCATTACTTAGTAATTTGTATCTAAATGTGATTTCCAAAATATACGATTTACCAAAAAAAAAAAAAAACAAACCGAGCAAAGCTCGGTCCTCCGGGTACTATGTATTTATTTACAAAAGAAAAGTATGTTTATCAGTTTTCTAGTACCCATAGTACGAGCGTTGCTTAGTTTCGGGCTAGAGAACGTTGTGTAAAAATGTTTCCTAAAATATTATTATGTTATGCAATTCTCAATGGTTTGTTGGAAAATGGTATTACTATGGCAATTTATAAAGTTAACAATACTAGTTAGCTAGGACGGCAGGCTTGTGATTAGTGGGTTGAAATCCCAATAAATAATTGTTCCTAATCCGGTTTTCGTTCCCAAAGAGGGTTGACATGAGGCAGGCCGGTCGTAAAAAACCAAGCTATTACAGCTATCAACATTATTCACGCATTTTACTGATCCCACCTGGGTAATAATAATGATAATGTTGTTGCGTCATACTTTTATGTCATACATACATGTCTTACTTTTCAATCGACTTCAATTCGACTGTTTTTTTATGTTTCTTACCTCAGACCTTTCGGCTGAGTGAATCGATTTTGATGATTCAATTTTTATTTGATAGCTGGTGCTTCCCATGTGGTGGCCATATTAATTTCATTAGTATTGGATCTTTGTCTCCGATTAGATGACAGAGAGATACTTGAAACTTCTGAAATTCTTTTTCAGAAGTTTCCAGGTATGAATATAGAGCGAGATATTTGAAGTCGGTTTTGTTCTTCGTTAATAATGTCTAGAATGTTTCTAACGGTAGCAAAAGCAGCTAGCAAGCTTTTGCTAACACAAGAATAGCCAGGCTTGTCTGTGGAAGTAACACGGCCTTGCATACGACCAACGAGAAGCGTTACACTTGCGTTTCGGCGGATTGAGGTAGTCCTCCTTTGTACCTTTAAATACTAATAATCGATGACTCCGTGGCGCAGTTGCCAAGGTATTGGCTTCGGCGTCGAGGGTCGTGGATTCGATTGCCCCCAACTATACATATAGTTGGCAGTTGTATACACAAATAGTTGGCGTGGCCGTATCACAGCTAAAAAGACCAGACCTAAGCAAACGTAACCTAACGGTAATTATGCCGTGCAGTGGTGACCAAGACCTGAAGGGTTAACAGCGATCTCAGGAAGTGGAAGTTCTCAGCCTTTCCTGTGATCAAGACTGCCGTTCGAAACGTCGGGAGTTTAAATTAAAATAAACCGCAATAAAATCCGTGAACTAGTCTCTATATCTACCTACATGGTCGTTTTAGGGTTCTTACAAGGTTTCTCCTTTATACTCGTAAGTTCTAAAACTAATCGAACAAAATGTTACGCGTCTAAATCAGATTGATGTCCGATTCTAAACCAGAACAACGATATGTTAAATTATCATAAAATATACCGCACTACGGTGGACTTATCCGTTGGTCGGAAATTGTAAATGTTTGAACCTGCTCTGCGAACGCCAATTTGCGGTCTAAAGCCGAAACGCGCCGATATCTAGGCGGCGCTGCGTGTCGGCGGCGGGTGTGTTATCCTCGGTTGCGAAACGGTATCAAGTGCACTCGGCCGGGTCCCACTCCCGCGTGGGCCCTTTATATACCCTCCCGGGGGCCCTTTCAAGCACACGTGCTCCGAACCGCAGGACAAGCGCGCGCGACAGTCATGTACGCTAAGGTACGAATCTCCATACAATCTAACATACGCCTAATTTAATTTAACAGCTGTGTAACAAACTGTTGCGAGAGACTTAAGTACTCCATTATCAAAAGGTTTATATTAAATCATGAATGCCCTAATAAATTCTATTCAATTTTTCACAGGAAAATTCAGTAAAATTAGCTATGCTGACAGAATGAGATAATGTAAAGAATATTTAATAGCGATGATTAAATTAATTATCTTCGTGTTAATCCCCGTCATAATTATCCCCGTCATCGCTATCATGTTTAAATGTCAAGTACACAATTCATAATTAAAATTTATTGAAAACTATTTTCTACTTTTTAGTTCGGTTATCTAATTTTCAAATTTTTAGTTCTCCTAAGTATAAAAGCGGGTTTTTAATTTTTTTATAATTTTTTAAAATGCCTACTTGGCACGAGGACACTAACGGGAATCGGATTTGGAAAATATCTAATCCCGACGGACCTGATCGGGATAGCATGAAAAACTATTTAAATAAACGCACTGTCATGGGTCTTTGACGTGTGCAAAGTCTACTTCAAATCTGACCGTTCAGTGGGACGAAATCGCGCTTAAAGATTCTCTTGCCGTTTGCTCCTGCCCAATTTTCAAAAGGCTGTCAACCCTCGGGTGTGGCGGATCCATGGGCGGCGGTGTTCACTAACGTCAGGTGAGCCGCCCGCTCGCTTGGCGACTTTTCACATAATACAAACTCGATCACCATCACTCGTCTGTTGCAGTTGTTCATCTTGTGCTGCGCGTGCGCCGCTGCTGCGGCCGCGCCTGGTCTGCTGGACATTGGTCTCTCGCACGGATACGCCGCACCCGCCTACACCCAAATCGCGCACACCATCGCCGCGCCCGCCATAGCCACCCACGCCGTCGCCGCCCCGGTAAGGAGCTACGGCATCGGATCTATCCTTACTATATCCTTACTTAATATTATATAAAGGCGGAAGTTTGTATGTATGGATGGATGTTTGTTATCCTTTAACGCAAATACTACTGAATGGATTCTAATGAAACTTTACAATAATATGGCTTATACATCAGATTAAGACATAGGCTATAACTTATATACATATTTTTTATGTATATCTGTCTTTCTGTCTGAACGTTACGCCTTCAGCCTATTCTACGCAGACGTAGTCGCGGGCAGCAGCTAGTTAAGCAATAAATAAATAAATATTTTAGGACACATTTTCACACGGCGTTCTCTAGTCCCAAACTAAGCAACGCTTGTACTATGGCGTAACTATAACTATGGGTTACGATAAATAGTAAACATACTTAAACATACTTTTCTTTTGTACATGTTATACACATATAAACTTTCAGACATTGGAAAAACACTATGTTCATCACACAGTGGTTTATCCCGTAGCGGGGATCGAACCCACACCATCTGGCACAGGAGGCAGGTACACTACCCACTGCATTTACACCACTACGTCGTCTAATAGAAAAAAAAATGTAATACTCTCATATCGCCACAATCCAAGAGACAAAGTCACCGAAAAACCGATAGCTGTCCCTTTTCTGTCGGTCTGCATTGAATTCTGAAGATCGTGTAACCGTACTGTGGATCTCTGGACAAGACTACTGACCGTACGTGTCGAGTCTCTTTCGCACTCTTCTCTTAATCACAGCTGAACAGGGAACGCTCAATATTTTGCCTATCTCTTGTCTGTGAGACAGCGCCTTGGCGGCATTCGATTTACGATCCTATATCTGTCTATAATATTAACCAGCTTGTCGCAGCGTTGCCCGTTTTCCTCTTCAATGGGAAACAAGACCAACGAAGCTTTACAAAGTATTTGAAACTGAAAAGTCCTATAAAGAATGGGGCAGAATGCCATTTTGTAACGTTCGATATATTAACTAGTAGCCTTCTTAGCCTGCGTTGGTCTTTCCGTAAGAAAATGGTCAATATTTGCTATGATAAAATGTACACCATGTGGTAATATATCTCGTAAGCTTACTCCTATTAGTGAGGAAGAAATAATGCACTAATAAATAAACATTCGCATTTATACTTTTAGTGTGGTACCTAGTCTATGTAGCATATGGTAAGACCTAAAAAATCAAATTGGCAGATAAGTAATCGTTCAGTTAAACAAAAATAGTTGATTAATTGGCTGACGTATATTATATACGGTTTTATAGCTATTTGTACTGACGTAAAATTATAGTAATTTCTTTCTTTAGTGAATTATTTGTTTTCTCTCTCGTTTGTGGAGAGAATTAAATTATTAAATAATCTTTTAACTATTGGCATACACTACTGACGTATTGAATCCTCCATGCTAACAGGATTTATTTTATTGTTATTTATAAAATTATACAAAGAGGGATTTGATCCCATCAGCATTATCTACTAATCTACAGCGGCTCCTATAACTCAGCGTTTATTTAGTATCAATTTCTATTTTTATTTCCAATCTCCGGCACCTAAAATGAGAACAGACACGTCAGGGAAATGTTATTTTTGTAGTTTGTTGCAATAAAGAGCGTAGAGAAATGTCGTTTTAAAAACTTTAGCGCCGTGACGTCATCGGGTAAGCTAAATGAACCGGAGGGCACATATTTGGCGTTAGCCGTTTGAAAATGAGGGTACGCGTCCGCAATCAGGTGGTGCGCGCCGAGCCCGTCGACCCGAACCCGGCGTACAGCTACTCCTACGGGGTAGCCGACCCGTCCACCGGCGACCACAAGGACGCCTCGGAGACCCTGCAGAACGGCGTCGTCCACGGCTCCTACAGCCTCGTTGAGCCAGACGGCCACGTCCGCAAAGTGACGTACACGGCGGACAAGATCAACGGCTTCAACGCCGTCGTCGAGAGGTCCGGAGCAACACACGCGGTGAGCACGCACTTTTAAGTACTAATCCGAGCAAGAATTTACAGTTTGAATGAACCTTAAAATCGCGACAATGTCATAGCGTATAACTTTGTTACGTAAATATGAATGGTATATAATTTACCCTCGACATCGTTATCGTCAAAGCCAGTAATTAGACCAGAAGGGATCTACTAGTCTAATTACTAAATACAAAGATATAATGTGGCTACATCGTAATAAAACAACGGGCGGCTACCCGCAGTTGCGCTAAGCTATGACATACAAAACTCTAAAAAAATAAATCAAAACCATTATGTAACTGTGGTACACTTTATGAAATTTCAAGAAGTATAAGCATTACAAAGCTATTGTAGGTACATATTAACATCAACCTGGTTCATTATCCGAATTAAGTGTAAGGTTAATTAATTTTTACAAAATTATTATGATAATATAAAGGTTATTACAAGAAATTATGACTGCAAACTTCAAACTAAACATACATAAAAAAAACATTTACCGAAGCATACTAAGTCTTTTGTCGTTGATTGAACGGTAGAAATATGAACATGCGTTTCATTCGTGATACTAGTATGGACCTCGTTCATGGCTTCAGTGATCTTATTGTTTGATAAGTAGATCACCGGTCATTGTGTCGTTGCAGGCGCCGGTCGCGGTGGCAGCCCCCATCGCCAAGGTGCTGGCACCAGCGCCCGTGGCAGTGGCCGCGCCCGTGGCAAAACTCACCCTCCCCGCCATCGGCCACCCGTGGCGCTAGTCTCGCACCGAAAAAATTACTGCTGTGTTGCTGATCGGCGCCGAGCAAACCTCAGATATTACACGACTACCCATCGAAGGTTGGATAGATGACGGTTCGGTTCGGTTCGGCTCAACCCCTGGTAGATAAGCCAAGCCAAGCTTTGCCACGCGCGTAGCCACGTGTGAATGCGTAAATAAAGTGTAATCAAAGACCCAATTTTAAGGGATCCTCCCAAGATTAATAGAATGGCGAGTTATCGATATGTTTTACATGAAATGGGTTTGTAACACGTTAGGGTAGTAGGTTTGTAATATACCGAGGATTTCCGTGCGTACGCTCGGCAACACAGCAGTAGAAATGACCTCGCAGTTTAACGTGGAATCGTAATTGTTATATTTTTTTTATTTTTATTTATTTCGTACTACTTTGACTGTTGCTACGGATTTGATCTTGACGCGTTGTATTACTTTAATGTAAATATTGTGTACTTAATAGTTTATAAATAAATGCAACTTTTGCGGTAACCAGTATTTTCTTTGTATTCGACATTCAAGAATCCTCACAAGGCAGCCAACGTATCACATCGATTTCTCAAAAATTCCTCATTGACCTTATGAACGTATTAACAAATTATAAACGTATACAATTATACTCCTGTGTAATACACCATCACGTTAGTTTTATACATAAACATTCAAAAAGATAACTTTTAATAAACTTGTTCTAAAAGAAAGGCGTTAAATTGGAAAATAAAGGATTATTTATATATTTGTATATTGTGCGTAGTAACCGTCAATCATTAAGCAAAGATTGAACATTTTTTCATTTCTCGACATGTGTTACACGCGTCCGTCGTTACATCTTATAAAGTCATTTGATCCGGTCCCACTGCGCAACTATTAGGAAACTCTATAAATATGCAAGGCGAGTGGATTGCGATACGGGCTTGACGAGGGAACACGATCCCGTTTGCAATTTCGATTAGGCAAAAGCTGGTATAAAAAGTCCTTAGACCTCCACACATGGGCCCGCGTGATCGGACGCAAACGACTGCCTTATTTTTTATCGCCATCGTAACGGACACCGTTTGATAATATGTAAAGTTGTCCAATGCCGGCACCCATATGTGTACAATTTGCAAGGGTAATTGTTTAGACGTAAGAAATATTCCAGTGACCTACATGGAACGAAAAGTTTCTGTATATGTTACGTTCTGCGTAATACAGAATATGTTACAAAAATAATTGACCGGTTCTTTGATTGTATACTTGACAAGTATATAACCAAAGGACCGGTTAATCGAGAGATATCAATCCTGAATGCATTTTTGTATTCAAGCGATACCGTGTGGTAGGGCCACAAAAGCGTTGGCTGTTGCCGGAATGGGTAGGTCCGTCCGGGTAAGTACCACGACCTCACAGAAGACCGGCGTGAAGAGTGAGTGTTGCATTTCTGCGTTTCGTCTGGTGAGTGAGGTAGACGGGGCCTACTTTATTAAAAGGTGGCAATGCATCTGTAATCCGGTTATACCACTTAACATCAGGTGAACCGCAACTCGCTTGTCACCTTCTCACATAAAAAATAACTCTTAGCAACATTTTATTTATTTACGGATTATAATAACTATATCATAAAACTTTATTTCATTATAGTTTTGTATAACTAAAGCATTTATTTTATGGTTTTTATTCCTATTAATCGGAAGACCATTGTTATCGTTTTAATCTTCGGAAAGAAACAACACCTAAGACCATTTTTTGTAAATGACACTCGCTTTACTTAGCCCGAGTTATAAAAGCGAAGTTAACTGATGCATAACATGGCCTCGACTAGGTGCCAGGTCAATAATAAAAGTTTGTGTTTCAATCATGCTTTATTACATTAATATGTTAACAGTTATACTTAAAATAATTGTTAAGTAAGATTATGTACTTGATAAGTATATAATTAAAGACTTTTCCAAAAGGTTTAGTAGCTATCAGTTTCATTTGCTTAAAGATCAGGAACCGATGATTAGTATACGTGGGGAACTGGTGATTTTTTCCCAATTAGTTAGAAAGAGTGCATTAATTTGATCAATTTCAACACGGAGACCAAGTCCAAGGGTTGCGTGATATTAAATTATATTGAGTGGAACCGCTGATTTAGAATACGTAAGATTGAGAGCTGCTGATTTCGAGAACACTAGTGAGCTCCGTTTCGGTCTCGTTTAGAATGTAGGAGTGTGGGAAATGATAGAAATTATATTGATTTAGAACTAGCAAAGTTTAAGAACCACCAACTTCGTGGACACTAGTGAGATCATTTTGGGCGTCGTTGAGAATGTAGGGTTGTGTGAAATGATAGAAACTTAAGAGGACCACAAAATTAGTAGTTTAAAATTAGTATAAATTTGAGAACCGCCGTCTTCGAGAACACTAGAGAGCTCCGTTTGAGCGTCGTACAGAATGTAGGGTTGGGTGAAATGATTGATGAAATTTTAGACGAACCGCCGATTTAGAAAACCGAAAAGTTTGAAGACCTTTCGTGGGACACTAGTGATGTCCGTATGCCGTATGCTCCGCAAGTAAACTCGGTGTTGGTGTGGCCAGAGCACCATGAGCTCCGTTACTGTGTCGCTTACACGGGTATACGGGCCTGGTGCGCCCAGGCGGCCAGTGTGCGCAGCACGTGGTCCGCCGCGGGCCTCGCGCCCGGCCCCCGCAGCAGGGCCAGCGCCTCGCGCAGCTCGGCCGCGGCGCCCGCCCTCCGCGCCCCCGCCGCCTGCGCCACCCCGCACACCGCCCCCCTCAGGCCCTCCCACATCTCCGGCCCGCCGTCCAGCCTACGTGGAGACAGTAGGGATGCGAAAGTGAAGAAGTATCGATGTATCGATATTTATGAAAGATATATCGGAGAGAAAATATAGATACATCTTTAGGTCCTAGAAACCCCGTTGTCCAAAAAAGGTAAGTTAAGTAAAGTATTTGGAAACCAACGAAATCTCTGCCGCATTTGAATTTGAAAGAATATCGTTTTTGATACAAGTCTCGATATTGAGTATTTTGTATCGATTCGTGGATTTTTTTTATGGGAAAAAAGCGGGAAACCAAACTAGCAGGAGGCTCAACTGATGGTGAGTGATCACCGCCGCCCATGGACACCTGCAACATCGGAGGGCTTACAAATGCGTTGCCGGCCTTTCAGGAAAGAGTAATCCTTTCGGATCCAAATATATAGGCTGACATTTTCGCGTTTCGTTTGGTGAGTGAGGTAACCGGGGTCCACAGTTTTATAAGTTGTCAAAGCATCTGCATCCACCGGGTGCTGTAGATATCCATTGGTGGCAATATTTACTCAACATTCGTTGAAACACCCCGCCCGTTTGACAAGTTTGCACGAAGTTTGGTGGGTCCGTGGCGCAGATGTCAAGGTATTGGCTTCGGCGTCGGGGGTCGTGGGTTCGATCCCCACACGGGACAACAATTTGTGTGACCCACAATATAGTTGTTTCGTATCTGGGTGTTTGTCCGCGTGAAATTTATATTTGTAAAACGTCCTTACAACACAGGATAATGTTAACCTAAAGTAAGAGCAAAGTTTAAAAAAAAAAAGCGAATCAAGTACTGGTGTAATGGCACGTGCGAGCTCACAGTTACCAAGCCCCAGAGCGGCGGGAAGCAAGTGTTGCTCTTTGGCCTACTCGTAGACAATCCTAGGTCTGTTGATGCAGTGATGTCAGATTCTTTGACGCACCTGTCGAGCGCGTGGAACGCCTTCGCGGCTACCAGGAACTGGCCCATCCGGTAGCTGTCGTTCGCCACGAGCTGCAATAGCGCGAATCCATCCGGGGTACCTGACGCCTGTCCCGAGCAATCGCGACTCTTTCAAATGAACAATTTTTAGACGAAGTACATACTTTGACATAATGTCAATTGAGCATTCCATAATCCAAAAAAAATATTAATATTTTATTGTGATAAGAAATAACCAGAGAGATATCAATTCAAACATTTTTCGTTCATGCCGTTAAGAGTGGTCACCCTACAGTCTGCAGTCTGTTGGTATACGCATGAAGTGTAACTAAAGGAAGGCCACTGAGGCGAGATAATTTCAGACATTGAACTCACATTGACACCATCGATATCGATGCGATAGTAACAAATCAAACAGCGAAGCGAACTAGGTTATTGTATTGAGACGGTAAGGCAGAGATAATTACTTTCAGGCCGGCCTTTCTAATAGGGTGTCCATAATGTTTGAAAAAATTAAAAATAATCTTTGAAAAAAAAAAAAAAGATGAGGTCACAAGTACGTACCAGATTCAGATTTGGAATCAAATTCTGCATATGCTCTGTTAATATGTCCGTCGTCTATAAAATCACTCTGTATAATCTTCTATATTTGGGCCACGCAACAGTCTACGTTGTAGCACGAATGGGCAGCTCCGTCCGAAGTACCACGACCTCACAGAAGAACGGCGTGAAGTGGAAGTGTCATACTTCTGCGTTTCTTCTGTTGCATAGCCCTGCCGGTAAAATTTATAGAAGTAAACCTGTCGTCTTCTATAGCTTACAAAGTCTAAAAACGTGATTCCAACTTATTTATACAACATTTACAACATTAAATGTATCTAAATTACATATTATCTAATAAACCTAACGCTACATGGTGCCATGAACGCTAGCTGCATTTCCTCTCTGAATAGTTATGCTGAACCTTTGAGCGAGAAAAGAACTAGCTCTCTTGTCACTAGAAAAGAAACCATTTCCAACTTAGTTGGAAGAAGAAACAAAAGGTTTCTTCTGGAAGAGATATTGATTATTTAGGTTTTTAAAACGACGCAAACAATAAAATAGCAAAATTTTACCTTCAATATTAGTAGCCAGGTGGGCGTACCTTAGTGCAAATGTCCCACGCGAGGTGTGCCTCCTTGTTCATGACGTGGCACCTGCACAGCCACGAGAGGTAGGTGAAAGAGCAGCGGATCTCCTCATCCTGTATGGCCAGAAGGCACTCCTCGGCCTCGCGGTAGAACCCTGTAGCGGCCTTTGCCTGAACACGATATTACGAGGTAGCTTATTTCGTGTGACGCATTATGCTTGATTTTCGTTTATAATTACGGGAGGAATGGATTATTTTATTTTATCACGGGACAGTTGTTTTAAAAAGCATTAGTTTTTTGAATGTAGACCACAGAATGTAGACACAAGATAATGGTACGGAACCTTTCGTGCGCGAGTCCGACTCGCATTTGGCCGGTTTTTATCGAATACGAAAGGCGCTACTTCGACTCTGTTTTTTATGACTGGATTTTCAGAGGTGACGGGTGGGCCCACCTGCGCGTAGTTGAAGTTGAAGGTGTCGTCGTTGACGAAGAAGCTCTTGATCGAGTTGAGGTAGACCAGCACCTCCTCGAACTGGCCCGCGAGGAAGTAAGAGGAGGCCATGCACTGGCGGCCGGGGATGGTGTCGCATTCCGACGCGGAGCTGCCAACCAACTGGAAGTTCTGCTGGGCGAGCTTCAGTTGCTCCTCCTTGAGATGGTCGTGTAAAGGTACATCGGTTTTTACACAACATAGAATCTAACAATGTGCACAGGTTTTATGAATCCGCGGCGCAGTTGCCAAAGTAATGGCTTCGACGCCGGCGGTCGTGGGTTCGATGCCCACACGGGACTACTATTTGTGTGACCCATAAATAATTGTTTCTGATCCGAGTGTTTGACCATGTGAACTTCATGTATGTAAAACGTCCTTACAATAGAGGATAATGTTTTCCTAAAGGGCAATGTTTAAAAAAAACGAAAAAAAAAAAAAAAAACACAACACAATCATAAAAGGTCCACGAACGAACACTCGGACCAGATAAAGTTGTGGGTAGTATACTGTACTGTGCTGTATACAAGTAGTATAGAAGACGCGACCCAAGATTTCGAAGCTAGTTACGTGCACCACAAAACTTAGGATTAATCGAGCATTGTACTTAGTGATGTAGAGTTATAAGCATTGACGTTTAAAAAGGCACAGATCAACTCGTTATAATTAGGACCAGTGGTGAACTTCGTTGTTTTTTGACGACCTAGTCTCGTATGTTAGGTCGGTGGGACGTTTTTATTACATCTTACTGCACCAATAACATCTATGTAATTGAAGCTGATGTTTCACCTGATGTTAAGTGACAATCGCCGCCCATGTACATTTGCGACAACCGTAGATGCGTTGCCACCTTTTAATAAAGCGGGCTCCGGTTACCTCACTCGCCAGACGAAACGCAGAAGCATAACCTAACCTAACAACCACTTCACGCCGGTCTTCTGTGAGGTCGTGATACTTCCTCGGACTGGCCTTACCACCTACCCACTTCCATATTTCTTCCCACTTTTTAATTTCTTCAGCTAGTTAGTGCGAATTAAAAAGAGGTTGGTAAAGCGAGTCTTTAAGGCGAATGACCCCCTTCGTTTCTATATTTATAACGCTTTTTCTTTACGTGACTTTTCTATCAAGGCGGGATGCGTTGATAGAAAAGTCACGTAAAGCCGTCCTTTCTCGATTTCGTTCCAAAGTTCGTGTGTAAACTGGTGATATTTACGTCTCCGGTGTCGTTGTAGAGCCTGACGGCGACCACTGCCCGCAGGATGTAGTGCAGGGGCGAGCTGGCTTCTACCGGCTGCAGAAGCTCCGCCGCCTCCAACGCCTCCCCGCGTCTGAGGCGCACGCACGCCAAGTTTAGACGCGCCTCGGGTACCACGTCCACCAGCTCTGGCAAAACCTGCCCAAGGGCGTGTACGTGATTTCGGATATTGTCCATTATTTATTTTACTTCAAAGTCAAAATGTCGTGGTGGGGCCACGCAGCAGCCTCGACTGTTCGGGTAAGTACTACGACCTTACAGAAGTCCGGCGTAAAGTAGAAGTGTTACACTTCTGCGTTTCGTCTGGTGAGTGAGGTAGCCGGGGCCTACTTTATTTAAATGTGGCAACGCATTTGCAACCCTACGGGTGTGCAAATGTCCATGGGCGGCGGTTATCACTTAACATCAGGTGAACCGCCAGCTCGATTTCCACTTACTTAGTTAAAACAAATCAATCCCTTTAGGCTTGTTTTAAGCTTGTATCTAACTTTGCTTCACTTGTCTCTACTTTATTTTTATAAACATCCATTTAATTCTGATTCTCGCACACATGATTACCGTAATCATGACCCGTAAGCCCGTAACCATAGCTCAGTATCTTCACCAATATCTTCCGTACGTCAGCTTTGGAGAATGCGTCATGCTTTACCGTCTCTGTTTGCCGTTATTGTATAAGGAAAAAATATATTTTATAAATTATCAAATTATATTCACCTAGTTTTTAAACGTTATATCCAATTTAATGTATCATAACAACGGGCATTCGTAACCATTAACATTACGACACCACACAGAGATAGCTACTTGCTTCCACTTTTTATGACTCCAAAACTGGAACCCAAAATGTGGTGGAATGGAACTGTACATGGCTACATTCCACTAGGAAATCAGAGCAATTGTTCGTTGACAGAAGTTTCAACGCGTGAAAACTATCGCCACTAGAAACTAGTGACTTCAATGTCGCTGTTGGTAAAATGTATTTTGAAATGGATAAATGTACGCTCACCTTAAGCGCACCCTCTCCATTCCTGAACACGATTAGGTTGTGCTTAACCAGATCTTGCCCGAAGGTATGCTGTTCGGAACAGATCTGCTTCAATTCGCTTTCCGCCGCTTTCCCGTTATACAGCCTAAGTAATGGAATTAACAAATCTAACGATATGTACAATTATTTATTTTTTTGTAGAAAAAGTACCAAAAGATTTCGCTGCTGTGGGAATCGAACCCATGTCTTCGCGGCCTGACACTTTAGCCACTAAGCTAAACGGCTGATTGCCACAATGACGAAAATATGTAAAATTTTATAAGGCTTTTTTTTATTTTATTTACTATTTATTTTATTATAAAACGTACTATAGCTCTGATTGGAGTCTCAGTAAACCGGTATATACTATATATACTCGTAGTACAATGGGAAGGTGGGAGAATACATAGCATCCGTCATCTTTTAATCCGTTTTTCTTTTTAAAAGGCTTTAAAAATGTGTAGATAAATGTTTAGATGAACCTGAATAGATTGCAGGCTTTCAGATTTCCAGCAACTGTAGAGGTCGGATGCTGCGCCAGATAGACTCCCAACACTTCCTGGGACACGTCGTAGTAGTCGAGTTTGTAGTAACATAAGGCCACGTATACGTTCAGCGCCATGTATGTACTGGAACGGGGAATTATTCTTAAACCTACTCTATTTCTGTAATGCCTATTGGGTTTAGCACTTATGTAAAGTAATTCAATATTAATTTTTAAAGTTTGAAATGCCAAATTAGCCACAGTTTAAAATGTGTTTTATTTTTTTAATTGATAGAAACTATGTTACTGCTCTACGCGTTATACTTATATAAATTCATTTTAAACTGAACAACTATATTGCCAAGAGATGAATATTAAGTGAGACGCTATTATATATAAATTACTATGTAATTATTTATTATTATTAGTACAGACGTAAATGAGCGAGTGATTAGTACCCGTTGGTGTGTGACAAAATTTTGATCCATTCAGTAGCATCGTTCTGATATCTCTTATATCTGTAAATGCAACAACGGCTAATATAAATAAATATTTTATTACAGGGATATTTAACCATAGTTAACCACCGTAACAAGTAATTCGATATTAAAACAAGTAATTCTTCGTGCAAACAATCAAGGGATTCCTTAACGTTTGTCTCTAAAAGGAATTTGAAGTTATTCCTAATTCTGGCCCAGCCTCGACATTAACATTTCTTCATTGACTCTTGTCAATTTCCGACTGGTGTCTCTGTTCGATATGCTTGATTAGTAAAAATTACAGTTGTTGAGTATATACCGCTATTTGGGACGATGCGTTTGCAATTTAAATTAGTATTCCAGAAGAGTTCAATGCTTTACAATTTTCGGATATTAAAGGAATACATTTTATTTTGTGACACCTGTATTCGTTGGAATATTTATTCTAACGAATACAGGTGAAGCACAGCTTTCAAAAGTGAAAGTAGTCCCGTTTTACAAAGGGTAAAACGGGACCCTATTACTAAGACTCCGCTGTCTGTTCGTCTGTTTGTCAGTCTGTCCTTCTGTCACCGGGCTGTATCTCGCACCGTGATAGTTAGATAGTTGACATTTTCACAGATGGTGTATTCTTGTTGCCGTTATAACAACAAATACAGGATAAAAAACTATTTAAGTGGAGCTCCCATACAACAGACATGTTTTTTTTTATACATAATGGTACGGAAACCTTAGAGCGCGTGTCTGACTCGCACTTGGGCGGTTTTTAAATTAATTCAATTGATTTAAATTTTTTTTAATTAATACAATTAATTAAGTCCAATGTTGGCGACATCAAATAAATAAACTCAATGAAATGTGGATTGCATTAGATATCTGCAAAACCCGATGGAAGTGTTACTTTTGAATTTCGTCTGGTAAGTGAAGTATCCGGGGGCCACTTTATTAAAAGCTGTTGCCAGTGTCCATAGGCGGTGGTTATCACTAACATCAGGTGAATCGCCAGCTCGCTTGCAATCCTCTCACATAAAAAAACCATATAAATACTCAGACATAATTTTCAACATTATTTTAATTCAAATAACTGTTCTTCATACCGTCTTTCCAACAAGAGCTTCTTGTATACGTCAATGGCCTCCTGGTAGTGCGCGCGCAGGTAGTGCACAGCGGCTAGACTGAGCTGGTCTTCGGGCACGTCGCGTAGTGCCGCGTGCGCCTGCATCAAAGCCTCCTCATCGCCTAACTTATGGGCCAAGTGGAACTGCAGACGATTCTACAAACAAATATATACATATATATATATATATATATATGTAAGTAAATTATAATCACATTGAGCTAGAAGAAAATCGATGAGTCGGTGGCGCAGCTGCTGAGCATTGGCTTCGGCGTGGGGGGTTCGATTCCCACAAGGGATAAGTGTTTGTGTGACCCACAGATAGTTCCGGATCTGGGTGTTGGTTCCCGAGGGAGGTTGACATCAGTCAAGAAGCCGGTCGTAAAAAACCTTGGCAATACCATTAACAACATTGTTTAGATGTTTCGTCGATGTAGATTGAGACAAAAGAATATGCAATCTCGTGGTAAAAGGAAAAGTAAGACTTACCTTTAGAGCACATTTAGGCGCTTCCTCGATCGCCTCTTGTGACTCTTTGTACATTCCTGCAGAAAATAAATTATTTTAAATTATCCTAATGTTTTACGTTCGGTGCTAACATTTTTAGGGTTTCGTACTCAAAGGGTAAAACGGAACCTCATTACTAAGACTCCGCTGTCTGCCTGGCCGTCTGTCATCAGGTTGTATCTTATGAACCGTGATATTTAGATAGTTGAAATTTTCACAGAATGTATTTCTGTTTCCGCTATAAGGACAAATACTAAATAAGAGAATAAAAAAATATTCAAGTGGGGCTCCCATACAACAGGAATGATATTTTCCCCGTTTTTTATAGATAAATGTTACGGAACCCTTCGTATGCGAGTTCTACTCGCACTTGGTTTTTATTATTTTTACACAATATTATCGTCGTTAGCGTTTTCATTAACCGCTGTCGCTTTTGCCTAAAAGGCCAAGTCTTTTATTTATTTAACAAGGCTTACCAACTAAATACATATAGAAACAATTATTATGAGGTGCCCTTAAACATTGTATATATGCATTTAAATTAAAGGTAAACACAACATTTAAGAAAAGTCTTCCTTTAAGGAGAACAGTAACCTATAAAACTATCACTACAATAAAATAATAAAATTAGAACAAACAAAAAAAAAACCTAACTTATATAATGTATAAATATAAAAAAGAGAGGAAGGAAAAAAAAAACTTTTAAAATGAAAAAATTATTGGGCTGTGTAATGTGTTAGCACCTTCCTCTTTAAAATATTTGTGTTTTTGCCATATTCTTTATGTAAGACCAAAAATGTTTCGGGTTATTTAAAATATTTCTTTGCACATTATTTATGTAGTTGCTGTAGCTCTTATTAATTAGCGAGTTTGCTCTTTTTTTTTAACAACTCATATTCGTATACGTCACGATTGTTTTGATATTTTTTCATTTTTTTGCGGCTAATTTCCTTTTCCTTTAAAAGTTTTATAAGTCTCTGTGAATACCATACAGGATATTTATTTTTAACAGATGGTTTTAGGGGTACATATTTCTCGATATTTTTTCGAATTATGGTATAGAATTTTTCTAAGCATTCATTAATTGAACGGCAGCTATTTAACTCACTATCCCATTTTACTTCATATAGAGACCTATTTATACCTTCATAATCTGCTTTATAAAACTTATACACATTGAAATTATTGTATCGAAGTTTATCTATTTTTTTTATAATATATGTCAATTTCTAACGGCGGGTGAAAGTGATCAATCTTCGATAAATTATCTACAGCTTTACTGACCGAGATAGGATATTGAACGTTAGATAAAACCAAGTCAAGTATTTTAAAGTCATTATTTTGTACCTGATTGTACTGTTTGAGACCGTTACATGAAGTAAAATCTATAAATATCTGATTTATTTTTGTGTTAGACTTAATTATTGGATTGCTATGATCTGAGGTCCAATCAATATGACCCAAATTAAAATCACCCACTAGAAGGACAGGATCAAGATTTTGTACAAATATACTTTTAGTGCTGATGAAGTGGTTTAGGTCACCACTTGAGACTGGTGGGGGCAAATAAACAACACAGATATGAAGAGAGTAATTTGGCATTATGTCTAAAGTAATCCATAAATCTTCACAAGAACTTTCTAAGGATGTATTCCTTCTAGCCTTTATATTTCTCTTTACTGCTATTAAAACGCCACCACCTTCCTTTCCAGTATAGAAGGTATTGGAAATTTAATATAATTATTTTAAATCAGAGTGTGTGAAAGATTTAAATTTAATACAGCATTAGATAATAAATAAAAAAAAAATTAAAAATTAACTGAGATTTTCCAGTGCTTCCAATTTTGTTATTACCCGTGCTGGTGATGTCTCATTTTTGCGTACAAAAATTTTCCCATTACGCACCCAAACAAATTTGTATTGTTTCTCTTTTGCTCTCAATCTGGTAGCTGCGTGTAACGCCTTGTTGGATGGGGTGAGATGTTCGTTAATGAATACTGGTGATTCAATGTCTCCATAACCCAGGATTTTCGTGTTTAATTTATTTTTTGGGTTCATTTTATTGTATGTAAGTACAGCGCCTAAGAAGTTGTCTCGCATTATTTTACTTGTTAGTTTACAGACAACAGTCCTTGGCAGCTTGGATGAGGCATTAAGCTTTTGCACTCGGTTGCAGGATAAAATATCAGTTTCCAAAATGGGAAATGAAATAACTTTTCCGATATTAACGATTGTGTTAACCAGGTTTTCTTGTCTGTGCTCAGGTAAGCAGTGTATTTCGACGTTTGACTGACGGACAGACTGTTCCATTTGTGATAACCTTTCCTCTAAATCCCTGACCTTGCCAGTTAACATTACATTTGTAGTAGAAATGATCTTGGTATCATCAGATAGGACTTTAACTTTGGTACTTATAGCATCATATTGTGTATTAATAAATTTAATCGTTTCTTCAAATGCATGAATTTCTTTTTTGATACTAGCGAACTCCTCATTTAATGTATCTCGTATCACTGAACGCAATTCCCTACGAATAATTTCTGCTAGTTCAGCACGAGATACACAGTCTTGGTGTTCAGTAGTGGGTTCACACTCTTTTTGACGCCTTACAGTAATATTTTGCGAGTCGTCTAAAAATTCGCTACTGGTCGCCAATTTAATTGGAGTATCATCACTATTTCCTTCCTTACGTATTATTGATAACAGTTTAATGGAGCAGTCAGGACATTTCCAATTTTTTTGCTTTTTGAAGTTATCAATATTCAAATTAACACACAGGTAATGATATCTTTTACCGCACGAAGATTGAGTGCAAGTAATTCTTTCTGAAGGTTTTATTGGTTTTTTACAACCGCTACAAGGTGAGTTCATATTTGAAATAATAAATTTATCAGAAATTATTCACAAAAAGTGTTGGTGTTTGTCTGGATTCGAACTTCCGACTCTTGAATGCGCTTCACGTTTAAAACAAAAAGTGGCCGCTTACACCACTGCGTTACTAAGCCGCTAGCAGCAAGCATGAATTTTTGGAAGTGTTTCGAGTATTCTTAGTTATAACTATTGTACTTTGACCTTTCCTTTGTTTGTCAAGTATAGCTCTAACACCGCACACTACGTAAACACAATGTTTGCAATAAATATTGCCAAAATACACCAATTATTCCACGATAAAAGATAACACTAATACAACTGTTAGGTCCAGTAGGTTCTGACCGATATTTACGTCTAAATTTCACTTCACAGACTTTGTTTTTTGCACTGTTATTGAATTTATACGAGGAGCCTAAGTAAACGTGTCCGTTTGGTACTGTTCTCGCGGGTACTATGTGTACTTTGTACTTTTATCAGGAATACAAAACAAAAACCTAGTCTAATAGGTGGTGTATTCATATATTCGGTGTATTCAAAATGCAACATATATTCACCCAAATAAAAATAGCATACGGCGAGATCAATGGCTATATTGTCGGAGATGCGCGAATCTAATTTGTCGCGGGCGCGCAGTTGCTCGTACTGGTCGAGAGCGCGCCGGTACTCGCCCAGGTGGAACCAACACCAACCCATCCAAACATCCACCCATTCGTTATCTGTTCCTTCGTGGTTCAAGAACTGCCAAGAACAGAAACAAAGATTTTTTTTAACGTGGATTTATGCATCTCCAAATTCAGACGTTTGTATTTTTATAGTTTCACCAGTTCTACAAATTTGGTAAAATAAAATTAAGCGTTAATTAAATAAAGCCATACAGAATCGTTTTGAAGATATTTTTATTTGAACCTGCGTAAGTGTGTAACTGAACTGTGGTTTGCAACATTGTTCACTGTTGCAAGAATGGGCAGGACCGGCGTAAAGTAGAAGTGTTTACACTTCTGCGTTTCGTCTCGTGACTGAGGAAGCCGGGGCCCACTTTATTTAAAGGTGGTGCTGGTGACGCATCTTCAACCCTACGGGTGTTGCAAATGTCTGTGGGCGGCGGATTGCACTTAAACATCAGGTTAACCGCCAACCAAAATAGTAGTTAGTAATCCAAAATAACTTGGTAACTTTGCGTTAGGCAGCTAAAAAAATTATGCTATCCCCAAATCCTGTGCTCCTACACAAGCTGTCGCCGTAAACGAAAACTGTGTCGTGTAGTTCTAGTTCGCCCTGCTGGTAAATGTGCATTTTAATTTTCATGTGATTACAAGTATTTTATGGCTACAACGGACACATATTTTTATATCGTAGACTTTGTCACGGTCACAAATTGTTGATGGTTGGATGTGATGTTTTACTGTTGCGCTAATTGAAATAAAGGCAAAATATATAATATGATATGATGATTACTTCCAACAGTGTAATCGCACCAACGTAGTCCCGTTTTAATATGAAGTCTTCAAGCTCCGGAAAAGTTTTTTTAGCAGAATGGCTACCGGCGCGATTGTCTGATGCTGGTTTTGTTCGAGATAGAATCTGTAACAACAACTTTGTACTTAGATATAACCTTAAGGGATATAAACGACAATTTTTTATCTTATCGAGCAATTGAAGTGAAGCTATAAAGAAACTAACAACTCCATTTCTGTAACTCTAAGTCGTAAGTTTCTCATCACACACTACGTTATTTATTTTATATGAGTGAAATAAAAATTCTTCATTAAGATATTTATGTACTTACCATTTTTAAATTAAAAGTTGAAAACCTCTCGAGTGAAACTGCAATAACGAATAAGTTGCGTTAAACGTTTAACGCTACCATGGAGGGGGTATGAAAGCACTGTTTCGTTAAATGTTTCGTCTACCAATACGTTGTGGTGATGCGTAGTGGACTATGCCCTAATATCCTCTGAGGGCCTTGGCCAGTGAGATTTTTACAGGCTGTTACTCTAATTTATTTTATTATACTATTACCATGGTTATCTAGTTAACTTTAATGGGATCTAAAATTTAATTTATTGGGATTTCTCCATACAGCCTATTAACATGGTCGTGAGTATATCTGTCTATATGTCAAAATGACATTGACGTCTGTATGTTTTCATTTTCATCGTATCAAAACAATTTTCACAATTAGTTTATTATTAATTATTTATAAGTAATTACGTAGCTCTTAACTTTAATCAACAGAAATATGAGCATTTGTAGAATATGTCTTAAATGTGAAGGCGACAAGGATATTTCTAAATTAAACGTCGAAAAGCAGAAGGAATCGAAAAGTTTTTTTGAAATGATATTATTTTGTTTAGACATTGTTGTGAGTCAATTGTAATTTTTATTTTTATGTGAGAAGGTGCCAAGCGAGCTGTTGGTTCCCCTGACGTCAAGAGATATCCGCCGCCCATTGACAATTGCAGACGAAACGCAGAAGTATAACACTTCTACTTTACGGCGAAAATTTTAACAAAGTAATATATCAATTTTCTTGATTTTAGGTTGCTGAAGACTGTAAAGTTGGGACGAAAATTTGTTTAAAATGCTACAAAAAAAATTATTGCGTTCGAAAAGTTTAAAACTCTAGCTCAGAAGAATGACGCCTATTTGAGAACTTTAAATTTAAATGTAGATATAAAAAATGAAGTATTCCTCATAGATGATCTTACTTATGAGGATAAGTGTAGTGATAATGAATGTAGTAATAATAACATTGAAAGTGAATTAAAAGAACATGTAAATGATGATCAAAGATATGAGTTTCTTCAATCAGATGATATGCTCCTAAGTGTTATTAAACAGATCAAATATGAAAATGCATCTGAAGAAAGTAAAGAAAATGGTAAGTAAAACAAAGTTATGAATGCTGTTAAATTGAAAAGAATAAAAATAAATTTTGACTATGCCCCTAATTCTTTATTATTTGTGCTACCTACCTGTGATATGCGGAACCAAAAATAAGCTGTTTAAAATGTAGTTAACTTAGGCCAAACTTATACTTAAACTAATTTCAGTGTACCTTAGACATATTTCAGTTAACTTTCCACATTTCTTCCAATTGTCTTTCTTAATGTTGCCAATAACTAATAAATGCCAACTGGTAGTTTGTTGATATAAAATTTAATTTGTTACTTATTTTAGAACCAGTAAAAAAGATAGTGTATAAGAAAAAAGAGAAGAGAAAAATCAAAGGGAGTAGTAAGCAGGGTCAAATTTGCGATGAGTGTGGAAAGACTGTTAGAAATCTAAAGGAACACATAACCAGACATCAGCCTATCAATGACAAAAAGTGCATTAAGTGTAAGATGTGTGACAAATTATTCTCCAGCTACAGTGCACGATACAGACATCATAAAGTGAAACATTTAGGAATTAAACAACATTGTGATATATGTAACAAAGGTATGTGATGTATTTCTAATAAAATTAACAAGTTGTTAATATTCAAATTTGTTGTGAATTATTGTGTTATTTCTTACCTTACATTTCATAATAATATTTTAGTTAATATTATTATTTATCCTTTGCTTTATGCCTTTTATGGGCCATGGCTTAGGTTGTGTGGTTTTTTGATTTTGTGCATCATCAGTGGGCTTAATATGCCGACTCATAGATTTGTTGTGGCATAAAAGAACACTGGAACAGACTAACTTTTGCAATTTTATCAATAATTTAGATGGGGAATATATTTAAATTAATTCTCAATTACACTAACTTAAAATTAAAAATTATCAAGTTTAAGTTAAACATATAAGTGACAATTGTAGATGTGTCAAGCTTAAGAGTGCACCAACTTGTTGTCCACAAAACCGAGGAGTTGCCATATGAGTGCGTGCCCTGTGGCAGGCGATTCATTTCGCAGTCCACCCTCGACATGCACACAACCGTGCACACCAAGAACCGGCCTTACGAGTGCGACCAGTGTGAAAAGAAGTTCCGCAACAAGATCACCATGATTCAACACATGTATGTATATTATTGTTTGCATTATTGTATTGACTCATCTTTATTAATTTATTCACATGCTCAGAGGTGAAGGAAAACATTGTGACGATACCTGGATATTTTCGAAATAATAACAAAAGAAAAATAATTTCCAAGTTATGTGAAGTCCGCCAATCCTCAGTGGGATAGTGTGATAACGTGAAACTTGTTGAAATAGTTATGGCACAATCAATCTTTGTGTTTTCCACCTAAAATCAACAAGTCAGTTTGACTTTTAAAATAGTAGTACAATATATTTTTATTTATTGAAGATTAGCCACTTTTTATTATAAAATATAATTATTTTATATGCTAACAATAATTTGTTTTGCAATTCACAGACGGCAGGTCCATGACAAGGAGAGGTCACATCTATGTCAGTTTTGTTCAAAGAGTTTCTTTAAAAAGTATCATTTGCAGATCCATTTAAGGTAATCATAAGTGTATTATGAATTCATAAGGCAAAATATGGTCATTTTTCCACAATACTAAGTGTTCTGTAGTACTCTTGTAGAAATTAGTTTTTCTAAGGTGTCTTATCTGAATTGTTTTAGTTACATTTATATAAGAAATATTTTTATTAAAAAATATTTTTATCTAATCTCTTAAAATTAGAACGGGTTCTGAGTTTAGATACTCTTGACCTTAAGAAGGTCTTTACCCAACCGTTTTTCTTCATCAAAAATAATGATATTCAAAAAATATTTTCTATACATATGTCTTTATGAACGGTTAGAAAAGTTTATTTATATCTTTTAATCTTGTTAGTTTTTGTTTTTCTTTTTAACTTTGTCAGAGATTCAAATGTAACTTAACTTATGAATCTATATTATAAGGGGCGATATGTGTACTCCTACAAACATAATTACATTACAGCCGGATAGGTGGCGCGAATTGATATAGATATAGATTGTGCAAACAAAAAACTAAACAAGTTATAATAAACTAGTTAACTTTCGTCCTGTTTTTCTATTCTACCAACAGAAGTCACACTAAGGAGAAGCCGTACGAATGCGTCGAATGCAAGAAGAGGTTCGCATCGCGCTCCTCGCTGAAGAACCACCAGCTCATCCACAGTGATGTCAAGATGTTCGGCTGCACGCTCTGCGATATGACCTTCTCCAAACCCGGGTACGGTCAGCCCTCATCACCAGTTTCTAAACGTCAGAGGTTTATGCCCGGTTCCTATATCCAACGGACGACCGTTAGTTACAGCTTCGTAACTTTCTAAAAGGAGTGTACACCAGGTTCCTATATTAACAAAACGAGGCGTTTTCCTTACAAGCCTTTGCATTACCTACGGAAAGTGAGTTACTACCGTTCCTTAATTTTAAAGTTTTTTAAAGTGCTAATCTCTGCACTTAAGATTGAACATTAAAATATGTAGAAAAAGTACGAAAAGATTGTCGCCGCTGTGGGAATCGAACCCACGTCTTCGGCATTCGCGGCCTGATGCTCTAGCCACTGAGCTAAACGGCTGATAGCCACAGCGACGAAAATCTTAACGCCTTCTTTCTACATTGTTATTTAGCATTTGAAGCACCACTAGCACCACACTACCGTTTCCTTTTAGCTACAAGTCGTTATGAAAGTTACGAAGCTATGTAACTAACGTTCGTTCGTCGAATATAGGAACCGGGCATTAGTGAGTTACAGTGTTAACCTGATTGGTGTAGTGGATAATGTACCTATACCATGCGCCAGTGTCGGTTCGATACCTACTACTGGAAAAATATACATCTCTGATCTCAACATATTATTTCTCAAACGTGCTATTTTCTCGGGACGCCATAACTTCCATAATTCTTCAAAAAATTTAACTGTTCCCTTGTGATTGCCGCTATCGACAAAAAATAGACTAACAAATATTTAAAAAAAAACTTCAAAGTTTCCTGTGAAGAATGTATGATTATTTCTTTAAATAAATTAAAATTCGGTGACTGACCATGGTACGTATGGTCAACGAGTTTGTATACAGCGTGTCGTTACCATCGCGACAATAAATTAATACACGTCTAACGCTACTTGCCAATAATCATAAAAAAATATTAACGTCAAACAAAATCCATAATTAGAAAAAAAATATTTTTCAAACAAAATAATTAAGTAAAAAAGAAACAAAATTTGTAACATCCTATACAACTCGAGCCACAACGTCGCATTACAAGTCTCTCCTTCAAACAGTATGTTTTGTCTCTTTAAAATTCATTTAACCCATTCATATGCTTTGTGACCTTAACAAATGAACTTTACGTTACGCTTTTATAGGTAAGGGTGTAATAAAACTCTTTGTTTAGGAAAATTGAATAACTCTGTAAATATTGATGTTTAAAGAATTTAAATGTTTAATACAACTGTAAAAAGTTATCACCTATATGTGTGTTCATTTATTGTCGCGATGGTAACGACACGCTGTATATACAGCATGTCGTTACAACCGCGACAATAAATGAACACATGTCTAACGCTACTTGCCAATAATCATAAAAAAATAAAACTCTATAATTAAAAAAATATATTTTTAAAACAAAAACAAAATTTGTAACACCTATACAACTACAACTGACTGATTCATACATTCAGAGACTTTTTCATTCGTTGCCACAACGTCGCATTACAAGTCTCTCCTTCTAACAGTATGTTTTATCTCTTTAAAATTCATTCAACCCATTCATATGCTTTGTGACCTTTACAAATGAACTTTACGTTACAGTTTTATACGTAAGGGGTCTAAAAATGTTCGTTTTGTAAAATTTAATGACTCGGTAAATATTGATGTTTAAAGAATGTAAATGCTCAATACAATTTTAATATGTAATCCTCTTTGTGTGTTCATTTATTGTCGCGGTTGTAAAGACACGCTGTATATATATACAAAGAAAAGCATTTTCATCACTTACCTAGTACACAGTACAATCTTTACTTAGTTAAGGACAGTGGGCGTTGAGAATAATGTCCGGAATTTATTTATTTATTATTCACTACGTCGATATGTTTGATGCCGCCGGTCCTAACCGGCCCTTCCTTCCCGGGATGCCACAATATGCCGTGTTCGCGACAGGTACCTGCGCAACCACATGGTGAGCCACACGACGAGCCATGCGACGTTGTGGCACGTTTAAAACAAAAAGTGGCCGCTTACACCACTGCGCTACTAAGCCGCTAGCAGCAAGCATGAATTTTTGGAAGTGTTTCGAGTATTCTTAGTTATAACTATTGTACTTTGACCTTTCCTTTGTTTGTCAAGTATAGCTCTAACACCGCACACTACGTAAACACAATGTTTGCAATAAATATTGCCAAAATACACCAATTATTCCACGATAAAAGATAACACTAATACAACTGTTAGGCCCAGTAGGTTCTGACCGATATTTACGTCTAAATTTCACTTCACAGACTTTGTTTTTTTGCACTGTTATTGAATTTATACGAGGAGCCTAAGTAAACGTGTCCGTTTGGTACTGTTCTCGCGGGTACTATGTGTACTTTGTACTTTTATCAGGAATACAAAACAAAAAACCTAGTCTAATAGGTGGTGTATTCATATATTCGGTGTATTCAAAATGCAACATATATTCACCCAAATAAAAATAGCATACGGCGAGATCAATGGCTATATTGTCGGAGATGCGCGAATCTAATTTGTCGCGGGCGCGCAGTTGCTCGTACTGGTCGAGAGCGCGCCGGTACTCGCCCAGGTGGAACCAACACCAACCCATCCAAACATCCACCCATTCGTTATCTGTTCCTTCGTGGTTCAAGAACTGCCAAGAACAGAAACAAAGATTTTTTTAAACGTGGATTTATGCATCTCCAAATTCAGACGTTTGTATTTTTATAGTTTTCACCAGTTCTACAAATTTGGTAAAATAAAATTAAGCGTTAATTAAATAAAGCCATACAGAATCGTTTTGAAGATATTTTTATTTGAACCTGCGTAAGTGTGTAACTGAACTGTGGTTTGCAACATTGTTCACTGTTGCAAGAATGGGCAGGACCGGCGTAAAGTAGAAGTGTTTACACTTCTGCGTTTCGTCTCGTGACTGAGGAAGCCGGGGCCCACTTTATTTAAAGGTGGTGCTGGTGACGCATCTTCAACCCTACGGGTGTTGCAAATGTCTGTGGGCGGCGGATTGCACTTAACATCAGGTTAACCGCCAACCAAAATAGTAGTTAGTAATCCAAAATAACTTGGTAACTTTGCGTTAGGCAGCTAAAAAAATTATGCTATCCCCAAATCCTGTGCTCCTACACAAGCTGTCGCCGTAAACGAAAACTGTGTCGTGTAGTTCTAGTTCGCCCTGCTGGTAAATGTGCATTTTAATTTTCATGTGATTACAAGTATTTTATGGCTACAACGGACACATATTTTTATATCGTAGACTTTGTCACGGTCACAAATTGTTGATGGTTGGATGTGATGTTTTTACTGTTGCGCTAATTGAAATAAAGGCAAAATATATAATATGATATGATGATTACTTCCAACAGTGTAATCGCACCAACGTAGTCCCGTTTTAATATGAAGTCTTCAAGCTCCGGAAAAGTTTTTTTAGCAGAATGGCTACCGGCGCGATTGTCTGATGCTGGTTTTGTTCGAGATAGAATCTGTAACAACAACTTTGTACTTAGATATAACCTTAAGGGATATAAACGACAATTTTTTATCTTATCGAGCAATTGAAGTGAAGCTATAAAGAAACTAACAACTCCATTTCTGTAACTCTAAGTCGTAAGTTTCTCATCACACACTACGTTATTTATTTTATATGAGTGAAATAAAAATTCTTCATTAAGATATTTATGTACTTACCATTTTTAAATTAAAAGTTGAAAACCTCTCAATTTATGGATGTTGGTAATCTATTCCGTTACCATAGCAACGTACAGTAAAATAATTCGAAAATGTAGTAATCCATGCACAGATCTATTTTGCACATGATTTTTCTAGTTAATATTGAACAATAACATCAATCATATTAATGTAAAACATGTAAGGGCTGTAGATTTTTTTTCAAAATAAAATAAAACAACCTAGAGGTGTGGGAGCACAGGATAGAAAATTATTGAAGTGAAACTGCAATAACGAATAAGTTGCGTTAAACGTTTAACGCTACCATGGAGGGGGTATGAAAGCACTGTTTCGTTAAATGTTTCGTCTACCAATACGTTGTGGTGATGCGTAGTGGACTATGCCCTAATATCCTCTGAGGGCCTTGGCCAGTGAGATTTTTACAGGCTGTTACTCTAATTTATTTTATTATACTATTACCATGGTTATCTAGTTAACTTTAATGGGATCTAAAATTTAATTTATTGGGATTTCTCCATACAGCCTATTAACATGGTCGTGAGTATATCTGTCTATATGTCAAAATGACATTGACGTCTGTATGTTTTCATTTTCATCGTATCAAAACAATTTTCACAATTAGTTTATTATTAATTATTTATAAGTAATTACGTAGCTCTTAACTTTAATCAACAGAAATATGAGCATTTGTAGAATATGTCTTAAATGTGAAGGCGACAAGGATATTTCTAAATTAAACGTCGAAAAGCAGAAGGAATCGAAAAGTTTTTTTGAAATGATATTATTTTGTTTAGACATTGTTGTGAGTCAATTGTAATTTTTATTTTTATGTGAGAAGGTGCCAAGCGAGCTGTTGGTTCCCCTGACGTCAAGAGATATCCGCCGCCCATTGACAATTGCAGACGAAACGCAGAAGTATAACACTTCTACTTTACGGCGAAAATTTTAACAAAGTAATATATCAATTTTCTTGATTTTAGGTTGCTGAAGACTGTAAAGTTGGGACGAAAATTTGTTTAAAATGCTACAAAAAAATTATTGCGTTCGAAAAGTTTAAAACTCTAGCTCAGAAGAATGACGCCTATTTGAGAACTTTAAATTTAAATGTAGATATAAAAAATGAAGTATTCCTCATAGATGATCTTACTTATGAGGATAAGTGTAGTGATAATGAATGTAGTAATAATAACATTGAAAGTGAATTAAAAGAACATGTAAATGATGATCAAAGATATGAGTTTCTTCAATCAGATGATATGCTCCTAAGTGTTATTAAACAGATCAAATATGAAAATGCATCTGAAGAAAGTAAAGAAAATGGTAAGTAAAACAAAGTTATGAATGCTGTTAAATTGAAAAGAATAAAAATAAATTTTGACTATGCCCCTAATTCTTTATTATTTGTGCTACCTACCTGTGATATGCGGAACCAAAAATAAGCTGTTTAAAATGTAGTTAACTTAGGCCAAACTTATACTTAAACTAATTTCAGTGTACCTTAGACATATTTCAGTTAACTTTCCACATTTCTTCCAATTGTCTTTCTTAATGTTGCCAATAACTAATAAATGCCAACTGGTAGTTTGTTGATATAAAAATTTAATTTGTTACTTATTTTAGAACCAGTAAAAAAGATAGTGTATAAGAAAAAAGAGAAGAGAAAAATCAAAGGGAGTAGTAAGCAGGGTCAAATTTGCGATGAGTGTGGAAAGACTGTTAGAAATCTAAAGGAACACATAACCAGACATCAGCCTATCAATGACAAAAAGTGCATTAAGTGTAAGATGTGTGACAAATTATTCTCCAGCTACAGTGCACGATACAGACATCATAAAGTGAAACATTTAGGAATTAAACAACATTGTGATATATGTAACAAAGGTATGTGATGTATTTCTAATAAAATTAACAAGTTGTTAATATTCAAATTTGTTGTGAATTATTGTGTTATTTCTTACCTTACATTTCATAATAATATCTTTAGTTAATATTATTATTTATCCTTTGCTTTATGCCTTTTATGGGCCATGGCTTAGGTTGTGTGGTTTTGATTTTGTGCATCATCAGTGGGCTTAATATGCCGACTCATAGATTTGTTGTGGCATAAAAGAACACTGGAACAGACTAACTTTTGCAATTTTATCAATAATTTAGATGGGGAATATATTTAAATTAATTCTCAATTACACTAACTTAAAATTAAAAATTATCAAGTTTAAGTTAAACATATAAGTGACAATTGTAGATGTGTCAAGCTTAAGAGTGCACCAACTTGTTGTCCACAAAACCGAGGAGTTGCCATATGAGTGCGTGCCCTGTGGCAGGCGATTCATTTCGCAGTCCACCCTCGACATGCACACAACCGTGCACACCAAGAACCGGCCTTACGAGTGCGACCAGTGTGAAAAGAAGTTCCGCAACAAGATCACCATGATTCAACACATGTATGTATATTATTGTTTGCATTATTGTATTGACTCATCTTTATTAATTTATTCACATGCTCAGAGGTGAAGGAAAACATTGTGACGATACCTGGATATTTTCGAAATAATAACAAAAGAAAAATAATTTCCAAGTTATGTGAAGTCCGCCAATCCTCAGTGGGATAGTGTGATAACGTGAAACTTGTTGAAATAGTTATGGCACAATCAATCTTTGTGTTTTCCACCTAAAATCAACAAGTCAGTTTGACTTTTAAAATAGTAGTACAATATATTTTATTTATTGAAGATTAGCCACTTTTTATTATAAAATATAATTATTTTATATGCTAACAATAATTTGTTTTGCAATTCACAGACGGCAGGTCCATGACAAGGAGAGGTCACATCTATGTCAGTTTTGTTCAAAGAGTTTCTTTAAAAAGTATCATTTGCAGATCCATTTAAGGTAATCATAAGTGTATTATGAATTCATAAGGCAAAATATGGTCATTTTTCCACAATACTAAGTGTTCTGTAGTACTCTTGTAGAAATTAGTTTTTCTAAGGTGTCTTATCTGAATTGTTTTAGTTACATTTATATAAGAAATATTTTTATTAAAAAATATTTTTATCTAATCTCTTAAAATTAGAACGGGTTCTGAGTTTAGATACTCTTGACCTTAAGAAGGTCTTTACCCAACCGTTTTTCTTCATCAAAAATAATGATATTCAAAAAATATTTTCTATACATATGTCTTTATGAACGGTTAGAAAAGTTTATTTATATCTTTTAATCTTGTTAGTTTTTTTGTTTTTCTTTTTAACTTTGTCAGAGATTCAAATGTAACTTAACTTATGAATCTATATTATAAGGGGCGATATGTGTACTCCTACAAACATAATTACATTACAGCCGGATAGGTGGCGCGAATTGATATAGATATAGATTGTGGAAACAAAAACTAAACAAGTTATAATAAACTAGTTAACTTTCGTCCTGTTTTTCTATTCTACCAACAGAAGTCACACTAAGGAGAAGCCGTACGAATGCGTCGAATGCAAGAAGAGGTTCGCATCGCGCTCCTCGCTGAAGAACCACCAGCTCATCCACAGTGATGTCAAGATGTTCGGCTGCACGCTCTGCGATATGACCTTCTCCAAACCCGGGTACGGTCAGCCCTCATCACCAGTTTCTAAACGTCAGAGGTTTATGCCCGGTTCCTATATCCAACGGACGACCGTTAGTTACAGCTTCGTAACTTTCTAAAAGGAGTGTACACCAGGTTCCTATATTAACAAAACGAGGCGTTTTCCTTACAAGCCTTTGCATTACCTACGGAAAGTGAGTTACTACCGTTCCTTAATTTTAAAGTTTTTTAAAGTGCTAATCTCTGCACTTAAGATTGAACATTAAAATATGTAGAAAAAGTACGAAAAGATTGTCGCCGCTGTGGGAATCGAACCCACGTCTTCGGCATTCGCGGCCTGATGCTCTAGCCACTGAGCTAAACGGCTGATAGCCACAGCGACGAAAATCTTAACGCCTTCTTTCTACATTGTTATTTAGCATTTGAAGCACCACTAGCACCACACTACCGTTCCTTTTAGCTACAAGTCGTTATGAAAGTTACGAAGCTATGTAACTAACGTTCGTTCGTCGAATATAGGAACCGGGCATTAGTGAGTTACAGTGTTAACCTGATTGGTGTAGTGGATAATGTACCTATACCATGCGCCAGTGTCGGTTCGATACCTACTACTGGAAAAATATACATCTCTGATCTCAACATATTATTTCTCAAACGTGCTATTTTCTCGGGACGCCATAACTTCCATAATTCTTCAAAAAATTTAACTGTTCCCTTGTGATTGCCGCTATCGACAAAAAATAGACTAACAAATATTTAAAAAAAAACTTCAAAGTTTCCTGTGAAGAATGTATGATTATTTCTTTAAATAAATTAAAATTCGGTGACTGACCATGGTACGTATGGTCAACGAGTTTGTATACAGCGTGTCGTTACCATCGCGACAATAAATTAATACACGTCTAACGCTACTTGCCAATAATCATAAAAAAATATTAACGTCAAACAAAATCCATAATTAGAAAAAAAATATTTTTCAAACAAAATAATTAAGTAAAAAAGAAACAAAATTTGTAACATCCTATACAACTCGAGCCACAACGTCGCATTACAAGTCTCTCCTTCAAACAGTATGTTTTGTCTCTTTAAAATTCATTTAACCCATTCATATGCTTTGTGACCTTAACAAATGAACTTTACGTTACGCTTTTATAGGTAAGGGTGTAATAAAACTCTTTGTTTAGGAAAATTGAATAACTCTGTAAATATTGATGTTTAAAGAATTTAAATGTTTAATACAACTGTAAAAAGTTATCACCTATATGTGTGTTCATTTATTGTCGCGATGGTAACGACACGCTGTATATACAGCATGTCGTTACAACCGCGACAATAAATGAACACATGTCTAACGCTACTTGCCAATAATCATAAAAAAATAAAACTCTATAATTAAAAAAATATATTTTTAAAACAAAAACAAAATTTGTAACACCTATACAACTACAACTGACTGATTCATACATTCAGAGACTTTTTCATTCGTTGCCACAACGTCGCATTACAAGTCTCTCCTTCTAACAGTATGTTTTATCTCTTTAAAATTCATTCAACCCATTCATATGCTTTGTGACCTTTACAAATGAACTTTACGTTACAGTTTTATACGTAAGGGGTCTAAAAATGTTCGTTTTGTAAAATTTAATGACTCGGTAAATATTGATGTTTAAAGAATGTAAATGCTCAATACAATTTTAATATGTAATCCTCTTTGTGTGTTCATTTATTGTCGCGGTTGTAAAGACACGCTGTATATATATACAAAGAAAAGCATTTTCATCACTTACCTAGTACACAGTACAATCTTTACTTAGTTAAGGACAGTGGGCGTTGAGAATAATGTCCGGAATTTATTTATTTATTATTCACTACGTCGATATGTTTGATGCCGCCGGTCCTAACCGGCCCTTCCTTCCCGGGATGCCACAATATGCCGTGTTCGCGACAGGTACCTGCGCAACCACATGGTGAGCCACACGAAGGAGAAGCGCTACTCGTGCAAGTACTGCGGCGTGCGGTTCGGCCGCTCGGACCACCGCAAGCGGCACGAGTTCACCGCGCACGAGCGGAACCACGGCCTTGGGCGCACGCAATAAAGTCCACAATGCCGCGGCCATGTTTTTCGGAGCGCACGCGCAATTGGTTTTAACCCCCTCACACCTCTGCTCAATTTCGAAACGAATCTTTTCCAAATTCAAAAAATTATCTTCTTCATTGCTCACCAATGAGGTTTTATTATGTTGTATTATAATAACGTTTTGCATTATTATATTTTATCATTTCGTTTTATATATTTAATTTTGATATTTGTTGTTTGATCGGACAATGTGCTGTCACATTGTACGGGCTTTCGATCGCTTTTAAATAGTTACACTCGAGCAACCTCAATTCAAATCCAAGTGCCAGCATGAATGAAAATATTTAACTGCTAGCTTATCACGTGCTCAGCGGTGAAGGAAAACATCGTGAGGAAACCTATATACTTTCGAAATAATAACAAAATAATCCGTCCTCAGTATCAATTCCAGTACGAAGATCAGCTGACCGGATGTTTGGGGCAGTTGATGTTAATGAGATATTGCTTTCTCTTTCTTCTTTGCTCTCCAACCGTTTCGAATAAATATTGTAGGCATCAGTGTATGGCGATCAGAATTCGTGTAAAGTTCCACACTTTACACTTAATGGATCATGAGATAGCCTTATTTCTTATGTGTCACGGCGTGTTTGTTGAGATTTTGTACATTTCGGCGAAGGGATCATCAGACCAAAAGGACAAACACTCTAAGTACATACTGAGAAGTAAATGGAAAAGAAATAAAAGACTAATATGGAAAAGTGCACCAAGCTACTAACTACGACCACAACGGAAAGGAATCGTGTTGAAATTGCCTACTTTTTCTCGGGTTTTGTTCAGTACATTCCAACAATACTTTTCCCAAACAAACTGTACTAAAAATAAAATTGTTTGTATCTAGACTCATGTATATAAACCGTGTCGATTAGCAAACAATTTATAGAATATGTAAAGAGAACTGTATACAGTAAAGAATGATACGTTTAAGTTTACACTGTAAATGTATATTATTAATGATTATAATAAAGATTATGGTTATTGTTATTTTTTTTAATATTTTTCACTGTCCACCTTCACTACCATGTCAGTGATATACAGCGTGTCGTTACCATCGCGACAATAAATGAACACACGTCTAACGCTACTTGCCAATAATCAGAAAAAAAATATTAAGGTTAAACAAAATCCATAATTAAAAAAAAATATTTTTCAAACAAACTAATTAAGTAAAAAAGAAACAAAATCTGTAACATCCTATACAACTCGCGCCACAGCGTCGCATTACAAGCCTCTCCTTCTAACAGTATGTTTTGTCTCTTTTAAATTCATTCAACCCATTCATATGCTTTGTCACCTTTACACATGAACTTTACGTTATAGTTTTATACGTAAGGGTGTTCTAAAATTGTTTGTTTTGGAAAAGTTAATAACTCGGTAAATATTGATGTTTAAAGAATGTAAATGTTTAATACAATTTTAAAAAGTTATCCTCTATATGTGTGTTCATTTATTGTAGCGGTGGTAACGACACGCTGTATATACGTATTAGTACTCTGCGATAATTTTTTTTCTTTGGGAAAGACAATCGGTTAGGTTCCGCTTCGTAAAGCGTTATCTTTGCCGCACGACAGTGTGTGAAAAAAGGTCGATATTGGACATTTATCGCCGAGTACTGTATAATTTGCTGCACCCTATGCAAAAAGCCTGTGTTGGACCGTAGAGGACTAATTTCTGGTTGCGATGATCAAATCATTTCGTCTAATTTCTTGTTTGTACATACACAATTGCGTTTAATTGTAATTAGTTGTGCTCTCAGTTAAAAGTAGTACTCATAGTAAAACTGCACTTAAACATCAAATCCTTCAGCACACGGCTCCTTTTAATTCCAACCGAAATCGCACTACAATTTCCGTTCAAAAACCAAAACTATCAAAAAAAAAACAAAATCCTTTGGCACACAGCTTCTTTTTTAATTCCAATAAAAACCACCACACAATTTCCAAAACTATAAAAAAAAAAAGAAAACAAACAAGACAGCCATCATTCGGGGCGATCGCAAACTTCGAGCGGCTTCTCGGCGATGTCGTCAAGCGATGGCACGCGATCGGGACATGCGCACTGTATCTGCGACAGCCTCGGCGACTGGCTCGGCGTCTCCACGTCGAGCGTGTGCCCTATCGCGTCGAGCTTGTCGCCCAAATAGGGGAACTCCCGGCCGAGGGTGGCCACGACGTCCCTCAGCGTGTCGTTGAGGGCGCGCGCCTGTTTGTACTCCGCTAGCACGGCCCCCTTGGGCTTCTTGACGCGCAGACTCTGCCGTTTCACCGCGGCGCCGAGCTCGCTGCCGAGGCGCTGGCTGCGCACCACCCTCTCCAGGAGCTGGAGAAATATATGAGGATTTTTTTTTGTTTGGTTCACAAAATAATGATACATTTATATAAATATATGAATACAAACATATTCACATTCCAAAAAAGTGAACTAAATAACGTATTAAATGATTCTAGATGACGATAATGATAAAACATATGGAGCAACTCAATGCATGTGTTATTCTGATGTATAAGGTTTATTATTGTAAAATTTCATTAAAATCTATTTTGAAAGAGTAACAAACGTCCATCCATACGTACAAACTTTCGCCTTTATAATATTAGTACGGAAGTAAGGATTGCATCCGTACGAAGCCGCGGCGGGTCGCTAGCCTCTTATAAGTCTCTCGCTCAGCTTGTAGATGTTTAGACCAGTCCAATGCGTACCCAATGTTTGCGGGTCTCCGTTTGGCGGCACTCGCGCATCAGCGTGGCCACGCGCTCCTCCAAGTGGTTGCTTAGCTCCGCCGCGGCGGTGGTGTCCCTCTCCAGACGCGCCTGCTCACTGCGCAGGTACTCCATGTGCGCCTTAGCGTCGCTTAACTCCTGGTCCAACCAACGAGGAACCAGAAGAAGAAAAAGTGACTTGTACTTGTAAAAGCAGCAAAGGAGTGCAAAGTGTAATTTGCTTGAATGTAAAGCGTCACGACGAGAATCCTGGAGATGTGGGTTCGTTCCCACAGCGTCGAAAAACTTTTCGAACCCTTTTTTATACAAATTTTAATAGACTACTGTTAGGGTTGTTTTGTTATTCTGGGTGGTCTACCCATTTTTGAACGGGCCACCATATACTTATACCGCGTCGTACAGATCCGTGTGTACCAGGGCAGCATAAGGCCGGTAGAGCGCCGCGCCGTTTGCACCCACCTTGGCGAGGCGTGCGGCGTCCGCTCGCGCCAGGCGCAGCCGGTGGTGGTGGGCGGGGCGGGGGGCGTGCGCGGCCCCGTGCGCCCTCTCCAGCGCGGCGGCCGCCCGCCCCTTGTCCACTACGGTCTCGCGCCGCGTCACGTACAGCGCGAGGTCCTCGGCGAGCCGCTCGCCGGTGCGCCGGAGCTGATCTCGGCGCACCTGCGTCATTGACACGCGTCACTTCATTGGCACGCGACACGTCACTGACATGCGACACGTCACTGACATGCGACACGTCACTGACATGCGACACGTCACTGACATGCGACACGTCACTGACATGCGAAACGTGGACATGTTTTTGATATGCAACATTCTTACTTACTGAGTAGACTGACTGGTAGAGAATGCTTTTGGGCATTAAGTCCGCCCTTTGTTACTTTGTTTTTCTGTAGGTTGGCAATAAAGATTAAATGAATAAATAAAGGGCCAGACACTAAGTTTAAGACACACCGCGACATAATAGCGTTACTTGGATATGATATTTTTAAATTATTATTCAAAAGGACATTAGTACCCTAAGCGTGTAGTCTTGATGTCTAACAATTTCTTTAAAAAAATCATCTCTCTTACTGTAGTATAACAATACGATAAGTTGTAAGAACGTTTTATGCACACCGATTTCTCGTGATATACACTGATCCAGGACAACCATCTTTGAGTTACAGAAATACTTGTTCCGTTTCAGTATCAAATGAACGACCTCTAACCTAACGCCGAATCATATACAAGAGTCATCCATTATATCCATTAAATATACAACCTCCATTCGGTGTATCTCATTTTTCATCTGTCCGATTTCCCCGGCCGCTGACTTTGAGCCCTGAATGCTCCGTTTGAGCTCGACTGCTAGGATACCCTGAAATTAGATAGTTTTAAATCATAATTATATTGTTTTTTTTTGGCTTCCATAAAAAAAAACAATATAGTATTGGCCTTGACGAGGCCTTTACAGGCGCTGAGGGCGCCTAGCAAAGGCTAACTAACCAATAAACTAAACAAAGTACAGACTTTGTTTAGTTTATTGGTTAGTGTATAAAAGAAATTTTGATGTTGTTGGTTCGAGAAGTGGTTTATTATAGTGATCATCTCACCCATCCCACCATTTTTCTACATAGATGAATCACATTATTGTACAATAATCGTGTTATATATTTAAATAATCATCCTTCCGTGATATGAATTTGCGAATTCGAAGAAGTTGATGACATCGAGTTGGCGCCGTTTTATCAATTTTTTTTTCTTGTCATCAAACCATTCTAGTAATCGAAGACGCAAAGTACGCCCAGATAAAAAAAGACCAAACACAGAATACCTATAAATGTTTGTTTTCAACACATCGCAAATTTTGGCACTATGTGAAATTTTCATTTGGCACATGTTCTCAAACTTCATACTAAATCAGTAATAACGATACCTTTCTCTGCCATATCAATGCCTCCCTCTGGACTCTATCCAGTTCCTGAGTGAGGTTTATCTTCTCTTTCTCTAGCGCCTCGATCTCGTCCTCCAGATCGAAAATTTCCGATTCGGCGTCCTGTAAAGAAGTATACCATATAGTTCGCTTATCTAACCTATTAGCAAACGGCAGAATTTTGCGAAAGATTGCGTATACGTATTCGCAGCGTGGGTTTTTTATTGTGCATCCTGATCCGACCGGGACTTCGACATACTTCTACTCAACCCATCCCAGCGGCGGGGAATCCATAACAGATTTTACACATATTAAAAATAGTTAGGATTGCCTCCTTAGAGGGTTTTAAGTAGTTAACTATTATTCTATTATTGTTATCGTTAAAGACATCCTTAAAGCGTGGTCCGTTCAACGTCCTATTGGCAAAGCCGTCTTAGGCCATATCGGAGCCCTAGGGCACACAATAATTTGGGGCCCTGATGGAAAGTAAAAAAATGACAAAAACCTTTTTCTCCTATTATCTTATATTTTTTATTATTCTATAAACTTCTGTCGGAATATATGTACCAAAAATAGAGATTTTTTTTTAATAGTTTAAGCGAATACGTAGGACATGCGGGGACCCCCTGAGACGTTCCCTTATGGTGAAGGCGGTATTGCACATTCGGGCCATTTATTTACAGCCTTGCTATTACTGCCATCATTAAAATGCGAGCACCTTGAGGCCGGCCGTGTACTCGTAGGTGGCCGCAGCGTTCGAGCGCTCTGCGTGCGCGTTCCGCTCGAGCGCGTCCTTCCGTGTGCGCTCGGCCACCTCGAGCGCGCCGCGCAGCGAGCGCAGCGAGCGCTCCACGCCCGCTCGCTCGCGGCCGATCCGCTCGCACTCGGCCTGTATGCGCATGCTCTTCTGCTCGCAGATCTGGATCTCTGTCAGCGGGAAAGGCACGAAAGATTAGCGTGCTTACGCATAGACTTCTCTTCTATTATGTGAGCGTTACGTGTTTCACTCGTCACATTTTTTCGTGGATTAGTTAAATAAAATTTCAGCTACGTCCCAATCGCTCTCGTCTTTGAACCATTGTACTTTAAGATTTTTCCTGAATACTATGAGTATCTAAGAATGCATATTAAATGACACTAGTTTACGGATTTTGTCGCGTTTTTATTTTGATTTGAACTCCCGACGTTTCGAACCCTTTCCAGCGTCCATGGTCACGGGACAGACTAAGTTGTTATACGTCTTGATGTCAAAGTTAACCCCGGCTACCGTCGATTAATATTCATAATCAAAAAACGCGATAAAATCCGTTTCATTTAATATGTGTAATATTCGCGTAAAATCAAGAAAACAATATTTAAGAATGCAGCAGAAAACAGAATATTTAGCGCTTTGAGTTTCATTGTATGCGTGCGTGGGTGCGTGCTGTCGAGTGAAGCGCAAGGGAAACTGACGCTTATTGATGAGGTTCATATCGGCGACAATCTTGTGGTGCTGCCCGGCCAGCTTCACCACGTGCCCCTGCAGACGGAGCCAGTCGTGTTGGGCGCTCTCCGTTCGCTCCCGCAAACTCCTGATCTGCTGCTCCAACTCCTCGATTCTCCTCTCCTGCGGTGACTTCATCTGCGGGGTTTTCACCACAACATTCTATTCCACATACTAGAACTTGTTTTTCGGTGCTGGAGGAACCCCGCCCGTCCAAGACAAGATTACGTGGCAGGATCCACTAAGGTCTATATATGGTCTTATTTAACGCCCTGAAATCTCCAGTAGATCGCACTGGTGACGAGTACCATATTCAAGTCATTAGGTTAAAAAAAAGTTGTTTAAGTTTATTTACAATTGCGACCGCTATATGGAATCACTTTTACAATTAGTGTATTGCCAATGCCAGTGCATTGCCATTTTAATTGACCCGGAATCTCAAACGTAAAACGAATCCAAAAATTATAGTCATCAAAACCGTTTTTTGTGAGTAACAAAAAATTGCGTAGCAAATTTTTCAATGTGCCAACCTTCAAACTAAAAATTGACAGCCTACGCTAAATAGTTTGAATACTAAAAAAAAAACAATCAACAGTATTAACATAAAATTGTGTTCGTTGAAAAATATCGACCGTTTCGTATAAACTTTTATCGAGTTAAGACTTACGTCGAATAGTTCTTTAAGCGTTGTATACTTTTTCGTAATGACATCCAACTCACGCTGCTTTCGTGTGAGTGTGAGTGACTTTTGATCATATTTCTCCTGCAATTGGTCAATCTCTTTCTCCCTCTCCCTTACTACATTTAAGCTCTCTTCCAAAGTGACTTTTATTTTTCGCCTGTCTACTTTTGTGCACTTCGATGTCAAGTATCATCTTCGCGTGTTGATTCTCCAATGCTGTTAAGGCGATTTCCTGTAATTAAATATTTGAAATAAGTCAAGGTAATACAAAAAAAATCAATCGCAAAAATTTGTTATTCTTGACAACTTTTTTAAAACTAAGAACCTACAATATTCGTAAACACACAAGCAAACATACAAAATTCTCCGTGAAAACTTTGAAAGCTTTTTTCTCCTTAGTTTTACTTTAAACTTTTGTCAACAACACGTTTATCAACAAAAATGGCGACATGGTTTAAATACTGTTTCTGCAATGCATTAGGGTATATAAACTATGTGAAAGATAACGATTAAAAACAATTTATTGGGCAAACTTACAAAAATCTGACAAGAGACAAGCCTTGATTCTTAAAAAACCACCACATAACGAATTAACAAAGCATCCTTGTCATCTCCACACAGACAGGCATTGTGAAAGGATTAAAGACAACGATTAAAGACAATTTCTTGTGCAAACTTACAAAAATGATATAGAAGACAAGCCCAGAAGAATCTTGAATCTTTTTTTAAGAATAAAAAAAACCCCACATCAGGAATTAACAAAGCATCATCGTCATCTATCCACACAGAATTACTTTCGACTCACTTGCTTCCTGGACATTTCCCTCATCTTCTTAATGCCGTTGGCCATTGCCTCGACCGCTTTGTCGTTCAGCAGGCACTCCTGGAGGTTCGTCAAAATTTCATTCTCCAGCTTCAGCCTTTGCTCCGTCTTGCGGTGGCAGTCCTTCTCGGTGCTTCTCAGTATGTTCCTCATCGTTTGATTCTCCTGTGAAACACAATCGGTTTAATACTAAGAAAAATGTAATACTAACAACCATACTCTCTCTTTCTCACTCTACTCAATAAGTACATCATCGGCATCCTCCTGCCTTTTCCCACGCAGGTGGGGTCGGCACAACGTATGAATCATGTTGTAAGCGCTTTTGGCTATGATTTTAACGACCGGCTATCAGATTATTTTTGTTACAGTCGCAATTGCAGTTCGCCTGAACTATAATCTGAATCGTTTTCTGTTTAACTCCCATTAAAACGAGTCGGTGTACATTTGGAAATAAAGTTGCTACTCGGTTTTACCTTTTTTAGGTGTTAAGCGATTTCTTACACTCAACGATACGTGAGCTGAACTCAAACTCAGGCGCGACAAGGTGTGATATTAAATATGACATAAATTTGTCCCTCTAACCGATTTGATAAGCTCCTGATCTCTCTCCGTCATCTCTATTGATTCAGAGAGCTCTGATATCTGCGTTTCCAAATTAACTCGTTTCGCCTCTTCGCCGTCCACTGTAATCGACGTAGAAACAGTTGTTAGCTCATTAATTTTATGAATCTTTAAATATATACTAAACTGAGGAGTGTGAATATTAGTAATTAGAATTAGTAAATAATACAATAAGACCAAAACTAGCAAAAACATGTAATAACGCTGGATATAATATCTGAGAAAATTTTAAAAACATCGATACATTATTACTATGAATATAGAGCTTTTTTTTTACGCTTTAACACAAAAATAGCAAAAACGTTGCATTCGCATACACAAGAAATAATCCTAAATCAATTCTCAGTCCCTACTCAATATAATAAATGAATATATTTTTAACAATGCATTCTTCACAATTATTGTAAATAAAAAAACGTGGCCCAACGCTCACGTTTTGTAAATCAAGGGGGAGTTGTAAGAGATTATGTTTCGTTACTATTATTATATTCATACAAACTATTACGAGCCTCCTTCATATTCATGCATCTGCTCATAATACCCTCTTTGCTGCCATCTTTTATTTATACATTAGGTATCTGTGGAATTGGGAAGTGGTATATCTAATTACATAATGTTTTTAAATTCGCCTACTTACGTAGCTTTTCTACGGCCACAATGTCGTACAGAATCTTGTCTTTGTTCATTGCGATCTCTTTGCCTCTATTCATCTCTTCCATAGCCGCCTTCTTCGTTATCTCTAATTTACTCAGCAACGTACGATAGTTTTCCTGCAGGGCCCTTGAAAGTATAAAGATTTGCGGTGCAATAGAAGCGTATTATTGAATTAGGTTCATAAGAAAGGACTTGATGATAACAATCAATGTGACATGAGAGCAAATTCTATTCATTATAATAGAATTCAGTCATCGCTTTGTTGTTTGTTGGTTAAAAGCAATTAACCAGCAAACAAAAAACGCACTGACAATTAACGAATTTGAAAATAATTAAATCTTGGCATGATTAAAACGGAGAAACTGAACACGATATTTGGTATCTGTAAACAGAATGAAAAAGTGTAATACACTAAGAAAGCTACACGAAGTGTTAAACACACTAAAGCAAAAAAAATATTATTCCTTACGCGTAGACACTGTAATGCATGCAATTCCTATAAATGTTGGCTGGGTAGCGGAAAGCATTGTTCGAAACTTTTAATTGCAAGCTGAAACATTATCTAAGAATCTTAAATGGTACTGCCCTTATCCAACCTAGGTGGGGTCGGTGTGACTCATGTTTTAATGGTATCGGCTAGATTTTGTTAGGAACTGCCTCCTTACAATAATTTAGTAAATGAATCTTTCATTAACTTATAGTCGTCACGAACGGAGTCGTAAACTTTGTCCCTGTGCTGTATGTTGACCAGCACAGAGTTCCAGAGGCTCACGAGGCGACGTTTGTCCAGTTCCAAATCCTCCAACTCTGCAGCGTAAGCGGTCACCTGGTCAAATTACACGGGGTTATAGCTCTGCGTCGGAATGCTCGCTTATTAAGGGTTCCGTACCCAAAGGGTAAAACGGGACCCTATTACTAAGACTCCTACAAAGATAGTTAGACAGCTGAAATTTTCACAGACGATGTATTTCTGTTGCCGCTAAAACAATAAATACTAAAAAACAGAATAAAAAATATTTAAGTGGGGTTTCCATAGAGCAGACATGTTTTTTTTTTGCCGTTTTTAGAGATATTGGTATGGAACCCTTCGTGCGCGAATCCATCTCGCACTTGGCCGGTTTTTTTTAGTATACTCGAGCAACCAGAGTTCGATCCTCGATGCCGATACCACGGTGAAGGAAAACATCGCGAGGAAACCTGAATATTTTTGAAATAAAAACAAAAAGTATTTCGAAGATATGTGAAGTCTGCCAATCCGTAGTGGGGCCGCGTGGTGGACAAACCCCTATACCCTGTGTATAGAGGAGGCCTTTGTTCAGCAGTGGGACATGTATAGGCTGTTACTTTACTAATTAATTTTGTTTTTATAAAAGCATTCATATAATACCTTGTCGTTGACTTGCTCCATTTCAACGTTCTTGATGTCGAGCTGCTTCTGGAACATCTCCAGTTTGGACTCCAGCTTCCAGACTTCATTGCTAAGGCTGTATATGATCAAGTCCTGCGAATTAAAGTAATAGCTTTTAGGCTGGCTAGAAACAAAGTGGGATTCTGTCACCGCATTTATAAATACATGATATTGAAAATCTTAGTAGTGAATGTGATGATTGTCTTTTTCTTTTTGCTTCACACTAAATCGTTACTTACTAGTAACGATACTAATCTCGTGTATAAATGTTGACAGATTAATATTGCCACTGAAAATATGAAATAAGTCAATTCATTTTAACCCCCCTTGGATCTGTGAACTAAGCATTCAATAAAATTAGCCTCGTGTCCGTTTTTACTCACCAGCTGTCGCTTCTCGTCCGCCAACGCTCTCTTCTCCGTTTTCATCTTCTCCGACATGCGCTGGTTCACCGCCAGGTCTGATTCCGTCTCCTCGCGCCACTCCTCAAGCTGTCGGCACAGCGTCGTCAAAGCCTCCAGCTCTTCGGTTGCCTCTCGCTCTATTGAAAATATATTTTTTTTATGTGAGGAAGCGGCAAACGCGCTGGCGGTTCAGCTGATGTAAGTGATAACCGCCTGCCCATGGACATTTGCAACACCCGTAGGGTTGCAGATGCGTTGCCACTCACCAGACGAAACGCAGAAGTGCAACACTTGCACTTTACGCCGGTCTTCTGTGAGGTCGTGGTTCTTACCCGGACGGACCTGCCCATTCGTGCAACAGTGAAAACTATCGCGTGGCCCTACCACCGCACAATATCGCTCCTATCGCACTTTCTCTACTTTTCTATTTTCGTTATTTAAAAGATAATGGTACAATAGGACAGCATGATGCGTTAGAATAATAAGCTCTGGAACAACTGTTTGTTGTTCTCACAGGGGGCATGTATATGCCGGGTGGCGTACAAACCATTCACCATACAGCTTCGAAGTGCCATTACTTGTTGCATAGGGAGATAAATTATTATGAATCGCATTGAAAATATGTAGAAAAAGTACGAAAAGATAGTCGCCGCTGTGGGAATCGAACCCACGTCTTCGGTATTCGCGGCCTGACGCTTTAGCCACTAAGCTAAACGGTTGATAGCCACACCAACGAAAATCTTAACGTCTTTTATCTACATTGTTTCTTAGCATTTGAAGAAATGCTCGGCGCATCCATTGTTACATCCTTTCCAGCATACAAACAATTTCGAATATCGTTTTACAGCGATAATTCGAACGAGAGATGACGCCATTGCTTTTTAGAAATTTAATTATTTATAGTGCTAATCTCTGCACTTAAGATTAAACATGGAAATCTTTTCGTACTTTTTATACATATTTTCATGTTTAATCTTAAGTGCAGAGATTAGCACTATAAATAATTAAAAATGAATCGCATTGTCAATTTGTGAAGAAAACTAAGTCCTTTGCACTGGTTGGCCACAAGTCAATTGATTTTTGCTTGACTTTGTCAATTTTCCGACACCCACAATACTTATAACATTACGGTCCAAGTCCAACTAATTTCCATCTTTTAGGTTTTGAACAGAAGATAAATTTCAAATCCGATAAGCCACAGATACGACTTTAATAAGGTCACCCTACATTGGTATTTAACGACAAGCCTATTTACCCTATCTCACGAGCTAATCGTGGCTGATGCACACCGTACCTTGAATGAGGTTTGCCTCTAACTTCTCTCGAGCCATCTTATACTTCTCGTTGGAGTCGTGCACGCGCTGTTCCTCTGCTTGCCGCTCGGCCATTTTCTTGGCCAACGTCTCCTCGTATTCGGCTATTAAAGCCTATTAAAAGCATTTAATTAGTATGAAAGCATTATATAGCCTATTCAAACAAGACATCAGGAACTTCAAACGCATCAGTCTGGCCCTGTATCCAAAACGTCAAATAGTTTGAAATAAGGCGCGATAAAAATGTTAAAATAATTTTATTTAGCACTTTCAAATACTTCACAAGGAATTCCGTGATAGACGTAAGAAACGTTGAAGAAATTCTGCAAACGCAAATAATAAATCTATCCGCATTTCTCAGCTTAAACTAAGCGCCTAATTACAAATCATAAAAACAAAGCCAAACATGTCGGCCGAACAATTATTGCGTCAGATACGGGCTATGTTGGTCCGATCCAGTTGTAATGGAATAATACAGCAAAAAAGATAGCAAAGAAACTAGCGCAAATACGAGAGCAAACTGAATACAAAGCTCATAGTTTTCTATATTCGCTGTGAAGTTTCTACATATAAAGATAAAAGAAAGACGGTAGAAGGGAAAGAGGTGGCAATACATACCCTTTGAGCGTTGGTGTCGTGATCGTCGCGGTAAATAGTTTCCAGGTCCTTGTCGTACTCTTGTTTGCTCTGCTTCAGTTCGTCGCGCTGTTTATATAATTATATCAAATATAAATTTATTTAATATAATTATGTAATATAATTTTATTGTTTTTATAAATATTGTCACTTACTGTGTGACATTTGACACGTGCCACATATTTTACAAACATACATTTCTCATGGACAAACAGAAATACAAACTAGATCGAAAATAATTTATCTGTGAGTCACTCAAATAGTTGTCCCCTGTGGGGATTGAAGCCCCGACCCCCGGCCGAAGCCAATACCTTGGCAATTGCAGCACGGAGTCACTGTGTAAATAGTAATAACACGTTTTATATTCAATTTAATGTTCAACTCTCATTAATAATAGCGATTTTTTTTTATTTAATCAATAATATCCATTACCCAGCGCTGAGCTATTTTTCTACAGACAGGAATGTTTTCGAAAAAAGTGAACAGAGGTAGACGGATTTTGCAATTATATATTTATTATATGTAAGTAGTTATAGTCAGCTATACTACCAATTTTTGAATCTCCTCTGCAGCTATAGCGTTCTCCCTTTCGAGGAATCGTCTGAGTGTCTCCTGGAACTTCTGCATGAGCGGATGCGTCGCTTCCAGCACTGCTGGCATGGCGCCCATCACCCGCTTGCTGCGCCATCTAACAGCAATTTTTTTGGAGATTTTTTATTAAGTTTCATTTTGCTATTAAACAATTCGTTTTAAAGTGACTATCCGAAGCACTGTAAAAGCTTCCGGTTCTCGTAATGAAAGGTTATGTTCTTACTAGATAAATACCGTACTCATAAACAGAATTAAAGTCATGTTTTATTTATTTGATCGTTAATGTCGTTAATTTAATCAGTGTATTTTTACTGATTCTTGTTAATATTTTGATTTGTAAAAGCTATTGGAACCACAGAATTTCTTGTCGTTCTTTTCTGGTCAGGTCTAATTTAGTCAATAAGGGGTAGTTTTGACGTTCATAAAAAATTGGAATAGTCCCAAAAAAAATGTTGTAATCAATGCTAAATAAACTAAAACTGAATTCATCGTTTCAAAGTGAAAGAAAGTTAATAGTGTTCAAAATCCTTTCATTGGTCACGGAAAAATCTAATATAGGTAATAAGCGTTATTGAATGGTTTGGTCCCTTAAGCTACTCGTAGTATAGAGTCAGCTAAATGGTAGGTATGTTTGTAAGTCCCTGAGGATGTACCTATTTTTATAATTTACTTGGAATATGAAAACCTGCTTAGCGAGATGTTCCTCATTTCAAATACATCTTATAGTTCTTATTACATGGCTACGATTAATATCCAAACGATTTTAAAACTCAGAACTGAGTTTTATGTCCTTAACATTTTCCGCTGCACACACACTAATTGTCTGTCCCTATAAAGCACGCTTCAAAATCCTCACTCGTCCAACGCCTCCTTGCCGGCTCTTCCGCAGCGGCATTGATCCTGTGGGCACCGGCAGCAACGGCAAATGTCGTCATCGGCTTGCACGGCGTCATAGTCGCATTCGCAGCCGTCCGTATCCTATTAAACAGGTCTCATCTAGTTTTCAGTAAAAAAGCTACCGTTATCCAAGAACTTTAATGGCATTCGGATACCGAGTTTAGATTTGGTATTTCGAAATGTCTTAATTTGTTATATCCAATATTTGCAACATTAAATCGTAACTGTAAGAAATATTTCGAAGATATGTGAAGTTCGCCAATCCGCAGTGGGGCCGTGTGGTGGACTATGCCCTGATACCCTCTGTAAAAAAGAGGAGTTCTTTGGCCAGCAGTGGGATATGTATAGACTTTACTTTAAATCTAACTCATCATCATCCCCCCTGCCCTTATCCCAGCTAGGTGGTGTCGGCACAATATATGAACACAACACTTTCAACGTGGTTTTGGCTAGGTTTAATTCGAGCGGTTGCCTGCCTGACGTCAACCCTCCTTGGGAACAAGTACCCAGATCCGGAATAATTATTAGTGGGTCACACAAATACGTCTCCCGTGTGGGAATCGAACCCACGGCCTCCAGCGCCGAAGCCAATAGATGGCTGAGCTACTGCGCCATTGAGTCATCAAAACCAACTAAATTCCGTATTATCTTATTAATAATCCTAAAAGACTTAGCGGAAAGATGCCAAGGAACGCTAGCTTCATTTCCTCGTTTGACCTTTGAGCGAGAAAAGAACCAGCCCTCTTGTCACCACCCGCGGCGATATAGGACGTTTAGAAATGATACTAACTTTATAAATCATCTGCTCGTTCTTGTAGAGCAGGCAGTTGGTTTCGTGCACCACGATATCGTGGTCGTCGCGCGGACAAACGCAAATAGGCGGCGTCGGCGGTGACGAATCGGTGTCTTCTGTGCATGGACAGTCGTAATCGTTGTCCATTACGTTTTAATGCAGTTATGTGATATCAAATTGGTATAATATTCAAAACGCTATTAAAAAACAACTCGCCTGTAAATCGATTGCGAATAAACTCATTTGTTATTGGTTGCTAGGAAACGCTCGATTAAAGTCGTTTTGTTAGAAACAAATAATTAAGTATACGATATTGTGTATGCGGATGCTGTTTATGACCACGGATTCTGTAGTGTTCGAAATTCGTGTATCAAAAATTGCGAAAAATCCGTAAGTTACTTTTATTTATCAATACTAAATTGAAGCAAGCGCCATCATGTGGTAAAAGTTGAAATTAAGTGACCGACCAGAAACAGGGGTTTGGGTGCGTGTGAACAGTGCCTTTGTTCAAACACACCCAAAAAGCCCCGTTTCTGTAACTCAGCTAGTAGGGATTACTAAGTAAAAAAGTATATCGATATATTTATAAACTATCGATAATTATCGAGTATCACATATCGATATATCACCATTTTTTGCGTGATTATGTATACATGTTCTCAAAATAGTCAAAAACTTTGAGAGCCTGGCCACACAGCTGTTATCTTATTCCCAGAGAAGCGCAGTAGTATAAAGACTTTTTATACTATTTCTTTTTCATGTCGGTCTGTGCAGAATCGGTCGGCAGCTGCAGAACTTGCCCGGTTAGCAGAGGCCACTGCTTGATTTCTTTTATGTCAGAAGGCGGGAGGCGAGCAGGCGGTTCACTTGAAGTTAAGTGATAACCGCCGCCCATGGGCATTTGCAATCCCACTTGCATTTTGCGATTCAGCACTTCAAATGAACAATATCTATGGTGCCGGCACCGGAGATCGAAATCAGATTGGTCGAGTATATTGAATTAAAGCCGAGCGTCCGGACACCGAGCTGTCACGGCTCACGAGAACCTTTATTTATTGATATTTAACGTCCTTATGTCCTTAGATGCTGTCGGGGCCGATTCCCGACCGCATCAACAGTTGATGCTCATACGACGACTTCTTTATCAGCTACAGAGGTAATATAACGCTATTAGTCTCCACTTGCATGCCGATAGTGCTGTAGTTCTCGTCGAAAACGTCTTTACTTACAAGCGAGTTTTTGAGGACTTAAATTCGGATCATGTTTACTATATTATATAAAATATAGCTGTGATATATATCTATATAATATCTGAGTAATATTCACTATAAAAAATATTTCGAAGATGAACCATAGCACAGTATTTTTGGAATTATTACAGAGCGAGATATTTGAAGTCGGTTTTGTTTAACATTAATAAAAAAATTGACTTGTCAATAGATGGTTGTAGCGAAAAAAAAAACCGATTTCAAATATCTCGCTCTGTATTAATTTTATAATTGATTTTTAGCAGTTCCCTAAGTAACTCCGGAGCCCAATACAAATGAAATTACCACATGGGAAACACCAGCTTTTAAACACAAAAGGAAATCACCAAAACCGGTTCACTCGGCAGAAAGTTCTGACGTAACAAACATAAAAAAAATACAGTCCTTTTTTGAAGTCTGTTGAAAAGTACTCAGTTTCCGGGCGTTTTCTGTTAAATTTACTATACTCGAGCAATGTCTAGTCTATTCCAGCATGAAATTATTGCATTATGAATTCTGATTTTCCCGGTGGCAATAAAAATACTATTTCGAAAATATAGTCTCTGGGATCCTATTAGCGATAATTTTTAATTGGGCACTGATTCTACATCTCTTCCCAACAACTTTAAAACGACAGCCCTAATCTCTATACCTATATCTCTATTTTGCCTTCCAGCCATGCTGCTATTTCGACTTTTTGTGCGTTTTGCCGTTTATGTCCTCGATAAAATAGCAATAAATGTAAAGTGTATGGTTTCAGAGATCAACAAATAAATAAAATACTCTCGAAAAGATGAAACTTCAAGTTATTGTTACATTTTGCAAATTCTAACCTGTTAAGAAAAATTTTTTAAGAATTAATTCGATTAATCGATTTAATTTAAATTGAATCGACAGATTTTGAGATAACCAACAAAATTAGGATAGAACAGATAGATATACGGGTTTCTTTTACTCAAATATGAAATCTGAAAGCCGGTTAGTACAGCCAAAATATAGAGAATGATTAACACAACTTTTTGAAAGCATAAAATTTATGTGTAGCGGCACGAATTATCTGGAACATTTGCACGAATGGTCTGGAACATTTGCACGAATGGTCTGGAACATTTGCACGAATGGTCTGGAACATTTGCACGAATGGTCTGGAACATTTGCACGAATGGTCTGGAACATTTGCACGAATGGTCTGGAACATTTGCACGAATGGTCTGGAACATTTGCACGAATGGTCTGGAACATTTGCACGAATGGTCTGGAACATTTGCACGAATGGTCTGGAACGTGTCAAGTAGAAGTATCATCTACTTTTGCGTTTCGTCTGGCGAGTGAGGTATCGGAGAACGACCCTCGTTTATTTTCCTCTCAAAAAATGTAATGAATATGTATAATTATTGATACAGGATTGAGGGCGAAGAAGTGAGAACAACACATGTTTTAACTTAGCTTTTATTTTTGTGTAATAATTGTCGGATACAAATCGCAATTCTCATATCAAATATTTTATAAAATGCTAAAATGGTAGCATTAATAATAATTGTACATCGCTAAAAATTAAAATTAAAAAAAAAACACTGAACCAGAGCGGACGTTGCGACTCCGTATTGTACAATGCTACAGAAGTTTGTTAATACTTAGAAATGAATGGGCAGGCACATTAAAAACTTACAGCTACGATAAAATAACGTCTAAATCAATAATCATCTTCGTCTATCACAAATTGTGATGTTTAAAATGCGAACTGCTTGCCGTCGCGAATACTGTTAAAGTTATTTAAAACATTTTATGGCATATGACAATCGCTCAGTATAGCTGCCTTATAAAGAAACAAAGGAAGGATATAATAATTCAAATTAGGTACAACATAAGGTTAAAATTAAAATTAATTTAAACAAAAAGCGTACAGGAAAAAAAAAGACCTAAAATATTGCAAAAAATCTCCACACGCCTTCCGCTAAAACATAATTAAATAAACACTGCATATACAAATGTAATAAGTGATAACACATGCTCAGTTCAACATCATTTATTAAAAATTGACATTGCCATGGAAAATCTAAATGCTATCGACAGTAATAATAATTATTAAAAAAAATACTAGATTATTTGTCAAAACGTTTTTCTAATATAAAAACGCATTTCTAATATACCTACATAAAGTTTATTCTTTGCTATATAAAAAAGAAATAAATAGGCACATTACATTCGTAAAGAATGCTCGAAGGTTCCTTCTTTTCATAATCTTATCGATACAATAATTTCACAATGTTACTTACCTATAAATTAATGATTAATAAAACAATCCACAATTAAATTGCAGTATTGCCAGTTAAATAACTGCTTTATGGCTTTTCGTTTATCTTTGTACTGAATCGTAAAAATGTTACATAAAAAACATCTCGATGGTCTTAAGTACGCATTTAGTTAAAATTTCGAATCATAAAATCACAATCTGCTAAATATAGAAAACAGTGCAACAGTGTTCTGCTTACGAATATTACAAAAATCAAGCACGCACAATTGACAGGCAAAGTATCCTACTATAAAATGCAAAATTTCTTATAAATAAGACACCTTAAAAACAAAAAGAAAATGTACAAGTGATAATAAAATTTACTCCTAATACGAGTCCCACAAAACGGGAATAATCTATGTGACAGTCGTCGTGATGGGGGTAAAGTATAAAAAGTTTGTAGCGAAAGATACGTTATTGATATTATATCTAAACAATAGTATTTAACTCCAAAGCGCAGGGCAGTAAATCTTAGTATTGGGATGTGCTAGTAGAACTATCTAATAATTCGATGACGGATCGAAACGAAAAATTACAATATTCCTTACAAGAGCGCACAAATCCCTAAAATCGTTGCTGCCCCCTTAGTCAAGACTAAGCGATATCAAAATCGTATTAGCACTAGATAACTTTGTATCGAGTCGTGGATGTTTTGTATCCGATACGGAATCGAACACGCATCGGATCGGAGGACATTAGGAGTAACGAGTCCACGTTCGCCAATCGAACGAGTAATGTTCCTTCCCCGACTCGAGGTCGTTCGACGAACGATACTAATGGTGGTGATCGTGATACGGTTAGTATCGGAACGGTGGCCGTTTGGCGCACGATACTAGAGGCGGCGATTGCATTATAATTCGTATCGGAACGGTGGACATTGGGTGTCGGGAGCGCGGTTGAAAATCGAACTAGGTTAGGTTCCTCCTAGGAACATATTAGGTGGTCCGGCGGCCGCGATACTGTTTGTATCGGAGCGGTGGTCGTTTGCGATACGGTCGCCGGTGCGGCGCGGACAGTATCGGGGCGTGCGAGGGCCACTGTCCGCCCTAGTGGGTCTCCGCTGGCGCCGGCGGCACCGGCACGGCGAGCGGCGACCGCTGACGGTCAAACATCTCTAGTATCAGCTTGGGGTCGGTCCCGGCCGGCACCGTGATCGTTCCCGTCTGCGGAGTTTCCCTCATGAGTACCAACGCACGCTCCGGCCAGCAGCGCCGCGTGACGCCCGTCCGCTCGCTAAACACCGACCGACCTTTATGCCCGGCTCCTTTGTTCACACACTTGTTAGTTACACAGCTTCGTAACTTCCATAACGATTTGTAGATTAAAGGTACGCTATTAACCCACTTTCCGTAGGCAATGATAATGCAACGGCCCGTAAGGAGAACGTCTCGTTTTGTTAATGTAGGAACCGCGCGTACACGGCTTTTTATCTACAGTATGTTATGAAAGTTACGAAGCTATGTGACTAACGGCCGTTAGTTGAGTATAGGAACCGGGCGTCAGTGACGGCCGATACTGGACCCGTTAGACTGCGACGGAACGTTCTGGAACGTCTCCCGAATGCACCGCGCCAAACGAACGGACGTCACAACACTGCGCGTTTACTTTGGTTAGCGTGTTAGTGTGTGGACAGTGATGGTATTAACGTGTTTACTGGGTTGGGTACGAATGCAAGCGTATGGTGGTTTAGGGTATTAAAGCAAAGTGTGAGGTACCTCGATGCGCGTGATGACGCCCTCCTCGCGACTGTGCTCTAGGACTACAAACAAAAAAAAAAACACAAAGCGCCCGTCAAACATACAAACAAACATTGAAACGTAAACATATAAAGTTCTTGGTATATGAAGCGAATAATCGGTACATAATACTAAAAAGGGGTATCCGTCTAATGTGAATAATTGAGTTATGGGATTGTAGCGATATAGCAAAATAATTGACAATGCGTTTGATTATTCTAGTTAGTTTATATCGAAAAGCTGGGACAAGTTTAACGTATTCTGATGGAACGCATTCTTTACTTAAATAATTGCTAGTAACTTATAATTACAATGTACATATGTAATAAAAATGGGATATAATTGGCATATTTTTAATACACTGCATAATATACTTCTCGTATTGAGTAAAAGTGAATAATTGCAAAGGCGAATTTTTGTATTACAAAGTCTTACGATGGCTGCGTGTCGTTAGAAAAATTGTTATCCTCAATAGAACCTTTTTTTATGCCTTAAATAGAAACATACGAATTCTCGACCAGATATGAGGTTTACGATCGATTTTTATTTTATTGCACTTTACAAACATTCACTTGACACTCTGCAATAATAAATAGTATTTTCCTAAAAGAAGCTGACTCAATGCGGATCATTTGCTCTCATGCGGGACTTTATTGTGTGCCTATTTAAACTTTACTGCATTCGTCTAGTCTCATCGTCATAGTTTATGTAAACAAATCTGTTGATATTAATAAAATATAGGTAGCATGGGACCACGCAAGTCTTCGCTGTGAAGACTGGCGTGAAATGGATGTATTATACCTCTGCGTTTTGTCTGGCGAGTGAGGTAGCCGGAGCCCACTTTATTAAAAGGTTGTAACGCATCTGCAACCCTTCGGGTGTTGCGAATGTCAATAGGCGGGGGTAATCACTTAACATCAGGTGAACCGCCAGCTCGTTTGCCACCTTCTCACATATACAAATATAAAAGGATAAGGTTTCTGTTAACAACATTATTTACTCAATTCATATTTAAATAAAATTTTAAATGATATTTACTTGTTTATCAAGCTTATATACACATCAAGCTTACATACAGGTCGAATAAGAATTTAAAAAGTATTTGTATTTGTTATACAGGCTGATTTTATAGACGACAAATATTTTTTTAATAATAAATAAATATTTTAGGACACATTCTTTTTACACAACGTTCTCTAGTCCCAAACTAAGCAACGCTTGTACTATGGGTACTAGAAAACTGATAGACATACTTAAACATACTTTTTTTTTGTAAATAAAAACACATTATACATATATAAACACCCAGACACTAGAAAAACACTATGCTCATCACACAATATTTTTCCAGTAGTGGGGATCGAACCCACACCCTCTGGCGCAGAAGGCAGGTACACTACCGACTACGCCATTCGGGTCGTCAAATTTTAACAAAGCATATACAAAATTTGATTGTATATCTGAAACTGATACGTACTTGTGACCTCATTTTTTTTCAAAGATTATGGACACCCTATTACACAATCCTGGAAAACCATCTCAATACAATAAAGAACCAATTCACGAGCTTAGTTAGTGCTCGTGAATAGGTTAACTGTTCGCTGAACGCATAGTTACTAAACCTCTTATCAATATAAAATATCACTTAACGGGATAAACAAACAATACGAATGTATTATAATTTATATTTTTATGGTTATTTCTTGTCAGAATAAAATATTTATATATTTTTTTAATTATGGAATGTTCAATTAACAATACGTCAAAGTATGTACTTAGTCTAAAAAATCAACCTGTTTAAAGAAATATATCAATTTTGTATAAGGTACTAAAATTTTGATCGAATTATCGTTTGATATTTTATTATAATGCTCTTTGTGTAAAGTGCCCCTAATCGTATTGAAGAAGTTCTGTACTCACTGTTTTCGGCAGTGTTGTTGCTGGTGGTGGTGGTGGTCGTGTTGGTGACGTTGCCGTCCGCGCCGCTCTCGTTGATGGTCGTCCGCGTGGTGGTCTTCACCACCATCGAGCTCGTGTTCACCTGAGAGTTCTGCGAATGGACCGAGACGTGTTATAAATGTTGTTTTTCCTTCTAGTTTATAGACCTTATTAATAAGACCAGCTTATTTTTTTGTCTTTTTTTTTTTAAATGAAAATGTTGCCCTTACTTTAGCATAACATTATCCTGTGTTGTTAGGATGTTTTACAAACATAAATTTCACGGGGACAAACACCCAGATGCGAAACAACTATCTGTGGGTCACACAAATAGTGGTCCCTTGTGGGAATCGAACCCACGACCCCCGACGCCGAAGCCAATCAATACCTTGGCATATGCAATACGGAGTCATAAAATTAAACATAAAGGTGACTTTGGTTCTTCGGCGAATTACCTCGTGCCGGATTTTATCGCACAAAGAAACTCCGAGCGTAGCTCTTTCCATAGCTCGTTGTGTGACTGAGCTTCTTCAAGTCTTGCACAAATGGGCAGGTCCTTCCAGATAAGTACCACGACATTACGGAAGACCGGCGTGGAGTGGAAGTGTTACATTTCTGCGTTTCTTATGGTGAGCGAGGTAGCCGGGGCCCACTTTATTCAATAGGTGGCAACGCAAATCTGCAAGCCTACGGGGCCGCAAATGTCAATGGGCGGCGGTTATCATTCTCAGCCACCTTCTCACATACTATTAAAAATTTTGGATTCTTTCATTGACGAAATTGAATATAAAACCAAAAAATATCATATGTTTCATCATCAAATCCTTTCTCGCCATTCGTTTCGCACTTTCTCAAATAAAAAAAAAAAAAAAAAAAGTCTTATCTGTTCGTTGTTCGTTTCTCAAATAACAAAAAAGCCCAAAGTCCTATCTACATATAGCCATTATCTACAGTAGCCTTGCGTGGCCATGAGCAGACCTGAAGGTTGATGTTCAGCTCGGGCGGGTCCGGCGCGGTGTGGTCGCGAACGGAGTCGACCGTGATGTCACCCGAAGCGGCGGTCACGTCGTGCGCCGCTTCTGGGACCTCCTCCTGCGTCGAGATTCACATCTCAATGGCGAATCGGTCGCTAGATGGCGAACACGTTTATTGGAACGAAGTTCCTAATCTGAATGAAATGTGAAAGGGGGCTAGACGGAGAAAAATCTCACGAAAAGTTGTAACGACACTTTTTGCTATAGTAAGCTATTGTAAGCTGTGCGGCGTGCGCATGTTTCTCTGTCTGTCTCTCTCTCTCTCTCTCTCTCTCTCTCTCTCTCTCTCTTATAGAAAGCAAGCCAGATATTTTCATTTCTATTTCGCATTGAACAGTGTGGTGTCGCGACGATTATTTTTGTTGAGTGTATACAGGTTTTTTGTACATAATAAATAATAAAAAATAATAATAATAATGAATCCTGACAGTGTTTCTGCACAAGTTCCGGACAAGGAACTTCGTTCCATCCGGGTGTCCCTTGACACCTCTAATCTTCTTTTTTCCTTTTGAAGTTAAACTTCTCTCGGCGCGTTTGGGAAAAATTACGACATAAATTCATGGTGTCACCATGGGAACCGATACAAACTCTTTGACATTTACCCATAGTTCCAAATAATTTTATTAAACCGTTATAGATGTTTATTTACTGTCTTTTTTTTTATAACAAACAAAGAGTACGGGGGGTAAAATTTATAGTTATTTTTATTTTGTTACTCTAAAGAAGTGTAACTTCTTACTTGCATACGAGTACACACACAAGTTTCTTTATTGTTTTTTAAGAGTTCCGTACCCAAAGGGTAAACGAAACCCTATTACTATGACTCCGCTGTCTGTCTTTCTATCCGTCTGTCACCAGGCTGTATCTCAAGAACCGTGACAGTAAGACAGTTTAAATTTTCACAGATGATGTATTTCTAAAAAAACAGTAAAAAACAGGACAAAAAATGCTTAAGCGGGGTTCCCATACAACACACACGATTTTCTCCGTTTTCATAGGCGGTACGGAACCCTTCGTGCTTGAGTCGGACTCGCACTTGGCCGGTTTTTTATACCTTATGTTCGCCGTTTGGGATCGGGGTCTCCTCTGCTGGCCCTCGCAGCGCGGCCGCCCAAGGCGAGAGAGGCACCTGGCACACCGCCACCGTCACCTGAACAACAAATAGCTCGTATAAATTGAACTTATAAAAATCCGTAAACCAGTTTCGTTTACGAATTTTATCGTTATTAGATTTTATTTATTAGTAGATTTTATATGTTTCGAAACCTTACCAGCGTTCATGGTTCACTGTACAGACTAAATTGTTACACATCTTTTTACAAAACAAAATAAAATCCGTAAATTAGTTTCATTTAATATATGTATAATATTCGCGTAAAATCAACAAGTCAATATGTGAACTCGAACTATCAACGTGCATTAGCTAAACTGCTAAATATGGATGTCGGCTAAAAAATTTAAATGACGGCTATATTTATATTAGTTGAACAGGGCTGACACATGATCTCAAGGGTAGTAGCAAATCGGAACTGATTGATTTCTTTTTTTAAGCGAATGTTATACATATTAAATGAAACTATTTTATAGTTTCGTTTAATATGTAACATTTAATATGTAACTATTTTATAGTTTCATTTAATACGGTCCCAGACTATAAACGTGCATTATCTTTAAGCTGAATTGTAAAGTTAATGTTTACCACAGTCACCTGAACAGTTCTTAAGTTGTAAGATCAGATATTACTCTTGAATAAGACGTCCACTTGTAATACAATAGTTATAAGATCGACTGGGGTAGTGTACAAGCTGTTTAACATTCAAAATCAGAAAATATATAGCGAAATAATTAGGGGTAATGAACAATCTATATTCAAAATTTAACGAGAAAGAGTATTTTAAGTAAAACTAGTAGACGAAATGATAGTTAATGGATTTCTACCTTAGTTGCTGAAAGCGTAATCCTTTGAAGTTCTGAAGAAGAGTGCAGGTAGAGAGCTTCGCCTCGTTTCGAAAAGCATAGACTTGAAATGCCACTGAAAGAAAAAAATTTATACAGTTTCAATATTTTTACTGATTTATGTAGGAGAGACGGTCACAATTGTTTGCGGTGTTTTCAACTATATCGTGTAAATATCCATTGCCTAACGTTGACATAATTCTGTTAGTCTGATACATTGATTCTCAAACTAATTTCACATATCAAAAAAAAAAAAAAACTTAACGTCATAAATCAACGAAATTAAATTTGACGATATATAACTTTTCGATTTTCGCCACAATCATTCGAATCCAAATATTATTTCTTATCCAATGAACCTTCAAAAATTTTAATATTTCAAAGGAATCTTCAGAGTCACAGTCTTACATATAACAGGTAAGTGTTGATTTCTACGTTTGGTCCATAAACGCACCAAGTCGTTTAGCGTTCCTGCGATCGGGGGATAACCGGTGCGACAAATCACCTTACACTTTGAAAACGTGAATGAAACAAACATGGAGTACATTACACGTTAGAGGATTTGAGAAAAACAAAATATTACGTTGATGCAGCGGAACGCTATCTCTATTTTCATTCATCAGAGGCCACACTCCCTGCTAATAGAGTTATGCCGATTTGCAAAACTGAGCCTTCACCTAACGGTAAGCGAAAACTGTCGCTCGGGAGTTGCTGGTGTTACCAAACAGCTAAGACATGCCAGATTACTTAGCTGGCCGATTTTTTTTAATGTATTAAGTCGTCAAGCGAGCAGGCGGTTCAACTTATGTTTAGTGATAACCGTCGTCAATGGACATCTGCAACACCTGAGGGCTTGTAGGTGTGTTGGCAACCTGCCCCTGATCCTGGCATTGGCGAAAAACATCGCCCGATTTTCAAAAAATTAAAAAAAATATTCCACGTGCCAGTACTCTTTGCATTCGTGCAAAATATATAAAACGCTTTTAGGCTCTGCAACAGACTTCATAACCGTCGCTTGTTTAAATTACACCCTCATAATTTTTTCCCTATCATCATTTCAGCCTGTTCGAGTCCGTTGCTGAACACGGGCCTCGAATATTCCGAGTCATCTGCATCAATCGACTTCCCGCACAATTTGGAGACTCCGTGGCGCAGTTGCCAAGGTATTGGCTTCGGCGTCGGGGTTGTGGATTCGATTCCCACTCGGGATAACTATTTCTGTGACCTACATATAGTTGTTTCGCATCTGGGTGTTTGTCCGCGTGAAATTTATGTTTGTAAAACGTCCATACAACACAAGATAATGTTATCCGTAAGTAAGGGCAACGTTTAAAAAAAAAAAAAAAAAAAAAGAAAAGACACTTGCACAGGTCATCACTCCGTCTAGTGGGGTATACTACAATGCGATGGCCAGTGCGAGGCTGCCACCCGACCTTCTTTCCCCAATGCGCAAATAGGAGCACGGTAGGAGAAGCGGGGAGGGGGGCTATCACTGCTCTGGATTGCGTATTATTAGGTGTATGAGAATATCTGTCACGTATGCACCGTTATTACCCGGCATGGGGCTGTCTGTAGCTCAATTTGGGGCTCGTGACGTGCCGTGTCAATTGCACCGGCACAGCACCGTTTAGAAGGGGAAGCCCAAAAAGGCATAGCATAGTCGCGGAAGATTGCGTCCACGTGTCCCCGGGCCGGTGCGACAGAGACAGGTGCAACGTGGGCGTTTTGATGCCACTGCCCTGATCCAGTCGGCAGGGGTTCCGTGGAGGTCCCACTACAGCGGAATGTGCATTACTTGATGTCCTCCTTGCGGACGGCGGCGGCGTTGAGCTGGCGCCGCAGCTCGGGGCTGAGCACGAGGCAGTCGCCGAGGTTGGTGAGGCAGAGCAGGCACCACTCGCGGTGCCGCTCGCCGCCCGCGCCCGCGCCAGGGCCGCACTCGAACCACGCGAACGCCGTGCGTCGCACCTGCGCACGCAAGGCTTTTTTTTCCCATTGCAGTTCACCCCGCGTCAAATCAAATCGAATTATTATTTATTGGCATAGACGCTTTAGCGTTCTTGTGAAACGTTTCTGTTGAGAAGAAACCGGCAAGAAACGCGACAGTTGCTCTTTTTTATAAAGATTAGTTTACAAGATAAATAGTACAGGTATATCTCATTTTAGCCTGCGTTTAACCCCACACATTGGAGGCGATGTTACGAGATAACCGATGTAAGGACGCGGTACTTCCCCGGACGAGCCCGTTCGTGCTACCTGTCTTTTTTATCGGCCTAACAAACTAGTATGCAGTATTTAGTCTTAACAAATTGTCGTTACTCAAATAAGACAACTATTTATTTAGTGAGTTAGTTTTATAGTAGTGTTGTTTATTAAGGATTGCGTAAATATTACATTGTTAAAATTGTGAATCTTTAATTTAGATAGCGCGAAACATATGGTCCTTCGAACCGGATATACGGATAACTAATAGAAAATCATGCGAACGTTGATAATCGATGAATATATGCGTTCCGGCCAACTTACCGTACTAAACATAAAAGCATAAATAGATCTACTCTAAACCGTATAACTTTATCTATTTAGCCGACTAATTAATCCAATAGCAGAAGCCGCCAAGTGCTCATACTACAATCGAAATAGATTGCAGTTAATGCAACAGCAAAATCAATGCGGCTCTAATAGAGCGGGGGATGGAATACAATATAAAATTATATCCCCCCCCCCCCCCTTCTCTAAGCTTTGCAAGGGCAACACTGAAGGAAACTAACCCGGGCCCCCTCGTGCGCGGTGAGCTTGTACTTGTTGTGCGGCTTGAGCGACGGCAGCGTGAACACTTTGAACTGCTCCTCGGAGGTGATGAGCACCCGGTGGGTGCCCGGCTCCGGCAGCGGCGCCACGCCGCGCTCCACCTGCGGGGGGTCGGTCGATATGAGGAGGCTCCGAGTTCGAATTTCGACCGCGAGTTCCGTATTTGAAAATTTGACAGGTACCGTTATTTTATTTGTTCCCGCCCCTTGAGACCAGGTCAGGTGGATTTTTTTTGTTGATTACAATATAAGCGAGCCCCGTATTACACGGGACGACATCCACACTGAACTTGTTATTGGTCTGTTTTTTAATTGAAATTTGTATAAAAACGGACGACACGTTTTTCGCGGCTGCGGGAGTCGAACCCACGTCTTCCGGATTCGCGCCCAAACGCTTTAACTACCAAGCTAAACTTAATAACTAATAATTTAAATTTATAAGGAAAAAAAAACAAATAATACAAAAACAACACAAGCAATACAAAACAAGCGAACTGCTTACCTCCAAGGGATCAGGCAGTGGTACCGAGGCGCCATCTAGAACAGTGATGCCTATAACTGGAGCCCTGTGCTTCAGTTGAATCTCCTTGGCTAGTTGGCAGGTTACCTGGATGAAAAAAAAAATATTTTGACTATAGTATAATGAAAACATAGTGTAAATTCGTGCAACAGTAGCTTTTGTTGCTGCACGAATGGGCACGATCTCCATCGGAGGAGTACCACGGCCTCAAAGAATAATAACATTACGGAACATATTTTTAAACAAAGTTATCTAATCCCAAACTAAGCAAATCTTGTACTATGGATACTAGGTAATTGCTAAACCGACGTAATTATAAACATATAAATACCCGACAGAAGAAAAACACTATGTTCATCACACAATATTCCTCCAGTAGTGGGGATCGAACCCACACCCTTGACGCAAAAAACAGGTCTACTATCCACTACGCCAATCTGGTCGTCTAATACAAACGATAAGTAGAAATATTAAACTTTGTGTTCCGTCTGATTGGTGAGGTAACCGGGGACTACTCTGTTAAAGGGTCGAAGTGCATCGGCAACTTCACCGATGTAGATGTCCAAGATCCGCTGCTCATGTTTACAGAGATCGAATATATTGTACAAGTCAATTTTTTTATTAACGAAAAACAAAACCGACTTCAAATATCGCTCTGTATTCATTTTATAATTGATTTTCAGGAGTTCCCTACTAAATTGGTTTGGGACCACATGGGACGACCGCACCAGCTTTCAAATAAAAAAAGAATCATCAAATCGGACCCCCCAGTCCTCAGACCTCAGTCTCAGGTAAAGTAACAGCCGATACATGTCCCACAGCTGGGCAAAGGCCTCCTCTATACAGAGGGTATCAGGGCATAGTCCACCACGCGGCCCCTGCGGATTGGCGGACTTCACATACCTTCGAAAAATATTTTTTTTTTTGTTATTATTTTCGAAAATATGCCAGGTTTCCTCACGATGTTTTCCTTCACCGCGGAGCACGTGATAAGGCAGCACTTAAAGTTAAAAACTTCATTGGTGCCGGCACCGGGGATCGAACTCAGTTTGCTCGAGTATATTGAATTAAAGGCGACCGGCCGGACACTGGGTTATCACGGCTCTCTCTGAGTCTCAGGTAACAAACAGTCGAATTGAGAACCTCCTCCGTTTTCGAAGTCGGTTAAAAACGGTCGGAGACAATACGATGAAGTACAGATATATATATACACATACCGGTTCCTCTTTCCGTTTGTTCGTGTTGGGCACGTTTATCGTGAAGGCGTACACCGTTCCGTTGTTCGTTCCAGCCCATAATGTGGGAGTCGAGTTTTGTGCTGCAATAGATATTGAATGATTTCGGTTAACACAATCCTGTGCTATGGCGGCGTACAAACGAGCCCCGACAACACTACACATACATATAGTCATTTAGGTAATTGCAGAAGGACAAACAAACCAAGAACCAACACGTGTGGAATTCAGTAATATAAATAATCAGTGGGATTCGACTTAGTTACTGCGCATAACAAGTCATCAAATGACAGAATCATGTCCGTCAATACTTAAAGTGGATAATTAATGTACTATTTAGCAATTATATAAGTAGTGGTCATTGGGTACTTGCAATCACTTCCACTCAAAATACAAAACGATATCCCCCCACCTGTATCATCACAAATTTTGACATTAGCATTAATTTTTGGGATACTTCAGTGGCGCGTTTAAATTTCGCGCACAGTTAACGCTGTGAACTCTTTATGTGAGATGGTGGCAAGCGAGCTGGAGGTTCACCTGATGTTAAGTGATAACCGCCGCCCATGGACATTTGCAACACCCGTAGGGTTGCAGATGCGTTGACACCTTTCAGCGAAGAGCGGACGAAACGCGAAAGGATTTTACGTCCACTTCAGGCCGGTCTACCGCGAGTTCGTGGCACTTCCCCGGACGGACCTGCCCATTCGTGCAACAATGAACACTGTTGAGTGGTCCCACCACAGTTATACAGTCTATATATTAGTGGAGTTTCTTTTCTGGTATTCCATGGCCTCCATGATGATTTGGTCTAGTTTAATTATTCGCACGCCATTCTAAAACGATATTGACGAAAAATAGACAAGTAGAATATTCGTGCAACGGCGAATTTTTGGCGGCCCTAGCACAGTTGACGGGGGTCACTGTTGACTCTAGCGACCTTAGCAGTAGCACAGCTAGTACAGTTGACGGGACTCACTGTTGATGAGGAAGGTCCTCGCGAAGTACAGGCAGCGCACCATCGAGCCGAACGCGTCGTCGTTCGAGCGCGCCTCCACCGCTCGCTCGATCGGCTTCACCTCGGCGTCCGCCTCGGCTGTCTTGTCTCCCGTCTTCTTCGCCGCCGGCTGACGAACGAACGGCGAACGGAACGGAAGAACGTAGTGAACGATGAACGAAAGAACGCAGTGAACGGTGAACGAGAGAACGAAAAAATATAGGCGGAAAATCACGCGTCTGTTTTCTTTCTTGCTATCTGTACACGCGGATGTCTCTGCATGTGTACGTTATTGAATTTAGCGGCCGATGTGTAGAAAATTGAAAATAGGCCTTCAGCGGGCGATAATACTTTCGAATGAGCTTTGAGTAATCGATAGTGTGAAACCATGCAACGTTCTCTACGCCTAATATTAAAGCTGCGAAACTGGCCGACATGTAAACATAGCATTGTTGAAAAATAAAATTTGTCCGTCCATTAAAAAGCAGGCGTCGCTTTCGAAGCTGAACTGTGGAGTGCGCGCTTTTATGGCACTTGGGCCGCGACGAAATAAAGCTCAAAATTGCTAAGCGTGTAATGGACATAAGAGCGAAGCTTTTCGTTCGACGGATGCGCTCCGACAATGTGCGAGAAATCGGAGGCGGAGCAAGGTGCAAACAAAAAAGGGCACATACGTGCGCATTCCAATTTCGGCTTTGAACCACCGAGAAACGGCTCAAAATTGCGCAAACCGATTGCGAGCATGGTGGCGTAAGCTTTACACACGTAACGTACGCTAACTATGGACCCCGCTCGATCAATACAACTAGGAATTGAACGTACTATATCGTCTACTGTTGAGGGTACTTGTGAGGACTCAGAGTAACTGCTCAGGTCGCTGTCGAGTCCGGACTTGGTGTGGCGGGGGGAAAAAATTTACAGGTCACGTTTAGACTGTTGCATCAACAATATCTGTATCGTTACACTCCTCGTGGGTACTCACTTGGGATTGGGACGTGGGGCTGGCGGAGGTGGTCTGGCGACGCTGCGATCTGCCCTTCCTCAGCCGGCGGAAGGACTCTCGAAGCGACTTCTTGAACGATTTGCGCCTAGATATAGGCGTATCGCCCGCCCCGGAGTGATCTGAACGGAATATACGATCGCGTATTAGAAGATTGACCTAACTGATAGTGACGCTGTCTCTCGCGCCGGAAGGTGTGGGTTCGATCCCCACTACTGGAGAAACATTGTGCGATGATCATATTATTTTTCTGATGTCTGATTGTTTATATATCTATGATGTGTATTTTTTTAAAAAAGAAAAGTATGTTTGAGTGTGTATATCAGTTGTCTTGTACCCATTGCACAAGCTTTGCTTAGTCTTGGACTAGCTAGAAAACGTTGTATAAAAACGTGTCCTAAAATATTTATTTATTTATTTATTAACTCGACCTATCAAAGGTCACTAGAAAGTATAGACGGCAACAAAAAAAAAATTGTATTAATATGTATGTAAACATATGTATTTTAGCGAACAAAAAATCAATGAAGTGACAATCGGATAGGGAGTGTAGGGAGGGGTCGATGAACACTCCTCGAGGTGGAGGGGGAGGGGTGGTGGAGGAGCTTCGGCCACGCACCGTGCGGGTTGAGCGTGCAGCGGTGCAGCAGCGGCGCGGCGGCGAGCGCGTCGAGCAGCGCGAGCCCGTGCGCGGTGCCGGCGCACACCACGCCCCACTCCCAGTGCGCGGCGAGCGCCGTCACGGCCGCCGGCGGCGACAGCTGCGCCACCGCCGTCGCCTGCGGACATTCGTTCACTCCGTGGCGCAGTTGCCGAGCTATCCGACAACTGACACGGGACAACTATTTGTGTGACCCACAGATAGTTGTTTCGTATCTGGGTGTTTGTAAAACGTCCTTACAACACAGGATAATGTTATCCTAAAGTAAGGGCAATGTTTTTTTGTGTTGTGTTTTAAAGAAAAAAAAGAAACACATCTCTCTCCCTCTTATCGCGAACGCTTCCCCTCCCCTGCGGCCCGAGTGCTCGGCGCTTTATCGACCGAGTCTTCGGGCCATAAATCATTTCTTTGACACGGCCTCGCTCGCAGTTACGGGCCTTATGGTTTCGCATAGTGATGTGCGTATGATTAACGGAAGCGCATATCGATGAGGGAAATAATAATAATAATATACCTAAAACAGCCGTTTTATAATAAATGTTTGATATGTAACATTTATTATTCCTCAGCGGCAGCGGCACAATGTCAGGAGCTAGCGGTAACGAGGACTTCAATGACTCTACGACCACCATGGCTAGCAAATTATCGATAAGATGTTCGGGCGCACTGCAAATTCATATCCCTATTGATGTTTATGGCCCGTCGACTCAGTTGATAATGCGCTAAAAATAGATATTACACCGCGTATAGCGCGAAACAGAAATAATTTCTTTATTGCCCGTCTCTGTTTCTCCCGCGCAAACATATTTCCGTCACACTCGCACACATGCAACGAACGCAGTCTTAAAGGAACGTGACGGCAATATATTTGCGCGAGGACAATTCAGACAAACGGTCGGGGGTATAGTTTGGACATATAAGATTCTAAATTATTATTTTTCATACACATAAAGTTCACGTGATGAAGTATTTTTGTGTAGCTTCCTATGAAACGTCTTATTTACTCAGCGAACGCTCTTCTTTAGCTGTCTCTACATACTTGCCTATTTTTTAATACGTTCTCTTCACACAAGGCTTGACCTTGCCCGAAGAGTGATATAATCCTGTTTCGAATCCGTTACCTGGTATCCTTGTGGGAATGTGTGTGTGCCGGCGCGCAGCGTGAGCTGGTCATGCCCCTTCCACACGAAGCCGTCGCGATCCGACACTATGTTCACAGACATCGACTGCGGAGAAAATGTCATTTTAATGTTTCATTTTATATATATATATATCGGAAAACTTACAGCTAGAATGGTTGTAATATTTTAAAATTGTTTGTCGCGTGTCAATCGGCAATTAGCTTAGTGGTTAAAGCATCTGGGCGCGATACCCGGACGACGCGTGTTCTAATCCCCTGGTGCTGCGTAAAACATTTCATCCATTTTTCTATGAAGTCTTAACGATTCATCTTAAGTACAGATAATCAAATTGAACGAGGTTATGGCCGATTGAAAATTTTCTCAATTAGAAAATGCGCTCAAATAATAAACACTTGTGTTGTCAAATTAAGGTTAATGGCAGATGATGTTAACAAAAAAGTAGTAATAAATTATATTAAAATGGAATTCGTTCTTTCGAATCGATTTCTATCGTTAGATCTGTTGAATAGATTTTCCCGCTTCGATTATAAATGACTGTAAGGTTATTATCATTATATATATATAACATGTGATTCTCTACAATGTCAGGGATAAAGCCAATTAAATACCACAATAACATTAGTAAGAAACTGACTTTGACTTCGGCTGTGCTTGGCGAGGTCTTAAGGCTGGCGATGACGATGTGGCCTGCCGCTCCACCGATGGTGAGCATGCCGGATAGAGGGCAAAGGATAACCTGAAAACAGAGAGTAGCATTAGTACAATACATCTAGTGTCATGAAATAACGGTAAATAATAGGTAGCTACCTAAATTTCAGTGGCGTGTTCTTTGTAACATTCATGAAAAATATTATCCTTACTGTTGGTATAGGTAACACTGTGTTGTACAGACGTTTATAAACACATGATGGTTATCAACACAACAAATGTACCAAGGAAAAACACCCAGATCTGGCACAATAATGTATAGGACAAGCGTCCCGGGTAGGAATTGAACCCACACCGCCTATTCTATCTATGGCTATAGCTTGTAATTGCGCCTATAGAGTCGTCAAAGTATTTTAAGGATCTCATCATCCTCCAGACTACACCTTCCCAATCCCATCACCCTTTTCTTCATCCATAATTTCTCACATGACAGAGTTGTGTGGCGTTTATACCCGCTAACAACCCTTTTTTGTACCACTTTTTGTACGTTTGGAGGGACCCCGGGATCTCCTACATGTACGTATTCCTCCCTCGGTATTGCGCGTGACCACGCATCGGAGAAGGATAAACCTTCCCCAATTCCCTCGCCATCTTACAACAGGTTGAGTCTACTTCGTAATTCTGCCAATCCGTGTCCCCTTTTAGTCACCTTTTACGACGGGCGATACCTTAGCCATATTCTATGAGCGACTACAGAACGAATCCCAGGACTCCAATACCCTATGTATATAGAGGAGGCCTTTGCCCAGCAGTGGGATAGGTATAGGCTGTTGCTGTGCTACTCCACTTACCCGTTTCACCGCAAGCCGTGGGTCGTCGCTGTACGGATCGAAGGTGCCGACGCGCCTGAAGGGGGGCCACTCCTCTTCGTCGTTCTGGCTGTCATTGCCCTCGCCAATCTCCTCGCCGCTGTGCGGGAACGGGAATGTCCACCAATTTCAATAGGGTGACCGAGCTGTTAACTTGTATCGGGAATCGTCCCGAGTTCTAGACCCGACAGCGGGGACTCGCTTAATGAATGGGATACGTCGCAGGGCATTAATTTCCGGTCAAATAGGAACATTGAATCATCGAATATATCCTGGAAGCGAAACTTTACGTTGAAAAATGACATATGAGGATCCAGAAAATATTAAGAAAAGTAATAGTACTCATATCGAATTAAGGATTGTAGAAACCGAAGTGTAGAAAGACATTTAGACACTTTTCAATGTTCTTTAACCATCTGGTTTGCTTGAGAATTGGCATTAACGAATGTCTAGGCCACTGATTGGTAGACAGTGATTTGCAATTCAACAGGATTATATCTTTAACAACATCCACATACATATACTTTAGGATAAAATTATCCCGTGTTTTACGGATTTTTTAACAACACACGTGGACACCCAGATGCGAAACAATTGGGTCACACAAATAGTTGTCCCCGTGTGGGGATCGAACCCACGACCCCCGGCTCCGAAGCCAACACATTGACAACGGCGCCACATCTAAATATTCCCAATATGGTTTAAAAACGGTAACAGTATTAATCATTGTGCGCCATATGCTCTCTACATCGCTAACATGCTCGGGCTAAAAATGTGCTTCGTGTTTATAAAAACATCGTGAATGGACCGAAATACTTGAATGTAGCAACGTTTTTAACTTAATAACTAAATATTATCATTTAAAAATATTGTACGTTCATGTTAAGTTAGTACTCGAGTATCTATAAATAAATGATAACATCATTAGTTTAATTGTGCCCGAGATGCAAATAGTGATGTGCTTTGCAGCCTTATCATCTAATGTTCTCGATTTTAATTATTGTTTTATTTCAATATTAAATTTTATATATTTGCCTACACTAGTCAATTTTTAGTCACATTCTTTTTCGTGATTGCATTAAAGCAGAGTTACTTATCACCTTCATTTTTAGTCACATAATCATTATATAAAATTCATTGTTATATATTTTTCGATTGTATAACATTGTCAATCACTGGCTAATATTATGGAATCGCTAAGAAATGTACATTATTGTCATTATTTTAAATAACAAATGTACATCACTCTCAATTTCGTCGATAAACGTTGTCAAAAAATGCCCAGTCTATAAAAGTTGTTACGGTACTTGTTTCATTTTTTTTAAATCAAGCGATCAAGCGTCGTTACATCACATAATTAGTAATCAAATATTATATTTTAGTGCTTTAGTTCGCTAAATTATGTCAAACGCTAACAATTAACGGCAAAACATCAAAAACTCGACACGGTTTAAATAAATCAACAAATCTAACTACTAACAGCACTAACAACAAACTCGATACGGTTAAAATATTAATTTCGAAAAAAGAAATAGACAATTTAAAATAAGACACATAATACTGGCCGTAAATCATTGTAGTACAGGAAAATAAAAAAATAAATTAAAAATTGCAATAAACGGTAGTTAGCGGGAAGCGGTCACAGACATTATAATCCATGCTTACAGAAACCTTCCTTTACCTCGTCCTCGACCTTTTCAGCCCGCTGCGAAGCGTCGCAAGCGAGAAGCAAAACACACATAGTTAGCCGGTAACATCGTGAGCGAACGTAGCATCAAAATCAACTTTATGTTGTATGACTTGAGGAACAAATTCATTTAATTCATAATTCATAATCCTTAAGCTGTCAAATTCAATTTTAGTTGAGAATTGTTATCATAATTTTTTGATTATTAATTATAAATTGGCCATAAGAAATTTCATACTTTGAACTTTTAAACCGTAAAAAGTTTTTTAAAATTTCTGGTAGGGTGAACAGATTTAAGCATTCTAACATTTCCTTTCTAGCATTTCTAATCATTTAATAATTCTCATCTAATAAATAATTAAATTAATCTTCCTCTTTATTTATCCCACTTCATTAAATTTAATGTTTCTTTATATTAAGTTTTTGATCAGATAGTATAGATAAATAAAGTTTTTTTAATAAGGAACAGTATTATAAATGTCCTCAATCTCTGCACTGACCGCTACTATGATAATGTTGATGTTGAAATATCAAATAATAATAGAAAGAGTTGGGCAGTGGGGTCACGTTCTAATAGACTAACACAAATATATTTTTTTTGTAAATTATACGGCTGTAATAGTGTTACAAAAAATGACTCCTTATATAATTAACAAGGCGTTTGTCAATATTTCGTGTCGACACGACTTCTTAACGATATTATTGAATCCTTTTTTTGTGAAATGTAAACCAATTGAGTGATAACTATTTTGTAAGTTAGGTTATTTTTCAAAGTAAACGGTTCCGTTACACGGGGCCGTAAAACGTTAGCAGCTCGTTAACGGAGCTGTGGGTGGTGAGGAGTGGTGAGCGGTGAGCGGTCAGTCACCTGAAGAGCTGCGCGGTGGTGTACTTGTAGAGCGGGGTCATAGGGACGCCGCTGACGTCCCAGAAGCGGACGGAGCCGTCCTCGTGGCCGGTGAGCAGCAGCTGTCTCTCTCCCACCTCGGCACTATCCACCACGCCCCCCGAAATGGGCCACGCCCCCTCCGAGTAAACGTTCTCGGTTTGCTGCTGGCCTGCACCGGGACATTTTTACTTATTTTTATTTTATTTTTTTTCTTCACTGAAACTCACTACAGACATACAGTGATTAGGATTTATATGAATAGAAAAGAAACAGCCAGTTACAAGTTTTTGCGAATACATTACGAGCGTTAAAGTTGAGGTAGGTTGAAAAATATAAGTAAAAAAACCAAAGTGTCTAACACTATGAAGTATTTTATTAAATGATTTTGACGATCGTATCATGAAATAATTTTGTTATTACCTACAGTTAGCTGGTAGCAGCCCTATAGTCCCGGGCTTATAGAATAGGGCTAAGGTATCCTCTGACTGTCGTAAAAGGCGAGTAAAAGGGGACAACGGATGGGCAGAAGCACGAAGTGGTCTCGTGCTGCTTCAAGAGGATGAGGGAATCGGAGAAGGTTTATCCTTCTCCTAGGCTTGCTCAGGCGTAGTACCGAGGGACACCGGTGTGCTCCATGGGAGATCCCGGAGTCCCTCCAAATGTACGGAAGGCGGCCACCGAGGGGGTTTTAGTGGGTAAGATGCCCACATAACCCTGTCATATAAAGTGACAGGGCATGTTTCGAAGATTTCCCCCCGATACAAAAAAAAAGGGTTAGCTGGTAGAAAATGCATTATAGCATTAAGCTAGCTTTTGTACCATTTTTTGCAATAGAGATTAAATAAAATAATTTTGTTAATAACTATGCTTAATTTAGGTTGCATGTTAGAATGAGATAATAGCCATTTGAGCTCAAGGTTTACCTTACCGAGCTAATTTAGTCCCAAATATATGTGCACAGTGCACTGTATACAGAGTTTACACCATTCAATATATAAAAATGTATACATTATAGATCATTATGAGTGCAGCAGACTGATACATTGCATAATAGAAGTGCACACTATTGAACAGCTTGCTGAAGTGTTCAGTCCGATGTAGGTACAGTGCTACGCCAGGGCGACTAAGCAGTTTGACTCACCGGCGGCTACTATGTTATCGTAGACGTTTGCCGCCACGCTGTCTACGAGCTGGGCGGTGGTTACGGCGGATGCGTGTACAGACACCAGGTAGGGTAGTCGTAGAGGCCTCCAACGAGAATCACACAGGTCTATCACCACCAGCTCCTCCTCGGCGAGCACCACCTGCGCAGACAGAGGTCATGTAAGGGGCAAATATGATGATTCCATTGAGCATTTGTAAAGGTATTGGCTTCGGTTCGTGGTTAGTGCGGGTCTACAACTATCCAAGTTCAGATTACGAGAAACGTCCACATCTCTGTGAATAGGTCACTGGTTTAAGTTATTTGGTTTTAGGGCCGGGGTCGTGTGTTCCATTCCCACACGAGACAACTATTTGTGTGATCCACAGATAATTGTTTCGGTTCTGGGTGTTTGTCCATGTAAAATATATTTATGTAAAACGTCCTTACATCACGGGATAATGTTAACGTACGGTAAGGCGCAATGTTTTCGAAGGGACCACCTAGAAAGACTACAACAGATCTTTCTAGGTCGCAGTGGTCGTTGGGAATTACTACAAAACACACCCCTTCCACACAAAAAACAAAAATACAAGAGCCAAATATGTATTCAACAAAGAGAGGAAGGCTGTTCCGAAGAATCTATGAAAGGCAGAGGGAAGTTTTGCACGGATTGTCATTAAATATTATCTCATTGTATAGTGAAGAAACGTGTCAACAGGAAAAGCCACCAATTTATAAGCCATTAAAATGCAGTCAGTTCATATTTCCTGCAATAAAATCCTTATGCACTTCGAAACATGAGAAAAACTGTACTAATTCACTAAGGCGACCGGACTAAACTCCCTTATTTAAATAAAAAATGATCAATGATCGTGCGTCAAGTCTCACCAAAGCCGCTGCGACCTGGTTGACAGTCTGCGCGGATATCTGAGCGGGTGTTTCTGGCCTCTCTTCTTGCAATGGGACGCCATCTGGCGGCACTGCAGTGGTTGTGAAGAAGTCGATGACCTGTGAAAGAAAATTACAAATTGGATTACTCCTGACAGTTCTATCCTAGTGGTTAACTTTAAAACCGTGAAACAACTTAATCAGCTCTAAAATTATTGATATCAGTATGTAATCGATCAGCGATATTGATATTTCAGGGAGAGGCAATTCGCGTGACACTTTGATTGGCTGAATATAATTTAATATTTATGTCTTGGAATATTGAGAAAAAAGAAAGATAAAGGTTCATTCTAAATAATACAACAGACGTATACAACATAATATATTACATTTGAAACATGAATAAATTATAATCCGCGTGATAATTTTTTATCACGCGGAACGCGGCGTACTAGACGTGCTGTACGTTTCTCCTCCTTTAATTTGAAGTTTTAATAAGTTAGAATTAGTGTTATCGTGTAATCTTTACATTATTGTGAACTTTTGGTGTCAAACATTTAAGTTTTAAGGATAAAACAAAAGTACAGTGCAATATGTTTTTGGTTTCTTGAAAAAAACTATTCCTATTCAATAACTTTAACAGTGTTGTGAAGTGTTAAAGACCTTTAATAACAAAAGAAAGGTAGTTGTTAAATGAGTGCCGAACAATTCGAGTCTATGTAATTAAACATTTTGAGTTTTACGTTCATCACTAGTTTGGTGTAGTGGATACTCAATCGGCCCAGGAAACAGATAGTACCCAGTTCTAATCCAAGTCGAATCCTTTTTTCAAAGTTTACTTTTTTTGTTGTTGCTTTTTAAATATTTTTTACATTCATTCTTTTTTATTAATCAAATATTAAAAATAAAATAAATATTTACTAGTTTATAATAACTGTAAACTTTTTTGTCTTGTTCATGTGAATTCTTTACAAATCACTCAGAACAACTAATTTATAGTGTGATATATAAGTGTCAAAAACTTCTTCTACAAAGCATTCAAGACAATAATTTCTCTAATCTGTGCAAGAAAAAGTAATAATGGTAAAGTGTGGTGGATGTGGTAAATTTCTCCCTACGACTGCGTCCGACACCACGATCTGCTGTCGGTGCGCATCGCAATTCCATCGCGACTGCGTGCGTTTGTCACGAACTACGAAAGTTCCCCGGGATTGGACATGTCCTTTGTGCACCTCAAAAGCCCCTCGCCAGGACAACACCAACACACCCGTGAAAGGTCATGACATAATTGAAACTACGGACATTGAGACCAACAAACAAGCAATCGTAATACCGCAACGTTCTCTAGATGATGGTTCCCTTCTTATGATGATACGAAGAGAGATTCACTCTTCTATTTCGGAACAAATGGAAATAATTAAAAATACTTTTGATGAAAAATTTTCTAAAATATTGGGTGACCTTTCTATCTTGCGCGAATTGAAAGAGTCTGTTGAGTTCATAAGTAAGGAGTTCGATACGATTAAAAACGAGTTTGCTGCCCACAAGGAAACTACTACAAAACTGAGAAATGAAAACGAACAACTCAAATCAACAGTAAATGATCTGACATCAAGAATTTCGTTGTTAGAACAATACACGAGACAGCAAAATGTAGAAATCAATGGACTCCCAGAGCATAAAAATGAAAATTTAATTAATACTGCTATACAATTACGCAAAACACTAAAAACTCCTCTAGCCGAAAACGATATTATCTCCGCCACGCGTATAAGAAAAATTGATTCGAATAATAATCGACCTCGATCAGTGATTGTGAAGTTGAGTAGTGTTAAACTACGTGACGAGCTGTTGGCATCTGTAATAAAATTTAACAAAAATAACTTAGATAATAAACTGAACTCACATCATTTAGGCTATGGGGGTTCCAAGGTTTCCCTATATGTTTCGGAACATCTATCACCAATAAATAAAGTAATTCATGCTGAAACAAGAAAAGCTGCACGCGAGAAAAATTATAAATACGTTTGGATTCGTAATGGTCACGTACTGGTACGAAAACATGATGGAGCACCCGCAAAACACATTAAGAGTTTAGAAGCAGTTAAGAACTTATAGAAACTTGGTCAACTTTACATTTTAAGACCGTAGATACAATACCGCAATTTTTTCGTATATTCAACATATATTATCAACATTTTCGGGGAATGCGCACAAAATTACAAGACATTAATTTGTGCACCCTAATTAACGACTACGATATCATAGTGGGTACAGAAACATGGTTGAATGAAGGAATAAATAATGGAGAATTATTCACCGACCATTACAATATACACCGTAGAGACAGATACACGACCTCCCTCGCGGGAAAAGAAGGCGGTGGTGTTATAATCGCTGTATCGAAAAAAATTGAATCCTCGCGCATGTATACAAGGGAGTCAGATGGAGAAGATCTTTGGGTATCTATTAGATATGGGAATAGTGATAAATATTATCTTAATATATGTACTGTTTACCTGCCACCACCAGTATCACAGATCGCTTTAGAATCTTTTTTAGAAAGCGCATCTATAGGTTTACAAAATACTACTTACCCGACAATAAATTAGGCGACTTCAATCTTAGTTTTATCGATTGGACAATGACTAATAATGGGATCAATTATACTGGTTTGACTCCTTATAATTATCATAGTGGCCTTGGTTACGCACTTATCGATTTTATGTCTTTAAATGAACTTTCTCAATATAACTGTGTTTCAAACTGTAATAATAGAATTCTGGATTTAGTTCCAAGTAATTATCATTGTAAACATATTCAAGTAAGAAAGTGCCCTACTCCTATTTCTAAAGTGGATAATTACCATCCACCAATCGAAATCTCTATAGATGTGATTAATTTCGTTCCGTTGCACAGTAAGCCATTACTCAAACATAATTACTACAAGGCAAATTATGAATTAGTTAAAGACAAATTAAAACTTATAAATTGGGACACAGTGTTTCAAAATTGTCAATCCGATGTTAATGCTATGGTTCTTGCATTTTATTCATGTTTACTCTCTATTATAGATCTGACAGTGCCTAAATCAGTTACAAAAAATTCAAAGTATCCTGTTTGGTTCAGTAAATCCCTAATACAAATGCTTAAAGAGAAGGAAAAATTGAGGCATCGTATAAAATTATTTAATAACCCACGAGATAGACTAGAATTTCAGATAATTAATAATAGAGCACACAAGTACATAAGAAAGTGTTACATAAATTATATAAATATGATGGAAAAATCTATTTCTAGAGATCCTAAAAAGTTCTGGACGTTCCTGAAAGGAAAACGTTTTAATTCCAGTTCAATGCCTTCGGTTATGAAACTTTCCGAAAAATATGCTAATACTGGTGATGCCATATGTGGTATCTTTGCGGAGCACTTTTCATCCAGGTTTTCATCCCCAACATGTCAATCGCTAATCAATTTTGATAATGAGCAAAGTTATTTACCTCAGCAGATATTAAGCAAACTACAATTTAGTGAGCGTGATATTCTTAAAGCTATTAAACAACTTGATCCCAATAAAGGCTGTGGACCCGATAGAATACCTCCACATTTTATTAAAAGGTGCGGTAAATATCTCACATATCCCCTCATGCTTATTTTTAATCTTTCTCTTTCCAAGGGAAGCTTTCCAAATGAGTGGAAAATTGCCAATGTGGTTCCGATATTCAAAAAAGGCGATCCTTCAGAAATTAAAAACTACCGCCCAGTGTCACTTCTTAGCACGTTTTCTAAATTGTTTGAGTCCCTTATGTGCCCAGTGTTGATCTCACATGTCAATTTAATCATACTTCCCCAACAGCATGGCTTTTGTGCAAAGAAATCTACGGTTACTAATCTTGTTCCCTATGTCAATGACCTTTGCACAAGTGTTGATAAAAAAAATTCAAGTGGATGCTCTGTACACGGATTTAAGCAGCGCATTTGATAAAGTGGACCACCAAATTTTATTATCAAAACTATCTAAGTGTATTCACGGGTCTCACCTTCAGTGGTTCCAATCTTACTTAAGTAAACGAAAACAAAGAGTAGTGACCAACGGCTTTGAATCAACTTTTTATTTTTCATCCTCTGGGGTTCCACAGGGATCGCACCTGGGACCAGTATTATTTTTGGTATTTATTAACGATATCACGGAATGTATCAAATATAGCAAGTGCTCACTTTACGCGGACGATTTAAAACTATATAAGCGGATTAAAATTAGCGATGACGCATTAAAACTACAATTAGACCTAAACTCAATCCAAGAATGGTGTCGGAGAAACAGAATGGTATTAAATGTCGACAAATGTTACCACATAAAATTTACGCGTAATAAGAATATCATATCTTCTCAGTACAAATTAAATAACACGATTCTCCAAGAAGTTAATGTTATCCGAGATCTTGGGATACTTTTGGACTCAAGACTATCTTTCATAAATCACATCGACCACATAGTTGGGAAGGCATACAAATCACTGGGATTTATTAGGAGGGCATGCAAGGAATTCCAGAGTACGATTCCTTTAAAAATACTCTATAATGCTTACGTACGCAGCACGCTAGAATACGCATCTCCTGTTTGGAACCCTTTATATCAGTCCCATATTAACCGAATTGAGCGTATTCAGAAAAAAATTACAACTTATTTAAGCTTTAAAGATAAGAAATGCCTTCGCTCTTCCAATTATCAAAGTAAAATAAACTATTTTAATCTGGAATCTTTAGAAAAACGTAGAAATTCAAATGATCTCTTATTTTTACATAATGTTATAAATGGCAAAATAGTCGTCCCTGAGATATTATCTGAGTTAGGTTTAAAAGTTCCACGAAATTCTCTTGTTCGAGCGAGTAAAAACAATAAAACGTTTTGGGTTGTAAGTAGCCGTACAAATCTTGGCTGTAATTCACCCATCAGCCGCATGTTGTCCAGTTATAACACAATTGAATGCAGGAACCAAGCAATTGACATATTCCATAATTCTAATTCAGAACTCAAAAAACTACTTAGACAGTTATGAATCGTCCGAATAATATTTGTAATGTTTTTATATGTTTATGTTAATAAGTTTATCTTACCTTTTTATATAAGTTATTATATTTTATAGTTTCTATATTAGTTTCTTGTACAGCACGTATCTATTTACTATTCGTGAACGATGTGTACGCCTGTTATTAATGTGTTCATATGATAATTTAATTATGTGTACTTATAACCTTTTATTGTACCTTGAACATGTTTTTGGTGTACCTTTTATAAATAAATAAATAAAATAAACAACAAGGTCTTTTACTTTTGCAAACATTAGGAAATAATAAATTACTAGAACGGGGAACCGTCCGATTGCTAGACGTCATTGTAGCGAGGCAGGTGAAAAGCCAACATAGAAATCCAAACGAGACTTTATATCAAGGAATCTTCTATCGAACATTGCCTGCCCCTATCAGAGTAAAAGAACGAGGTTATAAAAGTAAACAAAATCTCGTTGAAAAATCGAGTAATTAATTGGGTGATTTTATCTCACATTAAGCTCAAATTAGGCTTGATGTATCAACAAATTTGAATGATCTCGGATCTTAGTTATGTAAGCAATCGATTAAAGTAATATTCGAATGATATAAAGTAGATGTTGTATCGTTATGTCGAAGTAAAGAAAAATATCGTCACTTACACGGCTTGTGAAATCGAACGCCACGTGCTTTTCTCCCTGTTGAATTGTCACCGTGTATTTGTCGGAGTAGGACGCGCGCGGCATGCCACCTGCAATTTGTGGTTTCTTAGAAAATAACAAAACACAGAGATAACACTAAACTTAATACGGTTTTTGAAGTGAAACATAGTTACGCACGCTTGACTTCGTCTAAGTATCACGGTTCATGAGATACAGCCTGGTGATAGACGAACAGACAGATGGACAGACAGCGAAGTCTTACTAATAGGGCGTCCTCTGGGCACGGAACCCTAAAAATTACCGGCGTATATGGTGATCTCGTCGTTGTCCACGCTGGTCCTTATGAGTATCTTGGAGATGGCCTTGCAGGGGTAAGGTCCGTAGGGCGTGATGGGCTCCTTGAGGGGCCGGTCGCTGGAGGCGCCGGCCACCTCCCACGTCACGTACGATCCGTCGTTGTGCGAAGACGTGAAATGTTCGCCTGCGAAACATATTTTATTAATACGTAACGTACTAACGGTGGTAGGACCACGCAACGGTGTTCGCTGTTGCACGAATGGGCATGTCCGTCCGGGTTAGTACCACGATCTCACAGAAGACTGGCGTAAAGTAGAAGTGTTGCACTTCTGCGTTTCGTCTGGTGAGTGAGGTAGCCGGGGCCCACATTATTAAGAGGTGGCAACGCATCTGCAACCCTACGGGTGTTGTAAATGTCCATGGGCGGCGATTATCACTTAACATCAGGTGAACCGCCAGCTCGTTTGCCACTTTCTCACATAAAAAAAAATAAAAAATAAAAAACCTTTTTTTTTGCATGTCTTTTACAAACTGGCTAATGCTTGACTACTCTTACACCTGGCGAAGATGAAGTGGAAAACACAAGCTCTGTAAAGGCATAGCCAGTCAAATCTCGAAGAATGCCTACCTTCATCGTTCCAGCACAGGCTCTCCAGCTGCTGGTTGGAGACGAATGTGTGGGTGGGGGAAGAGGCGGCTCGATCCCATAAAACCACCAGGCCCCGGTTGTAGCCTATAAGGATGCGCGTGGGCACCTTCGGGTGCTCGCATATCGCCTCCACGGCCCCCGGATTGACTTTGAAGTCTTCTGGGCAGCTGGAAACGGGAACAAAATTTCGACTGTTAAGTAATTTATTAGTTTGATTTTAAAGATTCATTTCTGACGATTCATTCAGTAAATTTAACGTTTTAAAATTCTCCAGCGACAATCTCTACACTGTGTTAAAAATAGAAAAAAAAATGTATTTGACACTAAAGCCCAGTTTCTGAAACACTGATCGTCGTAAAAGTTATGTAATCAGCTGTCAAATGGCTTTTCAAATGTTATTTAAGTTATCAAAATGATTAAACTCTCTGAATTGATCAGAATGATCTTCTTAATGATCATAATGAAATTAAACTCTTTGAATTGATCATTTGACAGCTGATTATTTAACTTCTACGATGATCAGTGTTTCAGAAACCGGGTGTAACAGTATGTACTTTGACAGTGAAAAAACAATGTATTCACAAATATACAAAATTTAAAATTAAATGATCGTTTTCTACATTTCTTTCCTTTTAAAAACTTTTTGCCAAATCCCATACATTACCTATGCGTGCTAAAACGTGTGTTCATATTACATTTTATATTTAAAAAGCGATCCGTGGTTTTCGCTTCACATATTAATATATGAAGAGATAACTAATTTGATTTCAATAAATAGTATAATACTTCTAGCTACTGCTCTCAGCGTCGTCTTAATGGAAGTAACTTTAAATAAGACCAACTTTTTCGACCGAATCACTTTAGGCTAGCATCAGGTCTTCGACTCAAAGTCAAAATTTCTTTATTCAACATAGGCTTATAGGCTCTTATTGAACGTCAAAAACTACCACCGGTTCACTAAACTAGACCTGCAAGAAACTCTGCGGTCATATATGTATATTTTTTTTAACTATTTAAGTACATTTATCTCACTCACTTCTGCATAACGACGTCCTGGTATATGACGTCTTCGTGGACCGCGAAGGTGGTGAGGTCGAGGGTGTATATGTTGCCGCCCTCGGTGCCCAGCAGCAGATTCTTGCCGGTGGACTCGACGCATAGCGAGGATATCTTCTTGTTCTTGCCCTCGACCGTGTGCGATTTCAGCTCGACGAGGGATTTCTCGTTGATCTCCCACAAGTGGAGGCTGTTGTCGTCACATAGTGATACTAGGCGGCCTGTGCCTGTGAACAGTTGAGTGTTGATCAGTTTTGAAAATGCAATTAGGTTATAGTCTGTCCTTTGTAAAAATTATAAAGTGGTTATGGCGAGTCATTATGATTAAGTCTGTGTATTTATCATTAAGTCGAACAATTTTTACATTCAAAGTTAACGAGAACATTCTTATGTTATTATAACTGTAATGGGTAGTATATACTATTGGCGTGTACATATTTTAGTTACCCCTATTTGAACCGATGAGTTTTATTTCGTTATACAATATTTTTTTTTTTAAAATACACCGACTATTTTGAAAATTTATCGAGGCATATACACTGTTTGGTTAAAAGTCGTGATACTTTTAAAAGGATATGTGATTTAATGTTCAGTGATGATCGATATAATGGTTCGCATCGCTGACGATCAGCAGCAGAATTTCGTCATATCCCGAATGTCGAGCAAAAATTATAAGTATAAAGCACTAGCGTATTATAAGCGTCATTATGATAATGAACCATTCATTTTGAACAAATTGTTCAAAGGAATATCACTATGTAGTTCCCTCAATGTTATTATTTGACATAATTGTACAAACGACAGTGAGCAGATATTAAGGTCAAGGATGCATGACATCATCGTATTATGATACTATGAACTTCGTGCCACTTCTGTACATAGGGTTTTAGGGCGAAGCCCACTAGCCGATTCCACCGCGTATCACGTATATCGTATAAACCTCAACATATCACCGAAAAAACTTTTTTATTATTATTTCGAAATCAAGCAGGTTGCTTCAAGATGTTTTCGTACCCCGCTGAGCACGTGATGAGTCAGTATTAGGATTTGAAGTCAGGTTGCTCTAGTGTATTGAATTAAAAGCGAGCGCCTGGACACCGAACTACAACTGACACGGCCAATTGTAAGCAAAACATAAATTAATTATACAATACGACAAAGAAGGTCATCGCTGGAAGGAAATGTTACATCGACGATAGCGATGAATTACTTTTCTTGGGAAATGTCCGAGCTATGTATGAATCATAAGTTATGAATGGTGCAGACACTTCGAGGACGTGTAAAATATTTATATCAATCTTGTTTATTGTATGTAAAATAGGTGTGATATAATTATACATATACCAGTTTATAAATATATTTATATGTATTTGTACAAGTCACTAGTTTATATGACTAGTTATGCTTACCCGGTATGAAGAGGATTTGGGTGACTGCCGAGTCTGGGTTGGTGTGCTGCCCGTAGAATTCGACCCCGGGGCGGCCGTACACCTTGAGGGCGCCCGTCGCCGTGCCCAGGGCAGCCAGCCGCAGGAGGGGATCCCAAGCTAGGGCGGACGCCCTGTGCGGAAAGCCGTGTTGCACTGTCTGCAGACAAACAATAAACATGGTTAATTTTACGTTTCGGCGTTCGATCGTTCTTATTTTAAATTAACTAATTTACTGGTTTTTTTATTCCTGGAGCCGTGATAGCTGAGGGTCCTAGCTCTCGCTTTTAATTCACTGGTGCAAGCACCGATGTAATTGTCAATTTTGAGCTCTGACTGATTACGTGCTCAGCGTTGAAGGAACGCATCGTGAGGAAACCGGCACATCGAAATGATAACAAAAGAAAATATATGAAGTCTGCCAATCCGCATATGCTCTGATCCGGTCAGAGGAGGCCTTTGCCCTGCAGTGGGACTTTGTACTGTCTTTACTTTTTACCTTTTTAATAATTCATCTTTTACTATTATTTAAAAAATGTGTACAAGAAATCATTTTGATATCTGTTGTCGGTACGATCGATTGGCGCAACTGCTAGATGTGGGTTCGATTCCCGCTCGAGACGAATATTTCTGTTAAGAAAATTGTTCCAGATCTACTAAAGTACATGTCTATTTAAATCATTATGTAAATTATTGTGGACGTTAAGAGACATGATAGTTTTATCCTAAGGCAGGAGTAAGTATTTGAAGACAACATTGTTAATTTTATTTATTCTATTTTTTGATTAGTAACTGAACTAACGGAATCCACGGAAGTATCACGGACGAGTAGGGGTCTGGTGAGTGAAGTAACCGGGGCGCACGCTTTTAAAAGCTGGCGACATTTCTGCAACCTCATAATTCTTGTTGTCGCAAGGAGAATAAGAATTGAGAGTTTTATTTTTGCATTATAAAAGTTGTTTTTACAAACAACACTGAGATAGATATTTCAACTTCCTCGAAATTCTCGTATAAATATTGATATGATTCAGTTATGGTTCTTATCGTTCACGTCGCACAAATACAAATATACTTACTATTTATGTTATAATGTTTGAAGGTTGCGAAATATTCGCTTATGTAATAAATAAATGAGTTCTACCATATTACGGTATCAGCATCTGGGAGGAAGCCGAATTTGTAAATATTTAGTCTGTGGACGTTTCGCGTGCTCATAAATTCGACCATAGGTTGTTAAATTAAAAACTATCGTATATTATCTTTACACCAGCTAATGTCCGCGTCTTAATCTACGATGTAAGTAATTTAAATTTAAGGCATGCAATGTAAACCAAAAGATGTGACAGACGCCAACTTTTTGATTTTAACTTTAAATATAGTGAGTTTTATATAAACTTCGTATTATTCTCACTGGAGGATAGATTTTTTTTAAACCATTGCCCTCGCTTTAGGATAACAATATCCTGTGTTGTAAGGACGATTTACATACATAAATTTTACGTGGGCAAACACACAGATGTTGTCCCGTGTGGGAATCGAACCCAAGACCCCTGACGCCGAAGTCAATACCTTGGCAACTACGCCACGGAGTCATCAAATTTTGCCCTGACATACACTAGTGTGTCAGAATAAAATATACTGGATAATAGTGTATAAAATATAAAACTAGCGGAACCGACAGACGTTTGTACACATGTCTTAAATCCGATACCAACTTCCAAATAAAAAAATAATAATCCATATTTTTGTGTGTGTTCAAGTGGATTCAATAATAACCATTATTGAATCCACTTGAACACACACAAAAAAATTCATCAAAATCGGTCCAGCCGTTGAGGATTACTTCAGTCACATAAATACGCACAGAACAATTATATATATAAGAGATTACTTCGATAATAACCTAATTCAATTAGAGGACATAAGCAAGGTATTTTTTTTTTTTGTTAATACGATTCCGAAATGAATTGAACAGCGCGACAACGGCAAAATCAATGATCGTTAAATCTATACGTTCAAAAAGTAATGTAAAGTAACATCCTGTATATGTCCCACAGCTGGGCAGAGGCCTCCTCTGTACAGGGACATAGTTCATCACGCGACCCCACCGCGGATTGGCTGACTTCACATACATTCGAAATACGCTCATAAAAGCTAAATCAACTCATCGTTCGCCCAATTGGGTGGACGCCAATGAGAAAAGTTTCGTTTAAAAGGATTGTGCAGAAATATTAGTGCTGTTTACAAATGTTCGCGAACATTTTGCTTATGAAGTGATCGTAGTCTAAGACAGAAATCTGAAGCGATATCTATTGATGACTTGTTTTATATAGCCAAAGCACCTCAACTTGTTTTATATATCAAAAGGATGGCTACTGAGCAAGCAATTCACCAGGTGCTGAGGAAAATACCAGAGATTTTGCAGACATATCGCATTCTTAAAATGTATGCTTCCGGGTGCTTAATCACCGAGCGAAACGCAAAGTATTTATATAAAAATCGATGGGTCGCGAAAGCATTCACGTAAGAATAAACTATTTTCTTGAAGGTAAAAATCTTATCGGAGCGGAAATATAGCGGTGTTGGACCAAATGCCTTTTTGATAATAATTTACCATAATTTATTTTATTTGTTGGTATGGACAGTTAGATAACGATAATTCGATCCAATCGTACATAAAATAAAAATAAATAATAGGTAAAATTTGCTAACTATTTTTTTAACTTGGTAAAAAAACTTTGTTTTTACAAAACACAATCGTTTACGATAAAACTGTACATAGCAATACTTGGTTACGGGCAGATAAACTGCTCTGAGCCACAGACCATGTCTTTAATATCTAATCTATTCAATCTACGCGTCTGTTTTGTAATGATACATCGTATTTAAATCGTCATAATTCCCAGCCTGCTGCCGGAAATAGTTGGTTGTGGTAGGGCCACTCAAATCTTCGCTGATTCACGAATGGCCACGTCCGTCTGGGGTACCACGACCTCACAGAAGACCGGCGTTACGTCTGGTGAGTAACTGGAGCTCACTTTAATTAAAGGTAGCAACGCATGTGTAACCTTATGGGTGGTGCTAATGTCCATGGGCGGCGATTATCGTTAGGCATTAGATGCCAGCAGTCAACGGCTGGCTTGCTCGTCATCTTCTCACATAAAAAAATCAATGCACGCCACATATCGGTTCATTTAAAAAAACCAACCATTACATCAAAACAAGCGCATAATTAAACAAGCGTGATAGCAATTTGAATCTCGCTATATGTATTTTTAAAACGATTGCCGACGCACCGGCTAGCGGGTAATAACTCTATATGATGTCACTGCACTATTACGGGCAGCTTTCCTTGCCAAATGACATCATTTTATGAGGACATAACGCGGTAGACAATGCCTAGAGACCGTCTCGGTGCAATCAGACGCGTTTCCTCGTTTAATATGTTTGTGCCCGCTTCGTCACGCTTCTCCTGTCGATGTTAAATTATTCAATAGTTCCATACTCTCATTTATTTACGAGAGACTTCACTTTAAAGTCGATCGTTAATGACCGACTCTATTTGACTGTGGTCTCCTATTTATATCAACTAGATGTTTGCTAACGCTGACTGTCTCCGATTTCATTAAATAAATTAGCGTAACAAAGTCGAAACACTTACTGTCTTCGTCTGTTGTAGAAGGTCTCCGATAATATACGGAAGAATAATGTTTTATACTACGGTGAATTAAAGGAATTATTTAAATTGAAAATAGCGGATCATTATGACGACAATAGCCCTTCGTTTTTACTAAAACGCTATTTCGTAGTATGACAATTTTCGAAGAATCACGCGTTTTAATTGAAGCATGTTCATTGCTTATTTTTAGAGTGTCTTTGTTACGAAACGCGTATACATTTCGTAATAAACTGTCTATTGTATACCAATATGTCATTAGAACTATTTGAGCGGGCGCAATACGCAATAGGAATTCCCATTGTAGTTATTGAGTGACTACAATGTTGAAGGATAATCCAGATGGTTTTCCAATCGAGGTATACATCGCCATAATCATATTTTTGAAATATTTTTTTTTAAACAGATTTATAGGAAATATTGTCTATTGCCAAATTTTTGGATTAGATGCCAGTGTTGTTTTCGTATTTACGCCCATCATCTTTGTCGCTTAGTCGTGGCAGGGCAACGCTATTGCCCGCCTGCGGAAGTACGAGGACCTCACAGAAGACAGTGGAAGAGTTATTCTACTTCTGCGTTTCGTTTGAGGTAACCGGGGCCCACTTTACTATACGGGGGCCAATGCATCTTCAACCCTAAGGGGGTTGCAAATGTCCATGGGTAGCGGTTATTACTTAACATCAGGTGAACCGCCAGCTCGGTTGCCATCTTCTATTATAAAAAAACCGCATACGCCTATTCTACGCAGATGAAGTCGCGGGCAGCAGCTAGTAATAATTATTTTAGAAAACAATAATTAAAACATAAAATTTGTCATGCCTACGTAACGGACTGAAAATTCGTAAATCGCGTATTCGGCTGACGTAAGACTTTCGGTAACCATACTTCTATTTTAACATGCACGGCAATTGTAACGGTACCAATATTATTCAATACTCAGCAGTGGTAATACAATAATAGTAAAACAAAACAATGGACGGATATAGGAAGGAACGGTGTTGTTAGCCAAATGAGAACTGGAAAAGCTACTGCGGCTGTTTCCGTGCATGTTGCCTTGTGGGATCGAACACGCATTAAAATAGGACATGATGTATAAATCCATTTTTTTAACGATTCCAAACGTATTGGTGCATTTTGACCATGACCACTAAAATTGCTCTTAACTAATTTTCCCGGTAGTGTTTCGAAGCTAGTACGCAGGACATTACTGAATTCCTCCAGATCACTTCCACCATAGAATGGAGTGACGCTCAAATGGTCTTCGACATTTTTTTTGGAACTATTTTACTTCCAATGCGGGGAATGCCTTATTTAAATCATTGTACGTATTCCATACATATAGGGCATGGAATACATAATAATTTACGTTAATTTTTTACGACGATATCTTCCAGTCTAGAGCGAATCGGCTTGAGCTAGTTCGTTAACCGGTACTTGTCCATCACTAACTTAACACCAGAAGGGATGGTTTAGGGATTTTGTGA